AACCCAACAATACTGCTGTGCCCAGCGGTGATGTTGCTGGAATATTGCGAAAACATACTCATTCACACACACGCTAGATTTCCCTTCAAGGTTCTCTCTGCAGTTAATAGGGGTTAATGAGGTAGGATGGAGAATGTGTTCTCTGATACCTCTCTCTGACACTTCTACTCTGTGGCGCGGAGTTACAGTAATGAGACGTGATCACGACATTTCCCCACTCTGTAATGGGTACAATTAATACTAACCAGTATGGAATGTGTCGTATCAAGTACTTCCAACATACGTATGTACGCTCCAGGTGAGGTTAAGTGAAGTGAGGCTTAGCGCTGCGTTGTGGTTTTTAATAACGGAGAGCAAGTCATTCTGAGAAGGTACACTGGTATTACATAACATACAGCCTAACACGGTTGTGTCGAACTTACGGTTGTGTTGATGTAAAATCCTGATCTGATCGTGATTTTTTCTCTTTTGATGTTTTTTACGATTGCATCGATGTAAAATCCTGGTCTGTTAGTGATTTTTTTTCTCTTTTCACTTATCTTACGGCTGTGTCGATGTAAAATCCTGGTCTGTTCGTGATTTTTTTTCTCTTTTGATTTATTTTACGATTGTATCGATGTAAAATCCTGGTCTGTTCGTGATTTTTTTCTCTTTTCATATATCTTACGGCTGTGTCGACGTAAAATCCTGGTCTGTTTGTGATTTTGTTCTCTTTTCATTTATTTTCGATAGTGTCGCACTTCCGGTTGTGTCGATGTAAAATCTGGGCCTGTTCGTCTTGTTTTCCATTTTTATTTGTTTTACGGCTGTGTCGAATCTCTGATATTATTATTACACATATCCCTTCAAGTTCGACACACCCATGTGTGGCTGTTATCGACCCGGTGGATCAATACTCGGGCTTCCGTCTACAACTACCGAGGTGAAGGTACAATGTTTTCATTGGGGATGAAACTGATGTTGGAGTTAGATACAAGGATACAAAAGCATATATCTGAGTTTCACCATACACAAACGCACTCAGGCCAAATTAAATCGCTAAAAACTTACAAAAGTAAGGTTGACGGGCAAAGTTCTGCCTTCTTCTGCTCATCCATTTAATAACCGCGGAATATAACTGGGGCAGCGGGTAGCTGATTGGGGATCTTGCAACCTGTCCAGCCCAAAATAGTGGTCATCGGGAAGACATTAGCGGACTAAATGCGACATCGCACTTAAGAAACTATTTGGAGAATATTTTACATACGTTGACGCCACAACAACTGGAGCTGTGTCCAAGCGAAGCGCAGCAGACCCCAGGGACCAGTCTGACTGGAGCTCTGAACTGAGTGAAAACGTCCAAAAAGTATACATAAGAATTATTTTGTACAATTTTGGCCCCCCAAAACCCAAAGTCTAATGGTGCCACTTGGACACAAAAATCGTATATATTCTTAATCCGAAAATCCCCCGTTATTCAAAATCACACCAGCTTGATAGCCTCTCTCTTATACAATGTCATTGTAACACGTATCAATAAATAATAATAAATGAAATAATCATAATCATTCATTTATATTGTGGACCTTTCGACATTTATTCTAAGACCAAACGTTACGCGAAGCGACCATGCGTCTATCATCGCGGAATCTCCACTGAGACAGACATTTGGGTAGGAAACCTTCCTTAACCCTGGTTATCAGTTAAGTCGGGCTTAACGCTGGGATCAAACACTACTTAGGTACGAGGGTTCTTATTCCCTTGGAGAAAACCTATGCTTGCCGTAAGAAGCGACAAACGGGATCGGGTGGTCAGGCTCACTGACTTGGTTGACACATGTCATTGGATCCCAATTGCGAAGACCAATGCTCATGCTGTTGATCACTGGATTGTCTGGTCTAGACTCTATTATTTACAGACTGCCGCCAATTTGCTGAAATATTGCTGAGTGCGGCTTTAAACATCAACCAACCAACCTAAAACATCAACCAACCAACCAACCAACCAACCAACCTTGGAGAGACCAGAATCAACGAAATTAGCCCATGAAAAAGTGATACAAGCGTACTTAAAATATTTAATTCCGGGACAAGCCGAATAGCGATTTTCTTGGAGGTGAGGTGAGGTGAAGTGAAATTGGGTTTAACGTCGTTCTTGAGATATATTTCGCTCATATGACGACGTGCATGCGTGTGTATGTGCGGCTGTTTGTACTAGCCCAGACAGAAGCTGATGTTATAGTGCTAGCCTACTGAGATACCATACCGCAGTGAAGCATGAATACACCCACTCAGATACATTGTTGTACCCATTAATGCCGAGCGCCAGGCAGGGACCAACAAGTACCAAATATTAACTTCTTTTGGTATGACGGGGTCGGGGATCGAACCCACGACCTTCCACTCTCCGGGCGGACGCTCTAACCACTACACCACGGAGGCGGTTGTTACGACAAGGGACGAGTGGTGACGAATGATAAGGCATCTGATGACATTCTCTCTCATATCCATCATTTAGAATGTGTTTGAGCTGTTTTCAAAAACATTCATTCTATACTGTAGTGTTCACCGATGCAAAATCTAAGTCAGTTCTGATAACTAAATTGAAACACCTCATATAGTACAATTCCGTACTCATGTCGGCATTTAATGCTTTATTCTTCTGTGATCTACGGACAATATTATGTCGAAAATAGGTACATAAGAGCTGGGTATTTACGGATATCTGCCAAAAGCGAAATCACGAGCCTTGACAATATTTCCATGTAGATTTCTCTGCTGTTCCTCTCTTTGCGCCCCTCCCTCGTAACAAATAGTGAACTGTGTCAAAATTTTAATGATAGTTTGTTAAACAACTTTTTTAATTTTAGGACATAAATTCTGCAAACAAATCACAGAATTGGTCCGATGTTTTGTTTAAAATCAGTGTTTCATCGAGGATTATATGTTTAGTAGTTTTAATAGTAGTAGTAAGAATGCAATTCATCACTCCGATTTTGAGCCAAACGGACTATAACGGGACTTGATAGATGCATTTCATCCTGACCAAATTGCGTAGATCGATGCCCATGATGTCAATCACTGGATTGTCTGGTCCAGACTCGAATATTTACAGACTTACAGAAACAACGTCACCTCGTAAGACCATGCAGCCACGTCTGCAATTAACTAATTCTAACGAGGCAGTCGAAACAGGGAAATGAAAATAGTACCAATGCCTCTCTACATGTGGTATATCTTACTTATAGGGGCGGTGGGGTAGCCTAGTGTTTCAAGAGTTTGCTCGTCACGCCAAAGACCTGGGTTCGATTCCCGTCATGGGTACAATGTGTGAAGCCCATTTCTGGTGTCCGCCGAGGTGATATTTGCTGGAATATTGTTAAAAGCGGCGTAAAACGAAAGTCACTCACTCCTGCTTGTAGCTAAGCAGCGTGACACAACAGCCTGGATAGTCTAAAGCTGCTGACAGTATGGCCACATTACTCCCATCCTGGGTGATTAACACAAGCTACACCAATCCGACAGGGAATCAGTTATAGGAGTCACGTCCATCGATGCTAATCTGAGTGAGTGAGTGAGTGAGTTTGGTTTTACGCCGCTTTTAGCAATATTCAAGCAATATCACGGCGGGGGACACCAGAAATGGGCTTAACACATTGTACCCATGTGGGGAATCGAACCCGGGTCTTCGGTGTGACGAGCGAACGCCTTAACCACTAGGCTACCCCACCGCTCCCGATGCTAATCTGAAGACCCGCTGTGATATTGTTGGAATATTGCTAAAAGCGGCGTAAAACTATCTGCACTCACTCATCTGAAGATGCTCCCCAGTATCTGTATGATCTGGGCCCCGATCCACAGATGAGTTCGTGCGATATTCATAAGTCTATTGTAAATTGTACAGTTACGACAGGTCGTAACGTTACGAATGCTTTGGGGATCGTGAATCATCATCGTTAGATTGTTTTACGGTCCCAATCCATAAAGCGTTCGTAAAGTTACGACCTATCTAACCATATACTTTATCATTAGTTTACGGATGACATAGTTCTTCGAACATTTTGTGGATCGGGCCACTGATAGCTGAATCTCAACCAGCAAGATCACTGAGATCGGAAAAGATTTCTGCTGAAAATTCCATCTCTGAAACCCGTGAATAATGGCCAACGATATGTGCCTATAATGCAAACAGCAGACTGGAGCAATCCCCTTACATCTTAGACAATCTCCAACTTTCGATTTCTTCAAATCTCACCCCGAGTCCTATCTATTTCAAACTGCCTTTCAAGACTGACTTTTCATTTCAACGACTTTGTGCACTTAGAGCATGGATTAATACGCTTAATAAATTTATCATTAGGCCAGACCAATTTCATTTCTTACTTTACGGATTTTTGTCCTCAGAAAATCTAAGGGCAGGAGGGAAAAATCACCAGTCAAAGTAATATTCCTTCTAAATACTAAAAGTATTTTACTTTTGGGAATTTATGAAGTGTATATGGGGCGAAGCAATCTAAAACCAATTCTTAGAATTTTACATTTTTGGCGAATAAAAACATTAGGATTTTATTTATTGAGCGGGGAAAATTAATTTTTATTTATTTTCTTATTCTTGGAAAAATACTACCGGCGGATCCGTAAAACAAGAAATAAAACTGACCTGGGCTCATTACATGTGCCAGACTCGGACACTAATTCGTTACATTCAACTACAGAAAAAGTAGGTCGTATTAATAACCCTTTTCTGTGTGAATTACTTGCCGAGGCAAACAAATTTAAAGCACTACGTCATTGTGGATGCTATGGATGAAATTTCGCTGCACACGCTTGTTGATTACCTGGCAAGTGGTCCACCTCGTAAAAAATAGCGAAAAGTAACAACAAAATAATGATCGTTTGATAACAACTTTTTTATTCGGGTGTCCAAAATTATGAGACAAATCATCAGAGTTGGTCTGTCGATTTCATGTGAATGTGCAAAATTTGGTTTTGTTGCATTTATTAGATTTTGTGTTAGTGAGCAATTTATAGGTCTCAAATGAAATCAAACGGACTTTACACAGAGTGTGAATGTGTGAGTGAATGTCTATGTCTGATTTTATGAAAAAAAGAAACCTCAGAAATTCCTTCCGGATTCTTTAATGCAATGTGGCAACTGTTACCCTGGACTGTTACCCTGCAACTGTTACCCTCCATATATGTAAGAGGCAGTTTTGTAACACAAAGATTATTTTTTTCAATTAAAAAAAAATTGATTATTTTATTTTTCGATATGACAAATACCCCAGTCGGTACCAGTTATGGTTTGCGGGGTAAAGCTGCAGTTGTGTGACAGGTTTGAAAAGGCCTCTTCCGTATTCCGAAAACAACACATACATCACTTGCTGATCGGTATTCATCAAATTTTGATCCAACAAATAGTGCACCGCGGTCTTATACTCCTTCTCGAGCTGCAGCAAAATGTCCCGAGTGCCGATATACATCCCTCCACCAATCCACACTTTATTATTGTGTACAATGTTGATGAAGTCAAGGTTCATTTCCGGTTCCGCTATCTCTGTGACGGCAACGAGGCTCGAGTTAAAATCAGGCGGCGCTATGAGCACAAATGGGTCCTTCAGATTGTAGACGTCACGGAAATACCCGATGTCCAACCAGCAGTAGAATTTTGTCTTAAAGAAATCATGTTTTAAGGTGTCGGCAAGGAGCTCGAATTTGGCATGCTGAGCCGAGGAATACGCAGGTTTCACTGTGTTTGGATAATGACGGGGATAATTCTCCTGCTTGTATATTTTCTGTATTCTACTGATAATGTCAAAGCTCCATAAATTATTCCTATTGACGAGAAATAATTTCGTCAGTCTGGTTGTGGTTTTTCGAACATTTTTCATGTGGTTATAAAACCTTCTTGAATCCGTGTAAATCACCATGGGGTTAAACATTTGACCGTAGAAGCTAGCCCACTGTTCGTAAAGCTGGCGCCGCAAGAGTCGTCTCCCCTTGACGAAGTCTCCGATGTCGAAGTAGGCAGTGACGACGGTCATGTTGCCTGTAATGTTGCCGGCTTGGTAGACTCTGTGACCGGCGTCGGAGTATATGACGAGAGACAGGTTCCTGGTGATCTGAACCGTCCCACCATGGATATCCTCGGGGTACTGATCCTGTAAACAAACAAGAGACATTGTTTAATGGTTGTATGTCAGTGTTGTTTAACGCCGCAATCAGCAATAGGGCCCGTGAGCAATGGGGGTACGGTGGGCGAGCTGGCTAAGGCGCCAGGCTAATGATCCACCAAGGTTGAGGTGCCGGAATCGAGCCCACCTGTGACCGGGTGTAAAAACCTTGGAGTCAACTTTGTGTGCAGACTCTTTCAGTGTTGTCACAACCCCTAGTGTACAGTACACAACCCTGTGCACTTAAAAGAACCAACGAATCCGTTGGTATATGACCAGATGGTGGCCACATGAATACGTGCAAACGCCTAGTTGCGGGTACAGCAACGTGCAGTAAACTTAGACAAAGTACTGTGACTATGTGTCCCAGACCACCCAGCTGTGAATGGGTACCTCGTTAGGATGAGAAAGCCACAATAACGCGGTGCGCCTAGTGGCAGCAAGAGTCGTATACTCCCCAGGGAGTTGAGATTGATAATAGGATGTGCCGTTGAGATTGACCTCCAATGATGGAGGGAAAAATACCAGCGCCTTGAGCATGCACTAGCTGCGTGGATATGAGTGCTATATAAATATCCTAAAATAATAATAATGATAAAGTAGGTGACGGCACTTCGCGAGACCTTAGTACTGCCGGTGACAAACAACGTATAATACATTTTCGAATGGTCTCATGGTTGTCAGTCGACAGTAGGGAACCGATAATCCTTGCACGAATAACAAATTTCCGATCTACCCATCCCCAAATTAGCCAACTATTACGACTGTCAACAGCTATGACAGCCACGCAAGGTTGTACACTTGGTCCGGTCTAGTAAAGTCATATTTTGCGGTCGCGCAATTTGGAATCAGGGCCTCCTTTAACAAAACACTAAGGTGATCGTAAGTCACTAAGATAACCTCAGTGCAATGTTAAAGAATAGGAGTTACGGTTAACTTTTGTAGAGGTTGCTCGTGAAAGGAGCCCCAGAACTGCTGGTTCTTGAATATATACTAGGCACATAAAGAAACTGTGCATACAAAAATTTAAAATCTAAAGTTATCAAACCTGTGTAGACACATAAGAATTTAAACTCAGAGATTAGTGACATGTATCCAATATGCATGCACGTGCCACGTTCCGTGACGTCAGTGGGTTCGTCCTTGAGACGTGCAATACGTTGTTGCACGTGCATTCCGGGAAAGAGAATCAGAGCAAATGAATGCCACACAATACTGTCACTTTGGAAAGCTCAACCCCTGCCCTTGCGATCGTGCAAAAAATTAAACGGCTATTGAAACGCATAGCATGCCAAGGCTCACGTCTGCACAACGTCATGAGGCCATTGGGATGGTCCGTGGGGGAATGTCTCAACGACAAGTGGCTGCACATTTCCACTGCCACCGGAACACCATTTCTGCACTGGTGAGACGCTACCAGAACACAAATGACGTCATCGATCGGCCACGTTCTGGACGTCCACGTGTAAGAACGCCAAGACAGGACATATGGATAAGGGGAATCATGTCCGCAGACCCTTGTTTTGGTGGAGAAATGTTGTTTTTACAGATGAGTCCAGGTTTAACATTTCCCATAGTGATGGACGTCAACGTGCCTATAGACGCGTGGGAGAACGTTATGCACAGGCCTGTCAGGAATCGCTTTGGTGGTGGTTCCGTGATGATTTGGGTTGGAATAACAGCACGCCAAAGAACTCCTTTGGTGATTGTTCAGGGCAACTTAACTGATGTGGGCTACAGGGATCAGATTCTTCGACCTGTGGCAATTCCTTTTCTGCAACGTCATGGCCCTGGGTTAACATTCCAACAGGACAATGCCCGCCCTTATACGGCAAGGGTTGCTATGGATTTCTTGCAACACCACAACGTTGACTTACTGCCTTGGCCTGCAAATTCACCGGATCTCTCCCCGATAGAGCATGTTTGGGACGAGGTGGATCGACGTCTACGCCGTCTTCCTAATCCGCCAGATAACGTCCTTGACCTTGCAACAGAACTTGAGAGAATCTGGCGTGACATCCCACAAGCCTTCCTTGCACGTTTGATAGGCTCTATGCGTCGTCGATGCACTGCTGTTCTCAATGCCGATGGTGGACATACCCGTTTCTGAGCTTGTGACATGGTCGTTTGACCCCTGTCCCGCTTGTGGACTCGTGACGTCATTGTGATTGACTTTTCAATTGAAATTCTCCCGACTTGTTATGGTCTCATGATCCCTCCATTAAAGTTTATATGTACCTTTGACATTGTTATCGTACTTATCAACTGGGATAATATTTTGACAATGCACAGTTTCTTTATGTGGCTAGTATATATATGCTTGTCACCGGAAATCTAATACCAGAAGTAAACTGGGACCCGTCTCGCATATCGCAAGTTGGCACACGCAAAGGGCGCCTGGAACCAGCTTAGTACCGGAAGTAGCGAGACTTACCGGCCCTTAATTCCAGCTGTATGACGGTGGCCAGTAATTACGCAGTGGGAGTAAGTGATGCACCCTGACAACCACACCCGTCAAGATCCGGGTTAGATTTGATCTTCACCAACCCATGCTTGTCGTAAAAGGTGACAAACGGGATCGGGTGGTCAGCCTCGCTGACTTGGCTGACACATGTCATCGAATCCCATTTGCGTAGATCGATGCTCGTGCTGTTGATCACTGGATTGTCTGGTCCAGACTCGATTATTTGCAGACTGACGCCATACAGCTGGAATATTGCAGAGTTCAACGCTAAACAAAACAAACAAACAAACAAACCCTGGCCAACGATTCATTCCATTTACTCTTATGTCCCGTGTGGTATTCTTTCACTTCCCCCTTTCAAGTCGGTTACTACGGAAGCGTATTTATGCCATCATCTCAATCTACGAAGACGATACGTTCTCAGAAACGAATAAAATATCATGTATAATGACGATCTTCTAGGAGATGAAAGTATCATCGAAGTAGATGAAGGTATTATCTAGGAACATGAAAGTATCTTCCACGAAGAGGGGCGGTTGGGTCGCCTAGTGGTTAAAGCGTTCGCTCGTCACGCCGAAGACCCGGGTTCGATTCCCCACATGGGTACATTGTATGAAACACATTTCTGGTGTTCCCCGCCGTGATAATCCTGGAATATTGCTAAAAGCGGCGTAAAACCGAACTCACTCACTCAGTCACCCTACCAGGAAGATGAAAGTATTTTCTGCGTAGATGAAAGCATAATCTGCAGATATGACAAAAAACATTTTAGACTGTGGCTAAAATCCGACTCCACAGATAACTGCTGCTTTCCAGCTTACCCTTTCAAGTGGATACCTACTGTACCGGAATAGAGTAACACGCTCAGTTTCGCGTGATTTATCGTGATTTCGCGTGATTTCTCGTGATTTCGCGTGATTCACGGACTAACCTGTCGTGCCTGTCAAAGATTATACTAGCAGTGAGTGCATCTTCAACGAAGTCAATATCGACGTACGTATCCGATGTCATCAGCATAAACAGATAAATGCGCTCAGATTTCTTCTTAAAAGCGACCTTGACCTTGATCGAGTAACGCGCAGCTTCAACTCATAACAGTCACGTGACTGTAGACCTTTACCTGGATGATAAGCAAGTGATCGTAATGTTTATTGGTCATAATTTGAAAAGCACACTTTGCAACGTTTGCCATTAAGAATAATAAAACACTTTATCGCTGTTATGGCTTGTCTGAACTTTAGAAGCATGTGCACATACGTAGCTATCTTCGTTAAATATTCATCTTTATATTTCATCGTTCTGTTTCAAGTGGCGAAAAATCTAGAACTTACTGATCATTAGTTTAACTCCTTTAGGTGTTCGGATTCGCCAACTCTGATTTCGATTTTTCAGGAAGGGCACTCAAACACGTACTCGGTATTCACCCCGCACCATGACAGATTGTTCTGAGCTACGGATTCCATGGAGATCCATCTTGTGTTGTTTCAATTCAGTTCAATTCTTTAATCCGTTAGAGTAGACCATTGGCCCAAAACTACATACGTTTACGTAAAGTGTTTAGTTCAATATTCGATCAAATGTTCAGATTCAAGTTAGTGTTCTACGGTGTGACATTGCATGATAAATATACATTGCTGGATTCTTAATTGGGCTACACTCTTTGGTTGACATAAGGATATTAAACTTAGATTTAGAGTGAGTGAGTGAGTTTAGTTTTACGCCGCACTCAGCAATATTCCAGCTATATGGCGGCGATCTGTGAATAATCGAGTCTGGAAAAGACAATCCAGTGATCAACAGCATGAGCATCTATAGATTTAGAAGGACATAAGTAATACTTTGAAGTATATAATATCACGTAACTGGCTATAAGAGGGAAAGATGAGAGAAAGTGATATTCGTCTTCCACATATCCTTCGTGTCATACACAACCCAGTATTTTATTTATTTCAACATTGATATACCTTCCAGTTTCAATACTGCATATTATGTGTAATAAAACAAACAACGAGAGAGAGAGAGAGAGAGGGGGGGGGGGGACAGAGAGACAGAGAGAGAAAGAGAAGTAGCAGGATAAAGTTTTGTTAAATTTTAAAGTAAACTTGTTCGCTCGTCACGCTGAAGACCCGGGTTCGATTCCCCACATGGATACAATGTGTGAAGCCCATTTCTGGTGTCCCCCGCCGTGGTATTGCTGGAATATTGCTAAAAGCGGCGTAAAACCAAACTCACTCACAAAGCTAAAACATCCTTCCATAATAAAGGGAATACGTATGAGCAATAACTCACGTCTTACTATTTTCACTTTGTCATTAGTTAAGTTGAGTTGACGTTTTACGTCACATCGATATTGTTTCAGCTATACAGCGATGAGACCAAGTATGCGTGTACACATTTTAATTTTAAAGGATTTAAAATTTCTTTTATTTCTTAAAAATACACATTTCTTCATTACAGTATGATTTGCAAATTAAAAAGTCACAACACCAAATTATAAAACAGACTACTTATCACACATATACACAGTTACAATTTATGATAGAGGCCAATTTCTCTTAAGTGGTTCACAATGAGATGCCCCATCACGCGGGGAACCCGATATTTCAGATTTAATGCTCCATAAAATGAGTCCCTTGCATTTCAAAAGTCCACAGTCAAGCAGAATATACTTGATGGTGAACACTTCATCGCAAGAGACACATTTAGGAGGTCCATCTCCATTGGTTTTGAGCATAACCAATTGTTGGTTTCAGTTCGTGAAGTTTATTTCTTCCTTCCTGAGTAGGGCACATTATACAGTGTTTGGCATTGGGTATACATGCGATACAAGGCCTAGATTTTCGAAGCTCTCTTAGCGCTAAGATAGTCGTAAGTGGAATATATTAACATTAACTTACGACTATCTTAGCGCTAAGAGAGCTTCGAAAATCTAGGCCGCCCAAGACAATAAGCGATCATAGCACTACGACAGTCGTAAGTCTACGTTAAAGTATGGGAGTTACGATCATCTTAGCACTACGACAGTCGTAAGTCTACGTTAAAGTATGGGAGTTACGATCATCTTAGCACTACGACAGTCGTAAGTCTATGTTAAAGTATGGGAGTTACGATCATCTTAGCACTACGACAGTCGTAAGTCTATGTTAAAGTATGGGAGTTACGATCATCTTAGCGCTACGACCGTTTCATGGAACGGGGGCCTGGGTTCTCAGGGCATGCAGCTTTTCAGGGTTAATGGCACACACAGCAACCAACTAACCAGCCAACCCTCTCACCAACAAACCAGGCAGTGCTGAAGGGATCAGTACATGTACACAATCGATACTAGATATAGAAAACTGTAAATGTCAAAAAAATTATACTTATCGGGTAGATATGTGAATATTTCATGAATAGGCTGCATCAAGGAGGACCGAATCAATATGTTGGTTGTTTGCTTCACAGCAGCAGGACTGTGTGTGCCAGTTTGTAGGTCACTTCAAGTATACTGACGTGCACAAGAAAGTATACACTTGGAACGTTGGCATCATTTTCCAAAAGAAAACGTCACTATCTTATGAAGTGTTTTGACTTGGCAACACATACTTAATCTTTGTGTAGTCACAATCAATGCACTTTATAAAATATTTATATCCTTTCCCTTTTTCCATTTTTTTAAATAATCCTCAAACACCAGGTGTGTAGTTTCTGTTGTACGTCAGTACTCTCTCATCACCATGTCAAACATTTCATTTTTTATCGAAATTTGTAATATTAAAGTCGTTGCAAATTACGAAAACCTGTATTGAATATTTTTAAAAAGCGCGTGCGTGTGTATGTGTGGGCGTGTGTGGGCGTGTGTGTGGGCGTGTGTGTGTGTGTGGGTGTGTGTGTGTGTGTGTGTGTGTGTGTGTGTGTGTGTGTGTGTGTGTGAACGATCAAACAAAACTGAATGAATACGGTTTTGTGGATTTTCTCCGTTTAATCAAACGAAGTCACCAATGATGGACCGAAATAGGCATTTGATGTGACCCAACTACCCAAATCCATGACACGCATATTCGATGTGAAAATTAGGGCTGGGACGGGTAACCTGGATACCCGGGAAGGGTGGGAAATGAGTTGGACACGGGTACCCGTCTCAATACCCGGACCCGTTAGATCATGTGACTAATAGATTAAACGATGTAATATATTATTCTTTCATAATTACAAGGTTGTATTGTCTTTGAAGATTTAGACATAATTTACAGTCACCTGTTTTGTATGAATATAATACATGGTTAAGATATAGATCTAATGAATAATTGAGAAACTCGAAATTGCCAATTCTTACAAATTTGATTTCAGGAATTAACACAATTAGGTAAATAGGGGGTGGGGTACCCGGGTAGAAAATTTGGACCCGTCTCAGCCATAGTGAAAATCACTTAAACTAAATTCATGGGAAAATCATGTGCACCAACAAAAAATTGTGAAACGCCTGGCTGTGATTATAGTGCATACTTTAATTGTTTGCGGACGTTTCTTTGTCTAACATATTTATCAATATTTACCTTGAAGAAGAAAAGAGGTGTGTTCATTTGAATAACGAACAACACGCACATATTCAGACATCCCATAATTCCTAGAGGCCATAGCAACCACAACTTCCGTTTCCGGGACATCAGGGCAGATAGATGGAAGCCTCTAGAACACTGACATTGGCACTGCAGTAAACAAGAGGACTATATATTAATGAGTGACTGTCGCATTAGAGTAATAGTAGTATATCTTCAAGCACTTCGTATGGATATACAAAAAATATATTTAAAATAATGCATACATTGAAGAGAAGAACATTGAACTAATGCACGCATGTTGTCACTTGGCTGACAAAGGACACATTTCCCGGAAACTATACAGATAAAAAATTCACACAGTAGTTAATGGGTACCCGGTGGGATAAGTCATATGACTTAACCTTCTGGCGCCTTACAGGCAGCTTGAGTTAAGCGTGGTAATAAAATCATAGCGCTTTGAGGATACACAAGTGCATGGATACACCCGCTTTATAAATGTCCATTATTATTATTAAATCATATTAAACTGTATGTTTGATTTCTCTCTGAAAAAACAAACATTTCGGAATCGATTGTGAACTTTGGTTCTTATGTCCTTTTTAGAATTTGGTTCTGTAAGGTATTTGGGGTTTTAATTATCATATTGAAATAACTGTAGTGTACTTTTCTACATGGTGCCACTGAAACGTGGCTTGATTGCAAAACTGAAATACCTTCAAACAAACACATACAATGCACTGCACCTCAGGTACAAACATATTCCATTGTAGATGAACAACTAATTTACTCGGCTTCAAATTGCTACTGCCATGTATTCATAATGCGTACTATAGGAACGACATTTAAGACCTTTTAGCAGGATTCATACATATTCATTGGTGTCGGTAGTTGGTTTGGTCCATGAATATGCATGAATTTCACGAAAACGTTCTGTGTTGATGACATAGTGCCACGTGATATGTACCGGTTTTCATAGCTGATACAGTGGTACATAATAACCCTTACAAATAATTTTTGTTTTAGTATATACGCCCTGAAGCAAAGTATATTTGTATATGCATAACATATCATGCATTAATAGTGAAGTATTCCATATTTGTATACTTCATAATTATGGTATCATGCATTAATAGTGAAGCATTCTTTCAAAAGTATATTTGTATACTTCATAATTATGGTATCATGCATTAATAGTGAAGCATTCTTTCAAAAGTATATTTGTATACTTCATAATTATGGTATCATGCATTAATAGTGAAGTATTCTTTCAAAAGCATAATTATGGTATCATGCATTAATAGTGAAGCATTCTTTCAAAAGTATATTTGTATACTTCATAATTATGGTATCATGCATTAATAGTGAAGCATTCTTTCAAAAGTATATTTGTATACTTCATAATTATGGTATCATGCATTAATAGTGAAGCATTCATAATTATGGTATTCAAAAGTATATTTTGTATATTTGTATACTTCATAATTATGGTATCATGCATTAATAGTGAAGCATTCTTTCAAAAGTATATTTTATACTTCATAATTATGGTATCATGCATTAATTATGGTATTCTTTCATGCATAATTATGGTATCATGCAATAGTGAAGCATAATTATGGTATTCATTTTAGTGAAGCATTCTTTCAAAAGTATATTTGTATACTTCATATATCATGCATTACTAGTTTTCTAGAAGTATAATTTCCATAATTATGGTATCATGCATTAAAAGTGAAGTATTCTTTCAAAAGTATATATGTTGCTAAGGTCTAATTATGCAATTTATGCAAAAAGTATATATTCAGGTTTAGTTAAATACAGTATAGAGTGGGTTACATTGACAGATACACGCAAAAGTATATAAAGCTAGTTAAATGTACGATACAATGTACAAGAAATTAGGGGTGGGTATTGCAGAGAATTTTCATATTGCGATATATTGCGATGCGAAAGCATATATTGCGATATGTATTGCAATATATTGCAAGAAGTTGTTTTTTTAACAATAAACAACTATAATCGAGTTAACGCTTTATTTATACAGCAAAAACACAACAAAATCACTACGCTTGATTAAGCTTTAATAAAAACTTTTAATCATGACAAAATAAGAACATAATAATATTTGGCCCAAATGAAATAAGGAAAAGAATGATTTAACATTTTAACTACTTTCTCCACTCTCAAAAAAGCCCTGAGATTTTAGACAGCAACTTGACCTGGTCAGGACATGTCAGGCATCATTGGTCATTAATGAATAAATATTTAAAACAATCTGAATCAAAACATTGCAAAACACTTGAACAAAAATTAAGAACACAACTTCAAACCGAACTTAACAATCCAGTTAAATGTAAAATCTTTGAAGTGGAATGCATAAGAAAAGCAAGATTTATGTATGTCAACTTCATTCACAATATAGAAGTTGACATCCATAAATCTTGCTTTTCTCAGTTAAATGTAATTTTAACAACGCTCATTCCCACCACCATTACCACAGTTGCCACGATCGTCAAGGTTTCTGAGGGTTACGAAGTTTCCGAATGCATGTCAAAATACCGGTTTTCGATCAGCGTATCGCAATACGTATCGTTTTCACGTCTGAACCGGTTAATACCAGTAAACCGGTTATATTGTGCAGCCCTACAAGAAATACCAGGATTTAAGTGCTGTATCGTCTGCATAAGTCAAGAGGGAGTGTGTGTGATATTTTACGCCCCCGCGACCCGTGAAGATCCGGGTTAGAATTTCTCTTCAGCAACCCGCGCTTGTCGTAAGAGGCAAGTAACGGGATCGGGTGGTCAGACTCGTTGACTTACATGTCAGTATATCCCAAATGCGTAGATCGATGTTCACTGGATTGTCTGGTCCGGACTCGATAACTTACAGACCCCGCCATCAGGCCTACCAAAGAAAACTTTCCCGCTGCGCAGAAAAACGCAGAAATGTCCACATTAATCGTGGAAATAGCAACATAAACACATTACCTCGCTACTGAAACAGTAAAAACGGCAGCGAAAGACTATGAAACTGCAACATTTTTATATCAGCGAACTTTGACCTCTACTGCGCATTACAATCCGCGCTTCTTTCAAATTCCCGAACAATAACCTCGCGTAGAAAAAGTATTGAACATGTCGAAATAATTGCTGTCAACCATTTAATGTGAATGGAAAGTAAACTAAACAAGTGTGCACACAAATATCATGATTACAAATGCCAAATAACACAACAGAAATACTTTAAAAAGGGAACTTTTGTCCACGCTGGTAAATGTCAACATGCGGTCAAGACTTCCTCTTCCATGTGCGCATGCGCAAAATCGAAGGAGCAGGTTCTTCGTTATTTCATCCAGTTTTAGCGATTTAAAGTTGCCGTTTTTACTGTTTCAGTAGCGAGGTATTATGTTTATGTTGCTATTTCCACGATTAATGTGGACTGTTCAGCGTTTTTCTGCGCAGTGGGAAAGTTCTCTTTGGTAGGCCAGGCCATATAGCCATAATATTGCTGTGTGCGGTGTTAAATAACAAACCAACCAACCAACCAACCAACCCGCGACCAATGATTGTAAGGACTACATACATGTGTCCTCAATATGGAGAATATCTACGAGACCATTACGTATTAGTGAATAGCGACGGGAATAAATCAATCGGAACTATTGATCATAATGGGATGCCGTCATGGCTTCAGAGGAAACATGGTTTGGTTCAATTGTGGTGGTGGAATTGGGTTTAACGTCGTGCTTGAGAATATTTCGCTCATATGACGACATGCATGCGTGTGTATGTGTATGGGCGGCTGCTTGTACTAGCCCAGACTGAAGCTGTTTGTTTTATAGTGCTAGCCCACTGAGATACCATGCCGCAGTGAAGCATGAATACCCGACTCAGACACATTATACTGACTCCGAGCCGACCAGTCCTTTGTTGTACCCATTAATGCCGAGCGACAGGCAGGGACCAACAAGTACCATATTTTAACGTCTTTTGGTATGACGCGGTCGGGGATCGAACCCGCGACCTTCTGCTCTCCGGGCGGACGCTCTAACCACTACACCACGGAGGCGGTCTTGGTTCAATGGGCCGACCATGACAGGGGCACACGAATCCTTCATTCCAGATCTAAACATGAGAAAACGTAAACGTTTGAGCTCGGGATTGAATGTTCTATAAACAACGGAACCCTTGGCGTGACGACCAGCCTTAAATGAACCTATTTATTCGTTTACATAAACATAAACAGATTGTCCTGTTTCTTAGCATTGGCAGCTCAGTTCTAGTAAGATCAACACCGTTGGTCCGTACAAACTGAGACGGTTGTGCATATTCATAGACGATGTATTTTAAAAAAAACCAGTTGATTTCGTTGTCTAATTGCTAAAACGTTCAAATACCCGTGTTTGAATTCCAACATGATAAAATTATGTCATGCCCATTTTTGTTGACACTCGTCGTGATATTTCGGAAATACAGCTAATCGACGTAGACAAATGCATCCATGAAGATCCGGGCTAGAATTGATCTTCAGCAACCCGTGCAAATGACGACTACGGGACCACGTGGTCAGTCTCGCTGTTTTTGTCGATGGTGTCGTATACAATTGCGAAGATTGATGCCAGTCACTGGATTGTTCGGTCTCTATTTAATTTTACAGACCGCCAGATAGCTGGAATATTGAGAGGAGCGTTAAAAAAGGACAATCAAACAAACACAGACAAAGGTGCCATACCTCAGAACAGGGTTATGTAGATATCCTGGCAACGCGCTTGGAACAACGGCCTGCGGGTGTAGAGAGCTCCCTCCAGTCTGGAGAGTCGATGAGTTGTTGGCGCCCAGAATGATCTTCATCAATATTTACATGTTGACCTTTCATGTCGTTCAAGAGCCTTGCTAAGATACATGGTATCTGTTGGGGCTGTTACATTCACAAGACACCAGTGTAGCACAGACCTACTGTCAATAGCGTCATTTCACCTTGAAGCTGAACGCCTAAACCGGTGTGGCTTAGTCGTCGAAGCGTTTGTGGATCGATACTGCCTACGGGTGTTCTTGAGCTAAATTGGCGCTGTTTATAAATACATGTATATTGAACGGCAATCATAGGCAAATATGGAATAGCTAAACATCGGCCTTAAACCAGATGAGTATGAATACTGGATTAAAAAGCTACCGTGGATTGGAGTTAGAGCATCTCGAACTGTCACGCGTTCAAGAAACATCTCAAAACAGTTCTCTTCTGTTCCTTTGAGCAATTATTGTTATATATTATCATTTTTGTGATTATTCACCACTGAAAGAATGCACGCTGGAGATTACCAATCTTCTGTTGCCAGGCGTCTGAATGTTAGTCTGAGCACGATATCACGGCTTGCAGCTCGTTGCAACCAAACAGGTACAACAAATGACCATCCCCGTACAGGCAGACCTCGAGTCACCACTGCAGCCCAAGATCGGTACATCCGGGAACTACATTTGCGTGTTCGTACTGCCACGGGTGAGAGCACAGCAGCCAGAGTGCCTGAACTTCGGAGGATATCCGGTCAAACTGTACGGAACAGGTTGAGAGAGATCCTGAGACTGAGAACCTGGAGACCCAACGTCGTCACCATGTCGTCCAACGTCTCCGTTATCTAAAATGATCCACTTGGTTGTATAGACATTTCCTTCTTCTATACCGAAGTAAAAATTCATGTACTGAAGTCTATTTGTGGACAAGTTATACATGTTTGAAAATACACAATTTTCGCAACAGATTTCTGGCCTATGCGTTTCTTTTTTGGGATAGTATATGTTAAGAATTTCAACAGAAGGTCCTCTTCAGTGTCAGTCTTGAGACAGATAATTCTTCTCAAATCCAAACCATCTACGCATGCGCGAAAGTATCACTCCTTTCCTGTGTGAGCTTAAGAAAACATTGAACACAATTTCCAAGCATCATTTCTGCATGTGTTCATTTTGATTAATCTGACTTCTCGGTTGTTTTTCTCGTAAGTAGATTGCGAGTGAGTGAGTTTTGGTTTCATGCCACTTTTAGCAATATTCCAGCAATATCACGGCGGGGGACACCAGAAATGGATTCACACAATGCACCCATGTGAGGAATCGAACCCGGGTCTTCGGTGTGACGAGCGAACGCTCTTACCACAAGGCTACCCCACTGCTCCAAGTAGAGGAAAATGGATACCTACCGCTCCAAGTAGAGGGAAATGGATACCCTCCACATCCGGTTCCGGTACCAAATAAACCTGTCTACAACCTTACGAGGTGAGTTACGATCTGATCGTATGTCGACCGAGGTGACCTGATATAGATGTTCTGGAAGTGATCGAAGAAATCATATTGGAATGCATCGTCAGACCTCCTAGACTCGTACCCAGTCCTTCGTGTCATCCCGGCTGTTGAAGGGGCGGGGCGGACCCCGCCGGTCGCCTAGCGGTTAAAGCGTTCGCTCGTCACGCCGAAGACCCGGGTTCGATTCCCCACATGAGTATAATGTATGAAGCCCATTTCTGGTGTCCCCCGCCGTGATGTTGTTAAAAGCGGCGTAAAACTAAAGTCATCCACTAACCCGGCTTTTGAAATGACGCATCGTATTGGTAGAAGGATAGGGTATATTGCAATATGGGACACGTGGACACCAGAAAGGTATGTTGTTAACGCTGCACTCGGCCATTTTACATCTAAATCCTGATGGACGTGGAAAGGGTATTGTCCCTTTTATTTCCACCGAAGGTTTTGTGACAGTTTGGCCCCAGTTTGGCCCTTCCAGCGTTGCACACCGCCTCCGTGGTGTTGTGGTTAGAGCGTCCGCCCGGAGAGCGGAAGGTCGCGGGTTCGATCCCCGACCGCGTCATACCAAAAGACGTTACTTGTATGGTACTTGTTGTTCCCTGCCTGGCGCTCGGCATTAATGGGTACAAGGACTGGTCGGCCCGGAGTCAGTATAATGTGTCTAAGGGGGTATTCATGCTTCACTGCGGCATGGTATCTCAGTGGGCTAGCACTATAAAAGCAGCTTAAGTCTGGGCTAGTACAAGCAGCCGCACATACACATACACACGCATGCATGTCGTCATATGAGCGAAATATTCTCAAGCTCGACGTTAAACCCAATTTCACCTCACCTTCAGCGTTGCACAGTGTTATACTAAGTGGTCACTATGCTGTAAAGCTTAGGCCACTTTTTTCGCGAGAAAGGTTGGTTTGTTTGTTGTGTAACGCCACACTCAGCCAATATTCCAGCTATATGGCGCTGGTCTGTAAATATTCGAGTCTGGACCAGACAGTCCAGTGATCAACAGCATGAGCATCGATCTACGCAACTGGGATACGATGACATGTCAACTAAGTCAGCGAGCCTGACCACCCGATACTGTTAGTCGCCTTTTACGATAAGCATGGGTTTGCGGAAGACCAATTCCAACCCGGGTTTATCACAGAGGGGTTGAGCACTGTCATTTACTTACCGTTTTGTTCATGTATTAAATTCCACTGCTGTCAGAGATCAGTAGATGCCAGATCCCAGCTTTCCCCCGGTCTTTCAGGGTACGACGTGAAGGGATGTTGTATTCCCTATCTTTCGCCAAGATGCTTGCCAGAAGGAACACGAAGGTCTTCTTCAGCCTCACACTCTTTCTCGCTTTGGGAAAGACAGCTTTTCACAGATAATCGTTCAATTATTCATTATTTCATAAACAGATCAACCTACCTTTCACCTTAGTGCGTGTGGTATGTGCCGTGTTATGCTACGGAAAGGTGAAACCCTCACCATATGTACATAGATGGGGCTTGAAGCTCAATAATTCATTCTTAATATATCCGACATTTACTCAACTGGGGGAACAGAAAACTGATATCGTTTATACAATTTTCTGCAGCTCACTCTGTTTCCCCATATGATGTTTAGACCTATGCGGTTCTTTCTGCTGCTGTGTGTTGCTGAGATAGAGCTTTCAAGAACGTTGTGTTCAAATTCCTGCTGCTCTGTAACCCGGAACGGTACCTCAGTTATATCATGGCATGGTGGGGGGGTGGGGGGTGTTTGAAGTGAAGTGACGTCGTATACTTATATGACGACGTGCATGCGTGTGTATGGCTGGATGCTTGTACTAGTCTAGACTTAAGGTTTTAGTGCTAGCTCACTGAGATACCATGCCGCAGTTAAGCATGAATGCCCTACTCAGACACATCATACTGACTCTGAGCCGACCAGTCCTTGTACTCATTAATGCCGAAAGCCAGACAGCGACCAACAAGTACCATATATTTACGTCTTTGGTAAGACGCGGCCGGGAATCGAACCTGCGAGTATCCACCTCTAACACGAATCACATTTTCAAGACGCCTTCTCATGCTTGAAATGAGACGTCTGATTCTCAGCATCGGGATTCTCTGCCACTCCTCGTGAAGAGCCTGTTGCAGTTCATCCATATTCTGCACAGGAGGATCTCTGGCTCTCACTTGGCGCCCAAGATAATCCCATAAATGCTCTATGGGATTAAGATCAGGGCTTCTGGCTGGCCATGGAATAGTGTCAATAGCATTGTTCCTCAAATGATCGACTACTGCTCTGGCACGATGAGGCCTGGCGTTATCATCCATGAACAGGGACGACTGGCAAGTGTGTGATTTTCAAAATGGGGTATTACGGCAACATCCAAGATGTCACGTTGATAACGTTGTCCGTTTAACGTTCCCGGTACTGTGATTAGGTCCAGCTTGCAGTCGTAGGACACACAACCCCACACAATCACTGAGCCACCGCCAAAGGGGACCGTTGGTTCAGTCATTTCCGGGTTATAAGCTTCATTGCGGCGGCGCCAGACACGGCTGCGGCCGTCAGTGACGTGCAAAAGGTAACGACTTTCGTCTGACCAGTGGACTCTGCGCTAATTGATCATATTTACTTTTGAATTTGGTGGTGCTTAATTAACGTTTAGCTGTAAATATCAAAGGCTTGCAAATGGTGTGACTCAACGAAGGGTTTTAGGATGGGGTCCCTGGTTTCACCAGTCAAAATAATGGAACCTACGAGGATGGGTGTGGTACTGACAAACCCAAAAACATACATGGGGCGCTCCGAGATTCGAACCCACTATATCTTAGGTGTCCAGTGGATGTGATTTGGTTGGTTGCTTGCTTTGTTGTTTAACGCTGCACTCAGCATTGAGTCAGTCGTGTGGATTCTTCTGTAGCTACCTACATATTGGTGCCATCGCCTATCCTTCCACACAGTCGGATAGTGTTCAAATCGGCTTTGACCCCAGCTACAAATCACAATGAGTGTTTTAATTAACACCGCTTTTAACAGTATTCCAATTACATGACAGCGGGTCAGCTTAACAGAGGAAAGCTGTGTGACACAGGTCTCGGACGTTTGCCACTTTGGTGGAACCCACTAGCCAGTACCGACAAACCTGAAAATATAATCGGAGACTCCGAGTGAGCCGAGATTCGAACATATGGTCATGTTGCCAGTCTTCACAGTGAATTTTGTCGCCAAAGATCAATGGACAACAGGGTTATGTCAATCTAACCAGGAAAACCCATGGGTTCTACTTACACGAAAAAATGTGGACTGTACCGGAAGTGTGGACGTTTGGCCCTATTGTCTATGTAACATGCGCCTAACTGGATTGAGTGGTCAGGCTCGCTGACTTGGTTGATACACGGTATCGTATCCCAATTGCGTAGATCGATGCTCATGCCGTTGATCACTTGATTGTCTGGTCCAGACTCCATTATTTACAGAATGCCGCCATATAGCTGGAATATTGCTGCGTGCACTATAAAACTAAAGTCACTCACTCGCGTAACAGGTGAGCTACAGTACCATGGCGCTTCGACAAAAATTCATCCCCTGAGCCGGAACTACTTTAGCCGGACTGCATCATCCTAGAACTGATCACAAACTCACTTCATCTGTATCAATTTTATGTCAGGCACAGAATAAATATATTTTTTTCTGAAGCAAGTGGTAAAATAGTGTTATTTACATACTTTTCCAAAAAGTAAAAAAACACCTACCTTCTTACATAACTATGGTAGATCTCTCAAGGCTGGTGGGTTTTGCATTGCCTTTAACATTTGTGGGTGTTGCTTAGCTTTAATTGATGAGTTTATCTTTAACATCGAAGTTGTACATTCAAAACGTCATGGAGTTAACAATGCCAATGCACCACGATTTTCTAACGACCGCAAACTTCCAAAATGATTATGGTCATGACATTAACTATAGTGCTAGGGGATCGGGTATTCTTTAACGTTGAGTAGTTATTCTTCATGTTTTCCTTACGGGTTTCACGTTTACATCAAGACCGAAGTTTCTTCGCGAGGACAGTGCTTTCAGGGCATTTTGAGCATTGTTGGGCAGTCTGAGTTTGAGCCTGTCTGACAGAGACACCGGACTTTCCATCATGGTCGTCTCATCTGCACCGCACACAGCACGATCTTTTGTGTCCGACACAAATCCGTCCCTTCTGATCATTCCATCTACACATGGCTCTGTCTGGGCTATGTCAGTGGAGCTACCCTCAGCTGAGTCCTCCTCACTGCTGAAGGACGATGCCCCACTGACCCTGGAACCGTTAGGGCAACTATTACCCATACCGATTTTATCATCTATTGCTCTAAACAATGTTTCAGCACCTTTGGTTTCGGTTTCGGTTTCCCATTCAGGCAACGTATCACTGTCAGAGTCCTCATAGAAATTGGGCAAAGGTTGTTTAGCCGAGATTTTGATGCGGCGAGACGGATTATCCAGCATCTGTAGAAATGTACGATCACCTTCTAGTGCAAAAACTTTGTCAGTCGTCATGAAACGGTTGGTTGGCACACAAACAGGTTTACCGTTCCACACCTCACTGTCAGTATTTTCACAATTCCCTCTTTCACTATCAGAATCTTCACACAAGTCAATCACAGAATGTTCAGTGGAACGTTTGATAGAGAATGGCCCTGCAGGTTGTTCAACTGTACACGACTCTCCTGACCAGCCAGTAGTAGAAACTGGATGAGTTGAATGTGACTGTCCCAAGTCACATGACAACACTTCATGTTGAATCAGTGAGCTTTGAGATCTATTGCCCTTTCTTCTCAAGGACAGCTTGGATCTATTAGGATTTGTTTTTGGGGAACAGGGTGGAATTTGACTTTGAGATGAAAGCATGTTCACATCAGGGATCTGTTTATCAGTCTCAGTGTGACCTGGGGACATAATTTCAGATGAAGTATTTTGTTCAGTAGTAGTTCCAGGTACGGGTTCATTAGAAGCTTCTGTCTCAGGCTTTTCGCTTCCATTAGCAATGATGGGATGTTTCACAGAACAATAAGCGAATGCATCATGTTCCAGACTTTCCTGATCCATTTTGTTCTTTCCAATTTCAAGTGATGTACTGGATTCTGAACTCTCCCTTCTCAGTTGGCCTCTTGAAGCCACACCCTCCCTTGCACTAATGTCTGCTTTTTCATTTAAAGGCTTGGAATCAAGTGACAACATGTGGAAACTTAAGTCGACATTAAATTTCCCATTGCATGTTTTTGATTTATCGCCTTCAAAAGACGGAGGACATAATGAATCACTGGAAGACATTTCAGGACTACCTTCATCTGTATCTACATTACGAGTGACGGATGAACAGACAGAAGGTCGATCTTCACCAAGGGTAGTACCACCAACGGGAGTTCTATAACTGCCAAATGAAGACCCGATGGAGGTAGAATTGGCAGTAATATTGGCCAAAGTGTCATTCAACAGTGATGCTTGCATGCTGAAGTTGCCGAACTGTAACGTTGAGTTGACTGCAGAGGTGGAGGTTGGAGATGGTGTCTGATAGAATCTTGTCTGGTTCGTGTGTGCAGGTCTGCTGTTTACAGTGTCAGGTTTGCAAGGTTTTACCGTGAACATGGGAGAGGGAGTCTGATACAAGAGGACCTTAGCCTGTGACTGCCCTGAAGGAGAACCTGTCTCAGGGGTTTGTGGATAGAGTGTAGATCTCCCTGCATGTGTCAGTGGTGATGGGGTTTGATGGAATAGATGGCTTGTCACACAGAAAGGTTCCATTGGTTTAGGGCTTAAATGAGATTGATGGGGTGACCCATTTAGTAATTGAGTGTTGCTAGTGGATGAGTTAATTTGTGAAGCAGAATTACCATGACAGTGAACATGGGTATCCGTATTACTATTGTCATGGGTGTTGTTACTGTTAACGCCATTTAAACAATCATGATTTATGGCACTTTTCTCAGAACTTATTAAATCAAAGGAGATGGGAGATGTGCCATTGACAGAAGGTCTGCTCGGTCTACTGTTGATATCAGGAGTGTGAACTTCTGTCATGCAAGCAATATGGCTGAAGTCATGCTCACCACAGAGGGTATCTGGAGTAAGGTCTGAAACTGCTGGTGAATTATTTGCTTTAGGACAGGGCAATCGCAGGTTTGATGCCTCAAATGTTTCTTCATCTGATCTTAAGACCCGAGACAGATCAGTTAAAGGTGGGCCTGGGCCTGCCAGTGAATCAATATCTTGTCCTTCAACATATGCATCTGAACCCTTTAGTCTACAATCTGCTGAATCAACAGGTAATGAAATATTCTTTGAACTATGACATCCAGTCTCCCATGACTTTCTTTCAAAATAGGGTCGACTTGATTTGGAATTGGTAACATTCCTTAAATCATTACAAGCTGACTGCTTGCAAGCTCTGTGAGAATCTACATTTACATCTGAAAACGGATCATGTGCGCTACCTTTAATTGGTTGGTCTCTGCACAGAACAGGTTGGGACAAATCTTTGATTTCATTTGCTTTCTTTCTCCTCCCCCGAGACTGGATCATCACATCTGATTTCTTCCCTGAATTATAGGACACATTAGGTTTCTTGAAGCAGCTGTCATCATTGAATGCACCCGGTGAGTTTGGGTTTGCCACTCCAAGTTTTTCCTGTTCACTATTCCTAGTCCTTACAGGCTTTACACTCAACATTGAGTTAACCCCACTCTCTGACGTACATTTCATCTTGGTATGCTGTTTCAGGGCCAGACACTGTTCAAAGCCTCCAGACGAAGATCGGCCTTTGGTGGACTGACCAAGCTTCATCTGAAGCCTCTGAGACAGGGAGAGGAACACCTCGTCATTCTCCTTGTCCGAATCTGAATCAGACTCTGGTTTGTCTGAATCCTCACCGGAACTAGACTTGTATGGAATCTCTTGCTCATCTTGCTCCAGTATATATCCTCCACTTCTGTGTTTATCACTGGTGCCTAGTGTGCCTCTTAACTCAAGTGAAATGCCTTTGTGCAAGTTTGCACCTGCCAGTCCAGTCACTTTCTTAATCTTTGAACACAACTCATTTTCATGAGGACAATCTGACACAGTATGACTGTTCCTGCTCATCATTAAAGATGTCTTGTTTTCCTGTTTCACCCTGACATCCAGTTCATCAACATCTTTGATGCTGCGGCCTGGTTTACGTCGACTCTTTGCTGTGGGATGTGGACCACCAATAGGTCCTTGTGTTGAAGGCTCCTTCTTCAGGTGATGGGAGGTTGACTGTACACACTGAGTGACTTGTCTCTGAGTGTCATGTGACATGTGACTGGAAACTTTGTGAATACACTCTGTGTCTTTCATTCGAGTCTCCTGAATAGCACCCTTATCACCCTGGAGCTCCAACAGCAGCATCTGGCTGGACAAGTCACCCAGCTCATCCTCTGGATGTTCCTTCTTCTTGGATTTCTTCGAGCCTAAAAGATTTAAAACTGTATATAACACCAGCAAGTTTAATGATATCAGAGTACGTTGGAGGCTGTTTCAAGAACAGCAAAAGCTGTACTAATTCAATATTGATTGTACTGAAACGAACTTCTTGATGCATTATCCGAGATTACTGTAGAAATAAACATTTAAGGCTTCATTCTGTGTTTTGATACTTCAAACCTTGTAAATCAATTGTCATTTTGCCAAGGGTTCTACCAAATTATATTCTCCAAATTTATGATTGTATTATTTCCTTTGTCAAATGTTCTTAAATCTGTTTTCTAGAAGAGGCGAGTAGCAGAATCAAAGATTTAGCAAACATCATTTAAGACGGAAAATCATGCGTGCTAATGTTTCAGAATTAACAATAATTTATTTAAATGCAAGGCTCCCAGAAAAATGGCCTGACCCTAATTTCTGATGTTATTTTGCAGTGAAGGCTGCACAAAAGGTTAGTTAGCAGCTGAACTACTAAGTAAACATTTTAGAGCTTCAAGCTGTTTCATGATTTTTCCAGGCCATGATAAGGATCTATAACTGCCAAAAACCCTATTCACACTTTCATTAATATTTTTTGGTCAGTAATTCATTTCCGGTATATCTCCTCCAGTTCTGTGTTTATTACTGGTTCCTGGTGTCCCTCATGACTCCACTTCAAACTTGCACACTTGTTAAAATATGCACCTGACGTTTTTGCTCATTAACTTTTAGCTACATGACACCAAGCACACCACAAAATCTATCTAGTCCTGTTAAATGTTAAACAGTAGACCAAATCCCACCCATAACCAACATGGGGGTGTCAGAAATACAGGACAAGGCAATTTCAATTTTAATACATGTAAGCAGAAAATTACCTTTCTTTTTCTTCTCCTTCTTCATATCCATCTCCTCTTCAAGTTGGCGGACGAGGTCTGGGAAGGCTCGTGCAAAGAGGCCCTGCTCCTCCAAAGTCGTGTAAAATTCACTGCTTGTGTTCACATCATCCACTACCAAAGAGGAAATTGTGAGTTATGAAAAGTAGTGTTTCAATACCTGTGATTTCGTTCTCTTACACCAGTAGTTATACCTATTTACCCCAGCTCATACAACTTTGTTGTTTAACACCACTCAACATTATTCAAGCTACATGACAGTGGTCTGTAAATGTCTGAACCAGACAATACAGTGACTAACACCAGCAGATGTCTGTAAATAATCAAGTCTGGACCAGACAATCCAGTGATCAACAGCATGAGCATCGATCTGCGCAATTGGGAACCAATGACATGTGTCAACCAAGTCAGCGAGCCTGACCAATTGATCCCGTTAGTGGCCTCTTACGACAAGCAGGGGGTACTGAAGATCAATATTCTAACCCCGACCTTCATGGGTCTGTACACTATTGAACCATATCTTACCAGTCTTATATTGAGATGAAACAGTCGCCACACAGCAACTTGGTTGCAAATGTAACCATTAAAATTTAATGACACGAGTAATGTCAACAGATTGCAGAATAGATAAGTTCTTCATCATACTGTGCTTCATGGCTCAAATGCTAAACAGCAACTCATTGATTTTAGCTCAAGGACAGCATCAGTTATTGATATTACATATAGCACAGCACCAACTAGAAATGCAAGACATATCTTGTTGCTGATGACACCTTTCTCATACGAGTGTGAGTGAAAGTTATTTTTTACAATGCTTTACAAGGCAATATTCCAGCAAAATCACTTTCTTAGTAAAGCACAGATTCTAGTGCTGTTGTTGGGTTGAGTGTGGGTTTGAATCCCGGATGTTTTTTCTGTAGTTTACTAAAAAAGTGTAATTCCTAATATAATACATGTATATATTACATCTGACCACTTTCCACAGGTGCCTGACTCTGAGGGTGTGGGTTCAAATACCAGATGGGACTCAACCCAACAAAAGTACTAGAATCTGTACTTTACTAAGAAAGTGTAATCCCAAATATAAGATATGTTACATTTGACCACTTTCTAAATGGCATTCTGTAATCATAGCTTTCGGCAGGGGGAGCCGTGCCAATATACACTTATCGGAGGGGTCTAAAGTACCAGTTGTCTGACTTCCATTTCTGTGTAAGTTGCGGTGGCTGAGCGGATTAGGTGCCTGACTTTGAGGGTGTGGGTTCTAATCCCGAATGGGACTCAACCCAACAAAAGTACTAGAATCTGTACTTTACTAAGAAAGTGTAATCCCAAATATAAGATATGTTACATTTGACCACTTTCTAAATGGCATTCTGTAATCATAGCTTTCGGCAGGGGGAGCCGTGCCAATATACACTTATCGGAGGGGTCTAAAGTACCAGTTGTCTGACTTCCATTTCTGTGTAAGTTGCGGTGGCTGAGCGGATTAGGTGCCTGACTTTGAGGGTGTGGGTTCTAATCCCGAATGGGACTCAACCCAACAAAAGTACTAGAATCTGTACTTTACTAAGAAAGTGTAATCCAAAATATAATATATGTTACATTTGACCACTTTCTAAATGGCATTGTGTAATCATCAACGAATACTAGTATAGATACATGTCACAGGTTCAATTGTTCATACAATGTACAGCACAGCACCACTGGCACATTTTACAATTTTTGTCCCTAACAGCTTGCCATACAGATGAGCTGGCTGCCGGCAGGTACATCCTGGGCTCTGGCACATGCTGCTCCTGCAGTCTGTGCACTCAGGTGATATAAAAGCTGCATGTGTAATTTCTCTAATTACAGGTACGCAAGTTTGTTTGAATTGTTCATATTAAAACAATTTCTCATAATTAAGTCAGGTGTAACCCTGTATTCAAATAATTATATTTAATAATGGTCTAGTAACCATTTACATTCATAATTATTTATATCTAATAATTATGTAAAATGTCACAATAGTTTTACTTGTCGTATTGATTTATAAGACACACCATGCTGGCAGTGGCAGCCCTCTATGTAATTTCCCTAATTACAGGTTTATGGCACGCTCGTGTTTGACAAACCCCAAATGGAAATGGCAAATGGCATAATAAAGAGATTGAACACCAGCCCAGTGGTTGTGTTTTAAAACCCTGCAACATTTTGGCGCCCAACGTGGGGCTGGTGTTCTCATCAACAACTTGACAGCCATAACATCAACATGACCGCCATAACTAAATGACTGCCACAACATCATGACAACTTTAACCACTGGCCATGGGCATCGTTTCATCGATGGATACAGTATTCCTGTCAGTGTTCCGGTAACCAGGTTTTGTGGTAGAGCCCGATAACATCATGATATGTTGCCGGCAGTAGTACTATTAACAGTACGTCGAGTACTAGTACTACCCATCATGGGTGTGCACACTCGCGTTTCGCGATGTACATATTATATTGTGAACAGACATTTAATTTGACATTTTGGAATAACTTTCACTTGTGTTATTCTGTGACTTTAATTTTTCATGAATATTATCCATGGATTGCTTCGCGTTTCCGCGTCTGTGAAGTTGACCTTTTTGTGATACTTTTATCACATGAACTTATGTTGAACGTGTGAACGTGACTTTTGTCACATGAACTTTTGTTGAACATTTGATCAATGTATCGACCATTCTGTTTCTTTTTCAGCTGTTCACTATAGAATGCTTATTTGAATTTCGCAATGTGTTTAATGTTTATTGTGCCATTTGTTTAACATGCCACTGAAGTAATATGTGAAGTAGTTCTGGGTTGTGACATTACTGCTTTCATGTTTCGGAATAGTTGAATATTACTTTATACTATTTACACAATGAATAGGTTCTGAAATGTTTTGCTAGTCCATCATCTTAGCTTAGACTTTTGATAGGAGATTGAAAGCTTGGTGCGAGTGTGAGAATTGTCATAGGGAAATTATCACATGCCTAACTGTCTTAACAACTGCATTGCACATTTTGAATTATGAACACAAATTCATACCATGTTAATACTTGACTTTTTGTTTTCAGAGCTGACAGTCTTGGGGAACCAGATGTGATTCTTATCCTTATTCGTGGAATTTTGATGTTTGCTGACTTATGTATTCTAGATTTTCAGGACTTGTATTTATTTGTCTACTTTTATCACTGGCCCTTTCAGCAATGGCCAGCGGCGGAAATGAAGAGGATTGGGAATCCCAGCGAAGCAAGGCTGGAGTTAGTGAAGATGATATTCAGAAGATGATCAAGTACATAGAGACTTCAGGATATCAAGTTCAACCTTCAAGTCCCAGGCATCGGGCAAGTTCTCTTGTTACCACCTAACACACAATACATTCAACCACCCCGTATATCTGTATTCTCAGGTAGTGATGCCAAGGGGGAGTCTTAGTTTGAGAATTGGATGTTTGAGGTTAAGTGTTTGTTGAATAGTAGGGATTATCCAGCCTCTATCTTAGCACAGGGCGTTAGGAAGTCGTTAAAGGGTGAAGCTGGTAGAGCTGTCCTTTTGCTTGGTGAACATGCATCAGTGGATGATATTTTGAGTAAGCTTGACAGTTAAAACTGTTGTTAGTTCAGCTGATACGTTGCTGCAGAATGTTTTCACAGATTGCCAGAAGGAGGGTGAATCGTTGGCAACTTGGTCCTGTAGACTTCAAGATACTTTGCTGAAAGTTAAATCTAAGGGTGAGGTTAGAACTGATAATAATCCCCTCACATATGTCTTGTCAACAGCCAAGTTAGGACGCGACAGGGCACAGGTGGCTTGCAGCATTGTCAACATATGACTTTAAGATTATCTATCGTGCAGGAAAAGCTAACAAGGATGCAGATGCTTTATCTCGTCACCCAAACTTTTCTGCTACAGATATTCAGTCCAATGTTGTTAAGGCTATTTGTGGTTCTCAGTCTGTGAATATGGTTGAATGTTTGGCAACTTCACCAGATGTTGTGGAGGAGAGTACTGTTCCTTTAGGAATGTAGATTGGGTCTTAGAACAGTGTAAAGATCTGGATGTTGGCAAAGTGATAGATTTTGTCACAAAGGGAAGAAAACCAACTGCTCGTCTAGTTTGCAAAGAATCCGATGGAGTTCGTAGGCTTTTAGGACAGTGGAAGAAACTTGTGGTTAGGGATGGTGTTTTATACAGAAAAAAAGTTACATCAAGGTGATTTGAGATATCAACTTGTATTACCAACACAATGGAGGAAATTAGTTTTGGATGCGCTACATGATGACATGGGACATCAGGGTCGAGACAGAACAGTAGATTTAGTTCAGTCCAGGTTTTATTGGCCAGGGTTGTCCATAGATGTCGAAACAAAGATCAGGCTTTGTGGTAGATGTATTCGCAGAAAATGTTCTCCTAATCAAGTTGCAGCTCCACTTGGGAATATTTCTACAAGTCAACCTATGGAATACAGTCAAATCCCGATGAGTCGAATGCCGGTGTCTCGAATATTATGCATAACACGAAGTACCTGTCGGTCCCGACCATTCCCTGCTGTTTTTGTCATCATTTGATTTCCGGTTACACGAATTTGTCTCATAAATACACACGATGACTCGAAATGGAAATTTGGTCCCTTGAGATTCAAACAATAGTAATCTTGTATACATAAGCCGAAGTCAGTCAATGAGAAGTTAATTGGTGATCCAACTACATGTAACTCATCCAATTAACAAACCAGCGCGGCTCGCACCTTTCCGCTATTGTCGGGTGAGTTCAAAAGGCAGATTAGTGATTTTACGGAAGCAGAAGAATTAGCACATGACATTGAGTTAACTCAATCAAATCGGTCAAACCACCACCATCCGTATCGGAAGCGATAAAGTTCTGTGAAGGACTGGAGGAATTTCTCGAGTCGGTTCCAGGTACAAACAACGAACATTTTTCCCACTTGGCAAGCGTCCGTGAATTTGTGGATAAATGTAAGGTAAATTCACAGAAACAAACGTTACTGTCAGACTTTTTTCAGAAGTGAATTCATCTTTTTGTATATTAATAAGATTCAAGATGGCGGCATGTACAAGTATATCTATCGATTGCCGATAGAGTTTGTTCATGGATTTTAAGAGGTAAATGTATTTTCTATTTTCTGTAAATGTATTGTGCTATATTTAGATATGATGTGCGGAATAAAGGAATTGTTCAATATTGAATCATCTTTTTTTTCTACCCTCATAGACATCCCTATGTCTCGAATACATCGATAAGCCGAATCTTTTACTTGGTCCCCAGCGATTCGACTCATCGGGATTTGACTGTAGTTTGTGTAGATTACCTTTCTCTTGAGGAAGCAGGTGGATGTGGGAATATTCTCGTGATTACGGATCATTTTACGAGATTTGCACATGCAGTTACCACCAGGAATCAAACAGCTACTACAACAGCTAAGGCATTATTTGATTTCTTTCTTCACTATGGGTTTCCAACACAGCTACATAGTGATCAAGGTCGCAAGTTTGAGTCAAAGGTTATCAAAGCCCTCTGTAAACTGGTTGGCACTGTCAAGACTAGCACATCACCATATCACCCAATGGGAAATGGAATGGTAGAGCCATTTAACCAGACTTTACTCAAGATGTTAGGTACCTTGGAGGAAGATAGAAAGGCAGATTGGAAAATGTATGTTCCAGCATTAGTACATGCATACAATGCTACAAGGCATGATAGCACTGGTTATTCACCATTCTATCTGATGTTTGGGCGACATCCCCGTTTGGCTATAGATGCTTTCCTTGGCATTAATCCAGATGACATGCAAGAGCAGTCAGGTGTCGTGTATGTAGCCAGGTTGAAGAATAGGTTAGACTATGGTTATATCATTGCTTCCAGAGTCCAGTAAAGCTGCATGCAGACACAAAAAGAGATATGACAGGAGAGTAAGCGAAGCAGTTCTTACAGAAGGAGATAGAGTACTCGTGAAGAACTAGTCTAAAAGGAAAGTACAAATTGGCAGATTTCTGGTCCAGTGACCCATATACAGTTGTCAGTCAGCCAAATAAGGACATACCAGTATATGTGGTGAAAAGAGAGAATGGAAAAGGTAAAGTAAAGACATTGCATCGAAATATGCTACTATCTTTTATGTCTCTACCTGGTCCAGATGTGACTATACCTGCTCAGTACACAAGAACACAACTCAAGGAGATGGATTTTGAAGATATTTCTTCTGAAGATGCAAGTGAGTATGAGGATTTAGTTCCATTTCTCTATATTGGAGATCACCAAGGTAACCCAGAGGTTTCTATCACTTCATCTTCTGTCGAGTTGGATCATGCTGATTCTCATATTTTGGATCAACCAAGTTCTTCAGATACAGAAACTGTAAATAGCACTGAAGAGGCTACTGTAAATGACTTTTAAGGAATTGTTTTGAATTCCGAACAGAATTCAACGGGTTCTCCCCAAGATTGTATTCTTGATCCAGGTGCCAGTCCTTTTATTCCTCGACGTTCAGGTCGTGAAAGGAGGCCACCAGACTGGTTCAGGAGTGGTGCGTATATTTTGTTGCAAAATGATGAAAATGATGAAATATTTGTGTAATTCCCAATTTCATTTCAGGAATTATTCGAAGACATGTAATAATTGTATTTCAGATGTTTTATAATGTCGGGGACGATATTTTCCTGAGGAGGGGAAAGTGTCACAGGTTCAATTGTTCACACAATGTACAGCACAGCACCACTGGCACATTTTACAATTTTTGTCCCTAACAGCTTGCCATACAGATCAGCTGGCTGCCAGCAGGTACATCCTGGGCTCTGGCACATGCTGCTCCTGCAGTCTGTGCACTCAGGTGATATAAAAGCTGCATGTGCCATGTGCCCGGCACACACCATGCTGGCAGTGGCAGCCCTCTATGTAATTTCCCTAATTACAGGTACGCAAGTTTGTTTGAATTGTTCATATTAAAACAATTTCTCATAATTAAGTCAGGTGTAACCCTGTATTCAAATAATTATATTTAATAATGGTCTAGTAACCATTAACTTTCATAATTATTTATATCTAATAATTATGTAAAATGTCACAATAGTTTTACTTGTCGTATTGATTTATAAGACACACCATGCTGGCAGTGGCAGCCCTCTATGTAATTTCCTAATTACAGGTTTATGGCACGTTCGTGTTTGACAAACCCCAAATGGAAATGGCAAATGGCATAATAAAGAGATTGAACACCAGTCCAGTGGTCGTGTTTTAAAACCCTGCGACATACAGATGATAGGCTGAAGCTATTCATGGTATGATTTACACATATCATTAACATCATAAATATCAGAAGATATTATACCCAATTATATGACATGAAATGCTTGTAAGATTTTTTGCGTGGTTCAGAATTAATGTATAAATGTTAATTCTCACCTGACTTGAACCACTCCACTTCATAGACAGGTACTCCATGTCGGACACGAGGCTTCACAATCCTGTGTGTGGCAAACAATTCAGATGTATGTGAGTGAGTGAGTGAGGGAGGGAGGGAGTTCCAGCAATATCATGGCAGGGAACACCAGAAATGGTCTTCACATTGTGACAAGCAAATACTTTGCGTGACTAGGCTGACCCCTAAGGCTACCCCTGAAAACATTTAGGAAATTAGAAAGGAAATCATGTCATTGGTTTAGTGAGCCGACAGTGCAGGAAATACACCACATGTAACAGCTCTCTCACTAAACAAATCGCTGAACTAGGGGAGGTGAGGTGAAATTGGGTTTAACGTCGCACTTAAGAATATTTTGCTCATATGATGACGTGTATGCGTGTGTATGTGTAGCTACTTGTACTTATGGTGGGAGGTGAAGTGACGTCGTATACTTATATGACGACGTGCATGCGTGTGTATGCTTGTACTAGTCCAGACTTAAGGTTTTATAGTGCTAGCTCACTGAGATACCATGCCGCAGTGAAGCATGAATACCCCACTCAGACACATTATACTGACTCCAAGCCAACCAGTCCTTGTTGTACCCATTAATGCCGAGCGCCAGGCAGGGACCAACAAGTACCATATTTTAACGTCTTTTGGTATGACGCGGCCAGGGATCGAACCCACGACCTCCCGCGGAGTGAGTTAGTGAGTGCCCACATGAAAAAGGTAGGAAACTAAGAAGCCTGAAGTGATGCAGGTCTTAGACCTTTATGAATTTGGCAACAAACGTATTCTACTGGTAAATCAAAAAACATGATCAGGCCACATTGTTGGATTTCTACCCAAGACTATCGCGACTCTGCACAGCAAATTGCAGCAACGTGGATGACAAGGCCAAGGTCATGGTCCCTGATCATGTCAGCACAGAACAATATACCCCTCACAACTAACATCAGCTCAGTCTACAGGGATATACCCCAAATACTGAACTTAGTGCATGAGGCAGGTCGGTTGGGAAAAAATATATTACTTTTTAGAAAAGTGTATTTTTATTTGTTCTTTTTTGAAAAATTAAGCCATCCCTACAATGCCATGATATTGGTTATAGTGTTTTAGCACAAATTGGGCAAGGGTTTATTCCAAGTTTGGTATATCTATTTATAGCTGCTTGGACTTCGGTTTATCCATGTCATGTCTGTTCATAAAACCATTATACAAGCTATTGCTTTGGAAAGAATAAAGAAACCACTGAAATATTCCAATAGTACCAGGAAGTAAGCAGAGGCATTGTGATTTTATGTGTGCTTCAAACACTAATATCAGACTCCAATCACTACACATCACACACCTAGTAGGTTTCAGGTGGGGCACATTTTGTAACTGTCTGTCAGCTATATGTACCAAGTCCCACAGTGTAACTAGCGGCAGGACCTTCTCCGTGGTGTAGTCCGGCGGCCATTCCATCTTTGTCTCGGCATACCCCTGGAAAATTCAACGTAGAGGATTATATCTTAATGGAGGATGAATGTTGTTTGTAATAATGTTTCACCTACTCAAAGCTATCTTTAAACAAGAGTCATGAGAAGATGACAAATCTCCCTGGCCAGGGGTGGAAATAACCCATTGCCCGACACCTGAGTCCAGTGGGTTTTTTTGTCGGGCAAGCAAATTTGTATATCACACTGTACCGGTGTCCAGTTGACTTTCCAATATTAATTATGTTGTTTATTTAAAAAATCAACAAGAAAACGGACGGTATAGTGGAAAAATTATCAGGGCAAGTGATTTTACATGTGCCACTATACCGGAATACACTAGCAATTTTAAAGTTATTTCCACCCTTGCTGGCCCCCATAAATTTGAAAGAACAAATCATCTGACAGTTACTTTAAGTCCAACTTGATTTTTTTAGACTAAATCCAAACCGTTTCCATGGATACCGAGAAAAATAAAAATGCCAAAAATGTGCAAATAGCAAAAGGCACCACTGATTGATATGTCTGCCAAGTTTTGATCATAGATATTGAGCGCTTTTCAAGTCATGGTCCAGAAACAAAATGATGACAGACAGATGCACGGACGAGGCGTTGACACACAAAGTTTCAAAGTAGCAACCCAAAGGCTTTGTGGGCAAAGAACTGATACAAGAACAGGTACTGGTACCATCACAAGTCCCGTCCAAGAGCACAGTGAAATATTTGAGTCCCACAAACAGCACAAGTCACCAGTTCATGCCAGTGGCACTTATAATTCAAGACCAATGGACCTTCAACCAAGGCCTTCAGTGTAAATCTGCCAAGACCATTGGTGTAAATCTGCCAAGGCCATCGGTGTAAATCTGCCAAGGACATCGGTATAAATCTGCCAAGGACATAGGTGTAAATCTGCCAAGGTCATCAGTGTAAATCTGCCAAGGCCATTGGTGTAAATCTGCCAAGGCCATGTGAAAATCTGCCAAGGCCATTAGTGTAAATCTGCCAAGGCCATTGGTGTAAATCTGCCAAGGCCATTGGTGTAAATCTGCCAAGGCTATTAGCATAAATCTTCTAAGGACATTAGCGTAAATCTGCCAAGGCCATTGGTGTAAATCAGCCAAGGCCATCAGTGTAAATCTGCCAAGGCCATTAGTGTAAATCTGCCAAGGCCATTGGTGTAAATCCTGACTGGCACTGATGGTTTGACTATCTCACTGACCTGTGTTTTGGCAATGTGTGGACGTCTCCATATAAATTCCTGCTTTGGAATTGTTTCTTGTGAGCTTAGAAATTCATCAATAACCTGGAACAGATGACACTACACAATGGTAGAGGAGATTCTGACATGAGTAACCTGGAACAGATGACATTTCACAATGGTAGAGGAGATTCTGACATGAGTAATTTCAACATTCAGAGTTTATTTTGTGTTTATACATTCCAGCTACACACAGCAATATTTCAGCTGTGATGATGGTCTGTTAAAATGTAGTCGGGAACTGACCATCCAGTGATTAATATCATGAGCAAAGAGTGAGGGAGTGAGTTTGGTTTCACGCCGCCTTTAGCAATATTCCAGCAATATCACGGCGGAGAACCCCAGATATGGGCTTCACACATTGTACCTGTGTGGGGAATTGATCCCATGTCTTCGGCATAACAGGCAAATGCTTTAACCACAAGGCTACCCGACCGCCCCTCATGAGCAAAGATCAACCCTCGAGCTACCAAGATACACAATAAACCAAGTCACCCTGTATGTCACCATTTGGTCACTTCTCACACCCAGCATGACTGAATGACAGCTCTGAGCATTATTCCAGCCCTGTCAGCGACCTGCAAATTATTTTGCAGACTGTCTCACCTGGGAAATTCAGTGACTGAAAGTTTAGTTTTTACATCGCACTCAGCAATATTCCAGCTATATGGCATCAGTTTGTAAATAATCAAGTCTGGACCAGACAATCCAGTGAACAACAGCTTGAGCATTGACATCCACATTTGGGCTACAATGACATGTGTCAACCAAGTCAACGAGCCTGACCCTCCAATCCCATTAATCGCCTGTTATGACAAGCATGGGTTGCTGAAGACTAGTGGTGGTCCGATTAATTGAAATAATCGAAGATTGGTCGCAGTGACTAAACGACCAAGCAATCGATCATGTTTTCTCATAATCGAACACTTGTTTTCATCAACAATATTTTTCACAAGGTTGGTTTTATCTATTACATTTCATAAGCACTACAAGCTTGTTCCAAGTCATGACTGAATTCATCTTAAAGACACCAAGAAATTTATGTTCCTAACATACTAGTCATCCTTTAAAGATGTGAAATTTTACCAAAAACACCCCCAAAATAACTACATGTTTTTTTCCTTCTTTTTTTGTGCATTAACAAATTTCATAAATGACGCTAACCAATTATTTTCGATGATTGATCGGTGGTAATGAACCAATCATCAATTATGAGATTTTAACCAATTCCCAACACTCCTGAAGACCAACTCTAACCCGGATCTTCACGAGTTCTGTGACATATAAAACATTAGGAACTAAACTTGGAGAACAATGACAAACAATTTGATTTAAAACCCGATATTTTTGCTGCACCTTTTACAATTATCCCAATGATGAACATGAATTGTGTTGAAGCTCACCTGTGACTGGGGGAAATCTTGTGTTGCAAGAGATTTTTGTCGGATAAAAATCTCAATCTTGCTGACACACTGACTGACTGTCATCTGTCCCCACTGAAGAAACCTGAACGTACACGAAATAGCAATATTACCGACTGATTCACTATCCATTCATGCTTCTGCACTGAATCTCACAAGGTAACATTTAAAGAACCCAGCCTGCTAATCTCTCATGCCTGCTACAGTGAGGTGGACTAGTGAGTCAGTCAGTCAGTTTAGTTTTATGCCGCTTTTAGCAATATTCCAGCAATATCATGGCTGGGGAATTGTACCCATGTGGTGAATCAAACCCAGGCAGGGATAGAAATACTTTTTTTTCTAAGTGTGCCTTAGGGCACCAGACAAATATTTTAAGTGTACCTTTCTGAAATCGAGTAGGCCCACATATTTTTAGAATAAATGACAATGATGATCATTTGAAATTTATTGTTAAATAAAGAAATGGGTTTATGAGCATTCAAATATGTATGGTATTATTCAATTTGGAAAAAAAATAATTGTTTGGGGGATTAAATGACTAAATGTGAATTATGTCTCTTAAAAACTTAGGCGTCTCAAAAGGGCACCGAGAACATTTTTTAGCTGTGCCATTTCTGTATTTACCGTGCCATGGCACACTAATATATGGGGTATTTCGAACCCTGCCAGGTCTTAAGCGTAACGAGCGAACGTTTTAACCACTAGACCACCCCACAGCCCCTAAGGTGGACTAGAGAGACCATTTGAATGCACACACCTATTTGCCTTAAACAGTATTTATATGTGATGATTCTTCATTGATACAATGTCTGAAAATACTCAAATTATGTTTCTCTGAAAATGCACATCAGAGAAAATTGATGTAAAAACCAGGCCAATATGAAAACAAGCTGATAATCTAATACGCTTTATTTTTAGACCAGTGGAAGAAAAATAGTTGCTGTTTACCAAAAATTTTGCTTCCACCTAACAATATAGAGCCAATTCGAAATTATCTGTATAAATATCTTCTTGGTTCAAACAAGGAAATGTCTCAGAACACGACGAAAATGTCAATATAACACATGTCAATATATGTGTTAAGCCTTAGCATTTTAAAAATGGCCTTATTTTGATACATGTGATATCAAAATGCATTCTGGTACCATCCTCAACATACAGGAATTCTACTCCCACATTAATACTGACCGCCTCGGTGGTGTAGTGGTTAGAGCGTCCGCCCGGAGAGCGGAAGGTCGCATGTTCGATCCCCGACTGCGTCATACCAAAAGACGTTAAAATATGGTACTTGTTGGTCCCTGCCTGGCGTTCGGCATTAATGGGTACAACAAGGACTAGTCGGCTCGGAGTCAGTATAATGTGTCTGAGTGGGGTATTCATGCTTCACTGTGGCATGGTATCTCAGTGAGCTAGCACTATAAAACCAGCTTCAGTCTGGGCTAGTACAAGCAGCCCCACATACACATACACACGCATGCACGTCGTCATATGAGCGAAATATTCTCAAGCACGACGTTAAACCCAATTTCACCTCACCTCACCCCACATTAATACTGATGCCAGACATTGTCTAACCTTTTGAGTATATCCACACCTTTGAGAGACTGGAGATACTTGATGACCCGGTCAACTCCCACCCCAGGGACCCCTCCGGGCAGGTAGTCACACCCCAGGAGTAGTGCCACACCCACCAGTGACTCCCGCGATATCCCCAGGTCCTGTTCAATGGCAGCCATGCTGTAGCTCTCAACATGAGGGTCCTGAACAAAGATCACGTCGGAACAAATGTAACAATTTAAATATGAGTGAGTTTAGTGTTACGCCGTTTTTAGTTCCAGCAGGACGGGGGACACCAGAAATGGGCTTCACACATTGTACCCATGTGAGGAATCGAACCCAGGGCTTCACAAGATGAGTGAACGCTTTAACCACTAGGCTACCCCACCTACTTAACATATCACAAATTCAGTGGACATCCTAAAAAACAATATCACATCCTCAGTGGACATCCTAAAACACAATATGCAAAGAATTCCCTTGAAACACTGATCACTTTTCAAACCAGGCCTCAATGAAACTGAATTAATTAACTATGAAATTGCTTTCTTAGAACAAAACCGCCATTGTAAATTTAATCAATGTATAAGTTAGCTTCTGTTTATCTAATATTCTATGTTTTGTGATTCTATTTTATACAATTACTGCTGTAGACTGTTAATTATGTTGATTTATGAATCATACAAACTGAATATTTTGATTAAGGCCTACATTTAAGGCAATGATCGGACTGGTCAGGAAGAGTACTTTATCAACACACTATCTTGGAACATTTTCAGAACGGTAGACTAACGCTTAGACTATAGTTTAATTGTAACATATATACCCATTCAAATTGAAAAGGAGCCCAAGGGAGATCAGAGATTCCTGAATCTGAGGAAATCAGACTTGCTTCATTTAGGGCTTTAGCATTGCAGATAGTGAGTAAGTGAGTACTATATGGTTTTACGCCACTTTTAGCAATATTCCAGCAATATCAGGGTGGGGGACACCAGCATTGCAGAGAGGGCTAGGCAGTAGGGAAAATAATGTGGTTCAGGGACTGTGAGACAGACTATCAGAACAGCAACATCTATATATAAACTTTCTTTCACATATTGAACCTGAAGGCCTCTTAAAACCTGGGTGTATTTGAATAAACAATCACTCTACTGTCAGTGAAGTCCCCACCTTGCTGTTCATGGTGAAGTTCTTGTACACTGTGCGAGCTCCATACAGGAACACATCTCCATCGTCTGTGATGCATGCATCGACAAGCTGAAACCACAATGAGGCTCTCTACAACACAAACACTTAATACAGTGAGTTGGGTTTCGGAAACAACAGAAACTGATACCAGAAAAGGGTTTCACCAACTATCCCCAAGTTCGGCATCAAACCTCCGCCTTCAGTATACCACCAAGCCACCCCACAGCTCCCAACATTTAATATAAGGGTGGAAAATCATACTGCCAAGACATGTTGGTTTTCAATTATTCGTAATCCATCCCAAACTAGTAATGTGTTTGCAAGGGGAGATAATCCTCCAAATAGGTGAGTGAATTTAGTTTTACTCCGCTTTTAGCAATATTCCAGCAATATCATGGTGGGGACACCAAAAATGAGCTTCACACATTGTACCTATGTGGGGAATCGAACCCGGGTCTTCAGCCTGACGAGCGAAGGCTTTAACCACTAGGCTCATCTTTAAGGAGCCCCTGCCCCCACCTAAGACTATCTCACTCACGCCTGCAGCATCGAGGGCAGCACACATGGCTCCCGCCTCCCTCGTCTGTAAGGAGCCCCTGCCCCCACCTAAGACTATCTGACTCACCCCTGCAGCATCGAGAGCAGGACACATGGCCTCCGCCTCCCTCGTCTGTAAGGAGCCCCTGCCCCCACCTAAGACTATCTGACTCACCCCTGCAGCATCGAGGGCAGCACACATGGCCTCCGCCTCCCTCGTCTTTAAAGAACCAATAAACTTTGTTTTTTGTTACTCTTTTAACCATTACATATGAAAGATTTGTGGTTAGTCTTATGCGGAACACCAAATTTATTCTTTAAAAACTTGTGGTTAATTAATACCGAGCGATTAAAAGTGGCCAAAAAGTCGCCTGCTTCCCTCTCACCCGCCAACGAAACCACAGACAGGTTACGTAACTCTGTCGCCAGAGCACTGCAGTGACGTCATATGAGGAACGATTTTCAGTTAGTTGCATAGAAAATGTGTAGCACGCTCATCATTTTGATGATTTCTCGACATCAACGACGACATGCCCGAATCGTTGCTTTGTCGTCAATTGCTCCTAGGGGTCGGGCGATGGTGTCCCCATGCACAGATTTCCACAGGACCCGCAGTTCGTGCTAAAAGGGTTATGTTTGTGAGTGCTAAGCGAGCGCTGTGGAAGCCTGAAACGATATCTTACTTGTGTTTTAAAGCGCTTCACGGAAGTTAAAGAATCAAAACTACTTACTAGTTGTAGTAAAATATGCATATGATTGATGACCATAAAGATTTTCTATGACACAACTTGTAACATAACGATTTCTTCCTCGGAAGTGAGGTTGTGGTCGAGTAACAATAATATTGTAAGTAGTATTATATTGACACCCACCTCGCTGCCCACGAGAGAAATTGTTATGATATATGCTATGTCATGCAAAATCCTATTGGCCATCAATAAAATACATATTTTACTACCAGTAGAAAAGTAGTTTTGATTTTAGTAACTCGGTGAAAACAAACCCTAAATACCATTTATCCTCAGACTGGCGGAAGTTCCCGACAGAAGTGGCCGCCATTTTAAAAATAAAAAAATCTGTTAGAATTAATGAGATTATAGTTTGTTTTCATCAAGTTAGAAAATCAAGACTACTTTCTACTCGTAGTTAAATATGTATTGGAATCATGACCAAACGGATTTTGCATGACACAACTCATAACATAACGATTTCTTCCACGGAAACGAGGTGGGGGTCGAAGTCACAATACTGCGCGATAAATTTCTTGCTACATTCCCATGGTTAATACCCACTCGCCAGTATGTAGATACTAGTCAATGTGCGTCTTTATATTTGGTCTTATAATCCTAATTAGTTTATTATCACACTTGTATGCATTTTAAAACTAAAAAAAAAGCAGACGATCTACTGATACTTATAGTGAATTTATAACAGAACTGTAATATCTAGACATTTTATAGTTTGCCAATGTGAATCATAATTCGCACACACACCCTAGTGCATGTTGTCTGTCTCATTACACTTCATGGCGAAAACAATGATTCTGTTGAATGCTACGACAAATGAATAAAAACAAAATGCAAATATTAAAATTAAAACAGATTAAACAATATCAGGCCATTACCTTGTTCGAGGAATGTATCCATCAATATCCACAAAACTGTTCCAAATGATGTGTCTTTTAACAGTTTAATATACGAAAAAGTGATAAATCTTTTCAGGTATTGGTGTATAGTCTCATTGGTCACCCAAGATAGCACACCTGGCAACTAATTGCGTAATGTCCGCCTTTCTTTAAAAACAGTAATTTAGTTAGCCAATAATGGGCAATCAATCAATGTATTGCCGGTTAATCCTTTGAAAGAAGTACGTTGTTATTACGCAGACAACGACACGACAGAGTGTATTCAGTATAGATTAGTAAATCTACATACATAAACACTACCTTTTGACAATCCCGCTGTGTAAGATAAAAGTAATTAATCAATCAGCGTGTTATCGGTTAATCCTTTGATCGATGTTTATAATGTTGAATATTTACTCAGACACAAGAAATGCCAAATGGGAACCTTTGTCCGGGTAATCTAAGTGTGTTACCACTAATTATACCTGTTATAAATTCATTAACTGACCATCAAGTGAATGATGACAAATAACATGTGTGTAGGTTTATACCACCTAACACGGGTTACAACAAGGGAGTATTAATTGCTGTATTGCATGTGAAAACGTATGGGCCAACACTGTTTTGAGAATACAAACAGATTTTTACATGACATGATTAAATATCGAGGTAAAAAACACAGAAATGGGATCAATTTGGATAAGTCATTATACAAATAGAGCCCCTAACGACACCAATCGATTTTGACAGAAGCCGTCTATCTTTAAGGAGACCCCTGCCCCACACCTAAGATCTATCTGACTCACCCCTGCAGCATCGAGGGCAGCACACATGGCCCCCGCCTCCCTCATCTTTAAGGAGCCCCTGCCCCCACCTAAGACTATCTGACTCACCCCTGCAGCATCGAGGGCAGCACACATGGCCTCCGCCTCCCTCGTCTTTAAGGAGCCCCTGCCCCCACCTAAGACTATCTGACTCACCCCTGCAGCATCGAGGGCAGCACACATGGCCTCCGCCTCCCTCGTCTTTAAGGAGCCCCTGCCCCCACCTAAGACTATCTGACTCACCCCTGCAGCATCGAGGGGCAGCACACATGGCCCCCCGCCTCCCTCGCTCTTTAAGGAGCCCCTGCCCCCACCTAAGACTATCTGACTCACCCCTGCAGCATCGAGGGCAGCACACATGGCTCCCCGCCTCCCTCGTCTTTAAGGAGCCCCTGCCCCCACCTAAGACTATCTGACTCACCCCTGCAGCATCGAGGGCAGCACACATGGCTCCCGCCTCCCTCGTCTTTAAGGAGCCCCTGCCCCCACCTAAGATCTATCTGACTCACCCCTGCAGCATCGAGGGCAGCACACATGGCCTCCGCCTCCCTCGTCTTTCAGGAGCCCCTGCCCCACCTAAGATCTATCTGACTCACCCCTGCAGCATCGAGGGCAGCACACATGGCCCCCGCCTCCCTCGTCTTTAAGGAGCCCCTGCCCCACCTAAGATCTATCTGACTCACCCCTGCAGCATCGAGGGCAGCACACATGGCCCCGCCTCCCTCTCTTTCAGGAGCCCCTGCCCCACCTAAGACTATCTGACTCACCCCTGCAGCATCGAGGGCAGCACACATGGCCTCCGCCTCCCTCGTCTTTCAGGAGCCCCTGCCCCCACCTAAGATCTATCTGACTCACCCCTGCAGCATCGAGGGCAGCACACATGGCCTCCGCCTCACCACGACTGTGAATGTAAGGGATTCCAAGCAGATCCAAAAGCTGGCAGCACTGAAATATGGATTATCAATAACTGCATCTAAAAGAAACTTATCAAACTATATCTTGTAGAGATGACCTATTTATTAATTAATAGAACCATTATCCATGAGTCATACTCTTTACTGTTGTATGTCATGATGTCATGAAAGATTGTGTCATGTTTATGAAATTCTTTGTCTGGTGAGGGGTGGGAGGTGGGGGGGTCGGGTTGAGGATAGAGAAGCATTATCATAAGTGTATAGATTATTGTTAATAGTAATTCTGAGATGAAGAGGTTTTTCACTTTGAGTGAGTGAGTTTAGTTTTACGCCTCACTCAGCAATATTCCAGCTATATAGCGGTGGTCTGTAAATAATCGAGTCTGGACCAGACAATCCAGTGATCAACAGCATGAGCACCGATCTGCGCAATTGGGAATCGATGACATGTGTCAACCAAGCCAGCGAGTCTACAACAAGCATGGGTTTTTTCACTTTGACATTTTCATCAGGTCGAGAAGAGACCTGAAACACATGGTAAAATCTCCAACTGTTTATCAGAAAGACAAAGAGTTGTTTCAAGCGCCAAAGTAACATCAATGTACATGTCTTTAGCTCCCTGGCTGTACGAGCAAGTGTAGATTGTTAGCTGATAACTGACATGTAACCTAACAACCAACCAGTGACCAAAATGGTAGGAATATCTGTAAGTGCAGGCTAGAATATTGCTGATTGTGACATCATACAATGTTCAATCTCTGAATGATCGTCATGGTTACAATCAACAAACTAGAAAACTGGGACGTACAACCTACCTCTCTCAGTCGGGCATTGAAGTTGGAGCGCCCCCCTCTGCCTGCACGTCCCCCTCTGCCCCGCCCCAGAGCCTGCTGGCGCCTCCTCATCTCTTGCCATTTCAGCTGTGGTGCCGCACCCTCGATCACGAACACCAGCTTCACCCCCAGCTGGGTCAGGTAGCTGACTCGAAAAAACAGGTTCCTGAAGAAAACAGGTGAATGGCTTGGGTTTAACATTGTTTGAGTGAGTTTTCAATAATACGTGTTCTAAATAATCCATTATCACTTTAAAAGCAGGGATATATATATATATATTACCAGGGATTTACCGCGAGTCCTGTATTTGAGGGTCCCAGTGACGCGAACTCTTAATTTTCAGGGGTCCTGGACTACAAAATTGATACAAGTGTTCCCATGTTAAGAAGAAGAAGACACTTAAATATTATTATTAATACTGTGTTGTAATATTGTTGTAATTCAGTTACTGTTATTGTATTGATCATTACATTGTTACAGTAATTATATTGCAAATGATACCATAACCCAGCTAGCAGCAAACTCAGTGAAAACTTATTGTTACTTGATTGAAATTTTTGCAAAAATATTTGTACTTTTTCTGCGTCCGTGTGGACACGCTAAGAAATTTTGTTAGCGTCTATTGTCGATTTTTATGAGTATAGCACGCAGGAATTCACGTCCTGTAAATCCCTGTATAACCTAGACCTTGATGTGAACTCCTCTTCTGTTATAACTAATCCATTATCACTCAGAAATGCATGACAATTGAGTGAGTGAGTTAAGTTTTACGCCGCTTGTAACAATATTCCAGCAATATCCCAGCTGGGGACACAAGAAATGGGCTTCACACATTGTCCATGTGGGGAATCGAACCCCGGTCTTTAAAGTGATAAGTGTACGCATCAACCACTCGGCCAGCCCACCACCCTTAACATCAGTTTGAACAATTGTCATTTGTAACACGGAAGGTCAGTTCAATGTCAGAGGAAGGTTCAAATTGATGCAGGTCTCAGACAATTACCACTGTGGTAAAAACCATGAGGAATGGTGCACATGGGCCATGAAAACGACCAGGATGCATGCCTAAGGGACGTAACTCTGCACAGTGAGTTGTAAGCCTGCTGATAACAGGGCCAAACATGTCCCCATTTATAGTCTGTTTGCAGTGAAAACGTACCGATGAATTTTACTTTAAACAAAAAGTAAATCAAATAAAGTGAAATTAAGATTGCGAATCCTCATAATTTTACCTTGCCAATTAAACATTTAAATTTCAGAATTTTATTCAACTAAGGATAAAAGTTGTTTAACAGACAATCATCGATTCAAATCGCTATTATTGGTTTGTAATACAAGGGAGTAAACACAGTAATTGGAACAGTGATACAAATGCACGTGTAGTACGTGATGAGCGTTAACTTAGATCAACCCTACTTGTTCTCGGTGTTTCATTTAATGTGCATACCCCCTTGTAATACAAACCAATAATAGTGATTTGAAACTATGATCGTTTGTTAAACAACTTTTATCCTAAGTTGAATAAAATTCTGAGATTTAAATGTTCAGTTGGCAAGGTAAAATCATAAGGATTCACACTTCTAATTTCACTTTATTTGATTTACGTTTTTGTTTAAAGTGAAATTCATCGGTATGTTTTCACTGCAAACAGACTATAAGCTGCAGTATCTTGTAAATATCTCACCCCTTTATCTGACCCTAGTTGGGCTGCAACGATTAGTGAGTTTAATGAGTGAGTGAGTTTAGGTTTTTAAGCCGCACTCAGCAATATTCCAGCTATAGGGCGGTGGTCTGTAAATAATCGAGTCTGGACCAGACAATCCAGCAATCAACATCATGAACATTGATCTACGCAATTGGGATACGATGACATCGAGCCTGACCACCCAATCACGTTAGTCGCCTCTTACGACAAGCATGGGTTACTGAAGACCAACTCTAACACAGATCTTAACGGGTATCTGATAAATATTACAAATATTGGGCAACAAAGTCAGCAAGTTATATATTCATTATTTTCAGTGAAACGATAACAAGATAAATTCTTTCAAATGTATTGAGAATACTGACAGTGTTAATGTGTCATGACAATGACCAGTGCCTACAATATTATCAACATTAAGTACAATGAATATTCAATTCTAGTGATTGGAAATAACAAAACAATTCATGATGGGATATTGTTTGATTCACCGAATACTCGAGCGAGGCATATTAACTCAAGACATCAGCTCAGGGACACTTATCAAGCAAGTGAGTGGGTGTGCTTGGTTGAACCCTGGTCTTAAAGGTAATCCAGTTCTATGACGTACAGCGTCAGCAGTAAAGCCTGAAGTGATGCAGGTGAAACCCACAAAGCTAGACACCTGAGTGAGTGAGGTTTTACGCCGCTTTTTAGCAATATTCCAGCAATATCACAGTGGGGACACCAGAAATGGGCTTCACACATTGTACCCATGTGGAAATCGAACCTGGGTCTTCTGCATGAGGAGCAGACGCTTTAACCGTGAGGCTACCCTACCACCCCAACAGGGATTCAAATCCACAATCATAAGATTCTGGAGTGCCAAAGGACTGGAACTCTACACTATTAAGTCACCAATAGAAGCCCTTTCCATAAAACAAGCAGTAAAGCCTGGCTTCTGCATCTGACCCGAGTTCAGGGCCACTTATCAAAGTAGGTGACTGGGTCTTATCACATCAAATGGGTCAAATCTGACCATATCTTTAACACATGCTTTATCAGGAACATATGCATTAACTGTAAATAAAATTGGATAAAAAGGGATACACTGAGAACAGGGTTTGGAATTAACCATTAAAATATAGGGAACTTGGTTTAATCCTAATGTTACAACTTAAAGACTTAAGAGGTCTCCAGATTCAAATGAGACAGAAATGACTCTTATGGATCTCAGGCAGTGTTTAAAACTCCCAAAATTCCAAGCCAGACAGCCGGACTGGAAACTTAAAAAAATTACCAGTCCAGACACAAACTTGCCTGTCCGGTTTTCAACACATGAAAACAAAAATCAGGTTTCTGAATACTTTACTGTTTGCAAGCATCGCAATGAACAACATAGCACTAACAGGCAATGCACCGAGTTTAGGTTAACTGAAAGTACATGTGTTGTGTTTGGTTATTGTAAAATGAACTGTCCAATTGTAAATAGTTTAACATAAATTATCATAATACCTTAACACCTCAAACTGACGACAAGAGAACGTGTCTGATATTATGAAATATTTACTGTTAGGGGTTAAAACATCTACCAGACCTCCGGACAGGCTACTTTTGAAATTTGACTGTCCGACATGAAAACAGACCGTTCCGGGCGGTCGGGCAGGCTGGAATTTTAAACGCTGTTCTCAGGACATTATACATTATTACACATCACTGGGGGCAACCTTATAACATGCTGATAATGTTTTCCTCAGACCAGTGCAGAAGATTATAGTAAACCATATTTCATAAGTCCGGAGTCGTACAAGCCCTGTAAAACACTGACAGACATCCCATAAGACAACCAAAAATCATGTTTTCCTCAAAACTGGTGCAGGTTATTGTAAACCTTATTTGATTAGTCGTCATGGATGTAGTCTTGCAAGAACAAGACAAAAAAAGTTTTCTGTTTACATTTTCTGTCCATCACTTTTTGTTCCAATTAGTCACAAAAAAGAAGTCCAAAGAACTGGTTTCAAAATATAGCCCTGAAACAGTATTATGAGAAACTCTGCCCCATTGCTGGATTTTGACATGTCCACAGCATAATTTAGTAGCCTCAGGCCAGTGGGCCGGTGAGAAGGCTACAAGAGTGAGTGAGTGAGTGAGTGAGTTTGGTTTTATGCCTCTGTTAGCAGTAGTCCACAATATCATGGCAGGGGACACCAGAAATGGGCTTCACACATTGTGTCAATGTGAAGTAATCGAACCCGGGTCTTCGACGTGACAAGTGAATGCCTTAAACACTAGGCTACCCCACCGCAAGAGTGAATTCATGTTGCTTGTAACAGCATTTAATGTGGAAGGAAAGCCTGAAAGAAAGAAGGTCTCATATGACAAACCTATAACCAGTGGTAGGTTACCAACCAAGAAACATGATCAAAGTTAACTGGGATTCAAACCCATAACAGATTCCCAGTATGTCCACTGGACACAACTCTGCACATACAAGCCCTCGGTCTCTATGTTACAGGCACCGCCAATAAGATACAAGCCCTCGGTCTCCATGTTACAAGCACCGCCCATAAGATACAAGCCCTCGGCCTCCATGTTACAAGCACCGCCCATAAGATACAAGCCCTCGGTCTCCATGTTACAAGCAACGCCCATAAGATACAAGCCCTCGGTCTCCATGTTACAAGCACCGCCCATAAGATGCAAGCCCTCGGTCTCTATGTTACAAGCACCGCCCATAAGATACAAGCCCTCGGCCTCCATGTTACAGGCGACGCCCATATAAGATACAGAGGACGGTGGGGTAGCCTAGTAGTAAAACATTTACTCGATGTTCCAAAGACCCTGGGTTCAATTCCCAACCTGGGCACAATGTGTGAAGAAGCCTATTTCTGGTGTCCCCAGCCATGACATTGCTAGAACATCGCTAAACAAAATGTTAAACCACCTCAGTCACTCTACTCAAATTAACTTCACATTCCGAAGAACCGGGTTCGATTCCCCACATGGGCACTAAGTGTGAAGCCTATTTTGGGATTCCCAGCTGTCATATTGCTGGGATATTGCTAAAAGCAACATAAAACTAAACTCACTCCTCCTAAGTCTAGTGATTTTAGTAGAGAAAATGAGCTGACCTGAGATACGGCCTGGCTACCACTCCCTGCATAGACTTGACACACTGGTTCTCACACACCCAGATGCTGAGGTCCACAGCGATGGTCTGACCTCGAAGGGATGACAGAGGCTTGTGCTGCTTCACTGGAGCCAGAATTGTCCACAGGTTCGTCACCCCCATCTGAAAATAATGTCACAATCGTCATTAGCCTTTGTGTGAGTGGATGTAACTTAGTGCTGGTATTGGCATGCAACCTGCGATACGATATATCACCATACTAAAATTTTAGTCACTACGATATATTGCCAATGTATTGTGCACTGAAGCTGCGATATGATAAAATCCTGATATATGGGTGGCGATACAATGCGTATCACGATGCTAAAATCTTTAATTCTAACACCAACTATAAAACACCTTTAGATCAAAACAAAACCATTTTAAAGTATTTCGTCAAATTCCACCAGCATTTTTCAATGTTCATTCGGAAACTAGATAATTAACTTTATACACGGGCTTTGTGAATGTTAATAACATGCGAGCGCTATGTCTGACACAGTTCTTGACACAAGAGTTTCCGAGAAAACGTTTACTTATGAAGGGAAAATAAGTAAGCATATATTTTAATCATCAAATAAAAGTAGGTCTTTTTTCTTGACAAATATCACAATTCAGCAATATACAAAGTTAAACATCGATGTATCGTGGCCCATTTGAAGTATGGTATCAGGATATACGACAATGTAAAACTTTGTATCGATTCACTGTATCGGCGGCCCATGGATCGATGCATTGATGCGTATTGATGAATCGTCACACAACTAATGTAACTATGCCTTGAACAGCATATAAGTTCCATGTTGAACAGAATTTAGGTTCGCACATTCAAGCAGCCAGTCGGCATATGTGTGACAAAAGCAAATCTTTGACATCTGTGAGACGCTTTGGTTCTTATATGGCACTCAAAAGCAGAAAATGTTCAGCAACAAATAATTCAAGGTTTTACATGACCTTGAAGCATGCATCCACATACATACAAATGGATGCAGAAAAATATATATAGCATCACAAGGAATGCCTAATGTTTATTCGTTGCCTCACTCAGCAATATTCCAGCTATACGTAAACAGGGATTTACGGGACACGCATTTCCGCGTCCTATATGCATAAAAATTAACAACTGACACAACAAAATTTATTAGCTTGACCACAGGGGCACAGAAAAAGTGAAAATACTTCTTGTAAAAATTTTGATTAAGTAAACATAATATTCGTATATTCTTATCGTTACAGTTCGCGTGATCAAGTTGCTATTCCAAGAGATCGTGGTTTCATTTTGATTTAGAATTTTTGGGTTTTTGAGTACCAGTAACACTAGTCAGTGTTATTTAGCATGAAGCATTATTGTAATTGTTTATATGGTTCTTTTCAGGTTGTAATAAATCTGTATCATTAAACATCTGTGTTCATTTTATTTAAGTTATCACTAAGTTTTCTACTAGGGTTATGGTGTCATTTGCAAATTAATTACTGCAACATGATGATGATCATGATACGCAATACAATACCAGTAACTGAATTACAACAATATTACAATATTGTATTAATAATAATATTTAAGTGTCTGGGACCCCCCAGTTTTAGTCCAGGACCCCTGAAAATGAGTCCCAGGGACACTCAAATACAGGACTCAAGGTGTGTAAATATTTAAGTCTGGACCAGACAATCCAGTGATAAACAGGATGAGCATAGATCTATGCAGTTGGGATACAATGACAGGTGTCAACAGAGTCAGCGAGCCTGACCACCCGATCCTGTTGGTGCCTCTTACGACAAGCATGGGTTGCTGATGACCACTTCTAACCTGGATCTTCAGGGTTTGAAATACCCCATATATTAACGTGCCATGGATAAAAATGTTCTCGGTGCCTCTATGGCACACCTAATTTTTTAGGCACATAACATTTAATCACCAAAACAAGACACTTACGCAAATGACAAACAAGCAAAAACATTTATTGACTTTATGCCGCTTTTAGCAATATTCCAGCCAGGAAATCACTGGAATTATGATGGATGATCTGGCGACGAGCCAACGCTTTTTTCATTTAGAGTAATGGGAGTACTGACAGTTCGGACCGGTTATTGAAGAGGAAATTTTGTATGTTTGATATATTGAACAAGTGAACCTGTCACAAATGTGCCTGTTGCTAGTAAAATTCCAGTCGGGCCAGTAAATCTCCACAGTCACTGGCCCGATTGGCTAGTGAATTTTCATGTGGTCACTTTGTAAATATATCACTCTCTCCTAACTTGTTAAATTATAATACACCTTTAAATGGCCTGATAAAAATGTTCATCATCATATAGTAATTTGAGCATAAACACAATATTTCAGAAATTTAGCCATGTGTTTTCTTATTTGTTTTTGATAATATTTTATCTTTTTGTGATCTTTTGCTTAGTTTCTACATTCAAATTTTCAGCCTATTGAATTATTTTGTGGGCTAGTAACTTTCAGGCATAGCTAGCCCGATTGGCAAGCAAAAATTGGAAACTATTTCGCACACTGGTCTGGACCAGACAATCTAGTGATCAACAGCATAATCATCGATCTACACAACTGGGATACAATGACATGTTATATGTGTCAATCAAGTCAGCCAGCCTGACCACCCAATCCCATCATTCGCCTTTTACGACAAGCATGGGTTACTGGAGGCAAAATCTAACCCGGATCTTCCAATATTTTGGAGATTTACTGCACATTCAGATCCCATTTACGGAAGTATTCATTACTCAGCATGGTCAGTCACACCATTGTCGGCACAGGTACCGTACTACAGATGTGTACCCCATGTACGTTCTGTATACAGACTAGCCAAACTCTTCATAAAAACGTACACTAGGACAGGTGCTGGTCCCATGCTGGGATTTGAACCATGGACCTTCTAAGTCAGGACGCCTTGTCCACATGACCAAAGAGGTTAACCCCGTCAGCAAGTTGACAAGGTAAGGATGTCATCTGTGGGATGACTCCACGCCCTTCTACAATAACTACATTCGGTTTCAGTTTTGTACACATCTTTAGTAACTGTGCCAACAATGAACCCTTCTGTGTAATTAAAAGGCAAGCGCGTAGCAAGCCAATTTTTTCGTGTAAGCCCGATAGGTTGCAAATCTTTCTATTTAGATAGTATTGACAACTTGCCCAACCTTTTTGGCAAGCTTTCATGTCAAAGCCCTGGCTTTTTTTATAATATTATGGTATTCAATGGGTCACACCTTGACTGTTTTTCCTACATTGTAACAACTAATGGACAGAACATTGGTGTTCTATGTGACAAACAAACGCTTCACCCACAAGGCTACCCGACCACCATCACGTATATATTGAGGGCCCTATATTGACAGCTGATGTTTATACCAAAATATTGGCTCAGATCCATACGTTTCTGAAAGATGTCGGAGTCACACTGTCTATTTTTAATATGAAAAATATGAAATGTCCTTGTCAACACTATGTTGAATGAAATAATGCACTAAGCGTGACTGCTGCGCATGTGGCTAGGGCCTTCTCCTTTACCTCTTTGTCCCACCCAGCTGATTGTTTCACCTGTCCTCTTCAATTTCCCGCCATATTTATCACTCTCGTTTATACGATATTGATGAAATTCACGGTATTTTTTAAATGTTGTGATTAATTAGGCAGGCATGAACGAATACATTATAAAAAATGTTTTTGTATCATAAAAACGTTTTAAAATAATCAATATTTTGTCACGTGACATTACATTGGAGTGCGGGAAAGAGTACTCTGCCGGTGCGCGCCAGATTTTAAACACCTGTGAAATTTAGAAGAATTTCATGGATTTTACTAATTATGCCTCTCCTAGGTAAAAAGGTTTTCAACTGTCTGAAGCCCTTAAATGACATTAAGGCTGAGGAGGCCGTTTTTACCATCCCACACACCAAGGAACAGTTCCGATCTAAAGCGTATCCTTTTGTCAAGTGACCATCTGCAGCATCCAATATGGCGGCGCGCATGGATTTCATTGTAGAAATAATAAATTTATCATATTTTCCACATTTATGTCGCGATCGTCATGAAAGTTTGCATGCATGCTGGAATCCAAGACACTGAACGGTGAGTCAAAATTTGCTACAATCGGACCGTAAATGACCAAAATATCTCAAGTACTAAATTCTGCCGAAAACGGCGTGGAGTGATTGTTTACATCTCTATGGTGATCACGTGGTATTAAAATATTAAATTTTAACCATTTAACTGTTATTTGGCCATATTTATATCTGAGCATTGTTATCAGATTGACCACAATAACGCGCAGTTCAACAACACCCTTCCGCGATCCGCCATTTTGTGTTTGCAAGATTCTGCCGAAATCGCGTCGTCTGCTGCTGTCAAAACACGATTCTGACTTATTTACCACTGTAACATTCAATAAATACCAAATATTGAAGCTTGACTTCACTCCTACGTTGGAACAAACTTATATTGTGTTGATTTGGGGTATTAATTTGATATATGCCCATTTAATTTTTGACAATTCAACGAATCAAAATTAAGGAAATGTGTGTAAAACGTGATATACTTCGATGCTAGGCCGAGTTCGTATGTGTTCATCTGAGGACCTTGTAAACGTGACACACGTTGTCAGTAACTTACAGAATAGTAGGCCATAATTACTGTTCGTTCCTTAACCAAACGAGTGAATTTGAAAAACGGAAAGATCTCTACGAGGAGAGGATATGGACCTGTCAGTGCACAGGACACATCAACTTGACGCATGAAGAAGCATGGAATTCGGAGAAAGCTGTACAGAAAACACTGAAAAATCAGTTTGCTTCATGCTATGAGAAATCTGTCCTTGAAATTGTTCATCACAGTAAGTATTTGTTTATAATTTTTTGTCATCTAACTATCCAGTTTAAACGTATATCTCATTGAGCAGCTTGTTGTCTTGCTAGTGCCATGTTTTCCCACCAGGGGGAGTTGTTAGCATGGTTGGCGTACCTTGTGTTGCAATATATTTTTTTGTTTCTGTTCTTTCAGTGAGATTTTCGAAATTGTCAAACAAATATTATTTTGAATGCTGTGATACCTGTGTGTCCAGATGATAAATGGGTGATTAGGAAAGGTGTTCAATTTATTTTTGGAATGTTGCCCATTATCATGTTGATCATAGCTGGCTTCACATAGCTCTTTGAAGTCAACCATTGCAAGTCAATGTATTTCGTAAGATACTATAGAATATTTAAGACTATATATAGCTGATTTATGTGAAGCATTTTATGTGTTAATGAAGATACTTTTTGTAGAAAAGGTGTTTAAGAAAATCATCAATGTTAATGAATTATGATTTTCTGTTTAGAATCTACTTAAGCTGAATTTAAACTTTTGAGTTTTTGAACATTTGAAACAATTCACTGAGGTTTTTCTGGTGTTCAGATGATTCTGTTATCACCATGATCATGATTACAAACCAAAAAACATTGCTTGTCATCCATTATTATGGCTGAAGGGGTCTTTTGGATTTTCTTCTAAGGAGTTCCAACATAGTTTATGAATTCGTTAAGTACCTGGAGTTCAATACACATTGGACCAAAGAATAGTGAAGTGTATGAAAAATTATGAATATTGCTTTCGAACAAGTATTTTTATTTTCTCATTGTTAATGAGACTGTGTTGATTTCTAATAATTTCCTGAAAACACCTTGTGACTTGATGGAAATCAAAATTAGGCATTATTCGATTGAATAGAAACTACATTCTATTCCATTTGTAAATAGTTATTTCACTTGTCACGTTTGATCTAGAACTTTTTTAAATTCTCCGTATTTTTAGTTGTTCAGTTTTATCGTTTTGCTTAAACCCTGAAATGCATGCCACATTAATCAGAGAGGGGCAGTGCCTGTGTACTGATTCATCAGCTGAAATACAGCTTGACCCATGAAGATCCTGTTTAGAATTGGTCTTCGGCAACCAATGCTTGTCGTAAGGGGCACCTAACAGGATGAAGTGGTCACGTTCGCTGACTTGGTTGACACATGTCATCATATCCCAGTTGCGTTAATCTCTGAATTGTGTGGTCAGACTTGATTATTTCCAGACTGCTGATATAGCCAGAATATTGCTGAGTGCTGCGTTAAACAAGAAACCAACTGAGTCAATTTCTGTGTTAATACAGTGTTTATCAAATTCTGTGTTGTTTTAGATGTAAAACAGGAATTGAAACAAAACTGATAGTGTTTAAAAACATGCCTGTGTTGATTAAATATTTTGGGGAAATTATTTTATTGTTAATTGTTTTTGTACTTTATCTAATGAGCAAATAGCTTGCCACCACAGTGATGAATCCCATCTCCCAAATTGGGTTAAAAGTTTCCCACTTCCTGTGAAATAGGCTTAACTAATACTTTGACTTTATAAAGGTGTTTTGTATTTCATTGACCATTAATAGGAAGAGGTTTTGATGTAGATTTCTTTTTATTTGTTTTTTTTTTAATATATTCTAGATATGAATTTCAGAAGAATAACAACTTTGGAAAAATCTCCAATTTGAGTGAAGTAACATTTTGACCAAATTCCCTGTGATGCCAAAAGCATTCAGAATTATTTTCTTATGTGTTATGTAAGATGATTTCATACAGAGTTGTCTCCCCTTTAACTGTAGACAACGATATATTTCCCAGATGCAGATGTTCAGATTGCATTCCAATGATTTAATCCGTATAACAGTACAACATTCTTTTTATTCATTGTTTACGACATATGTACTTTTATCAAAAACATAAACAAAATCGTTCGTTTATAATGTTTTATTGTGAATTTATTAACTGAAGAATTTTAATTGTAATAATTCACTGCCCTAGAAATGAACTATATTTTCAATGGTCAAAAAAAATGGCAGATAATTTAATTGTTAGTTCTTAATGGATATATAATTCTCATGTTTTTGTGGGGGTTTTCATTAGAGTTGATGTGAGTTTAGTTTTACACCACACTCACCAATATTCAAGCTATATGGCGGCGGTCTGAAGTAATTGAATCTGGACCAGACAATCCAGGGATCAACAGCATGAGCATCGATCTACGCAATTGGGATATGATGACATATGTCAACCAAGTCAGCGAGCCTGACCACCTGATCCCATTAGTCGCCTCTTACAACAAGCATAGATTCTAAAACCCAGATTATTCTTTGAGTTGATACATTAATGCTAATATTTCTGCTTCTGTAAACTTAATCTGTTGTAATTCAGGCACCCTCTCATTGGACACATTGGTAGACCAAGCATGGCTGAAGCTACAACAGGTGCTGTGTGTGACCGAGAAGATCAACCTGCGCATCAAGAATACTGGAAAGTAAGTGAAGCAACACTGTACAGCATTCACATTAGAGATTAGTGTTAGGAATTGGTTAACATCTCACAATTGATAATTGGTTCATTACAATTGATCAATCATCGAAAATAATAGGTTAGTGCCATTTATCAAATTCTCCTGGTTATGTTTGTTAATGCACAAAAATATAGGAAAAACGTCTAGTTCTTTCGGTTGTTCTTTTTGCAAATTGCACAAAATGCATTTACAAATTTCACATCTTAAAGGATGACTAGTATGGTATGAACCTAAATTTCATGGATAATTCACTCATGACAAGGAATGAGCTTGTAGTGATTGTGAAATGTAACAGACAAAACCAACCTTGTGAAAATGGTTGTTAATGCAAACCAATGATCCAAAATTGTTTGTGTTCGATTATGAGAAAACATGATCGATTGCTTCGTCGTTTAGTCATTGCGACCAATCTTTGATTATTTCAATTAATCGGACCACCACTATTAGAGATGCAACAGATTCACTTTGTTGGTTTGTTGTGTAACACTCGACTCACCAATATTCCAGCTCTTTGGTGGCGGTCTGTAAATAATTGAGTCTGGATCAGACAATCCAGTGATCAACAGTATGAGCATCGGTCTACACATTCAGGATATGACAACCTGTGTCATTCAACCAAGTCGGCAAGCCTGATCATTCGATTCTGTTGTCATCTCTGAAGACCAATTTTGACCCGAAGAGGTCGTAGAATTGAAAACTTGATATGCTTATGCTTATATGGAATCATTTTCTATATAATCGAGTCATTTTCATATTTTCAACCTGAGCTTCTTTGTGATCACTACCATTAGTATGTGTTCAGGGATAGAATTGTCATCTTTTCGGTGTGATTGTGCACCAGACAGATAATTTAAGTGTGCATTGTGAAAATAAGTGTGCTCATACCTTTTGATGATCCAATGAAACTTTAAACATCACAACAATTATATTAATTCAATTTATTGTTTAATTAATTAATCAGTAAACAACATGTGCACCTGTAAACTTGAGAGCTGGATTTCCTGAACACTATCATGACTGCAAGAAGAGCTCAGCTTCAGTTGTCCTGGACCCATAAACTAACCCACTAAATATGTGTTATCTATAACAGTAGTTCCTGTTATGCACACAAGCATCAAAATGGGCACGCCCATGTTAAGCTGTAAGATTGAGGGTGCCTCTGATAAACAGTTTGATGGGGTCCAAAATGACGTTTTAAATGTTTGGTTAGTCAAATTTATCACATTTTCCAGTCACAAATGAATTTTGGTGAGAATTATTATAATTTTAATTTTAGTCGTGCCGTCATTGACAATATTTCATCCGTGCCATTTCAATATTTACCGTTTCACGGCATGCAAATTGGGAACTATTTTGATCCCTGGAGTTTTTCTTCCTTTGGTTGTTCATTCTTGGGTTTGCCTTGGTTTATGCAGTTATTGTTTCTGAGTAAATCAGGGGTGGTGGGTAGCCTAATGGTTAAAGCGTTTGCTCGTCACGTCGAAGATCCCAAGTCTGATTTCCCAACATGGGTGTAATGTGTGAAGGCCATTTCTGGTGTCTTTCTCTCTTCTTTCCCCCCCTGTGATATTGCTGGATATTGCTAAAAAAGCAGCATAAAACTAAACTCACTTAATCACTCACTGAGTAAATGAGGAAACTGCGATTCAATGATTATTTCTACAGTTTGTGGTTTTCGATTTCACACATTCAGTGACAACTTTGTATTGCTAATGTTTCTCTGGCTATCGAATTCATCTCTTTCATTTAGTTGTCATTCAAAACATTACTGTATCAATGTCTTTGTTTTGAGAACTGGATTCAGGGATGAGAATGGGTATGAGTGAAAAAATGAGCTGGGGATCGTGGGGGGCCAATCCAATCAAATCTGAGCATCCAAGGAAAATTCTCATCCCTGTGTTTTCCATGTAGAATATTGTAGACCATTTCATCCATGTAGAATTTGTTTCAGTGCTGTCAGAACATTTCATCAAGATGAACATAGCAAGTATTTGTTTCAGTGCTGTCTGAACACAAATGCTCAAGCTTTGATACCTCACAGATATTATTCATCTTAGAATTTGTTAAGTACAGTTGTGTACATGTTCAGTACTGTTTACACTTACATTGTATTTTGTACATGATGGCACATGGCCTACAAATACTGAAATTGATTGATTTGAGATTGGTGAAAGAACAAATAAACTTTTGTTTCTTGTACTCTTTTAACCATTACATATGAAAGACTTGTTGTTAGTCTTAAGCGTAACACCAAATTCATTCTTAAAAAAAACTTGTGGTTAATTAATACCGAGCGATCAAAAGTTGCCAAAACGTCTGCTTCACACTCGCCCGCCAACGAAACCACAGACAAGTTACGTAACTGTCGCCAGAGCACTGTAGCGAACCATAAGTTATGTATGTGAGGAAGGATTTTCAGTTAGTTGTATATAAAGTGTAACAAGATCATCATTTTGCTGATTTCGCGACGTCAAGGAAGTCATGCCAAATCGTTGTGTTACTGTCAATTGCTCCTAGGGGTCGGGTGATGGGATCACCATGCACAGATTTCCACTGGACCCCACAGTTCGTGCTAAATGGGTTATGTTTGTGAGTGCGAAGCGAGCAGTGTGGAAGCATGTAGTATATAAAAAGCGTAGAGGTGTAATCAGTAAACAACATGTGCACCTGTAAACTTGAGAGCTGGATTTCCTGAACACTATCATGACTGCAAGAAGAGCTCAGCTTCAGTTGTCCTGGACCCATAAACTAACCCACTAAATATGTGTTATCTATAACAGTAGTTCCTGTTATGCACACAAGCATCAAAATGGGCACGCCCATGATACGTATCGCGATATCTTGAAACAATACGATTCGATGCATATCATGATATGCTTTCTTTAGGTATTTTCTTTAAAAACTTATATGTTAATAGCAAGAAATTTTGACATAACCGTCATTATCTAATAAAAATGAACAATTTTAAGGTCAACGATACATATCACGATACGAAAAAATGTATCGATATATTTATCGTCAGATAAAGTATCACGATAAAGTATCGATACTACAATATATCGTCACAGCTCTAAAAAATCGGATGGCTCGACCCCTACCTCGCTTCCAAGATAGAAAATGCTATTTAGATTTGTTTTCATCAAGTTAAAAAATACTTACGAGTTGTAGTAAATGATTGTTGACCGAAAGGATTTTGCATGGCACAACTTGTAACATAATGATTTCTTCTCCTTTCCTGCCAGGTTGTAAGTAGTATTATATTGACACCCACCTCACTTCCAAGAGAGAAATTGTTACGTAATAAGCTATGTCATGCAAAAACCTATTGGCCATCAATCAAATACATATTTTACTACCAGCAGAAAGTAGTTTTGATTTTGTAACTCGTTGAAAACACATCTAACTAGCATTTATTCTCATACTGGCGGATATTCACTACAGGGAGGCGCCCTTTTTCAAAAATCGTGACGTCAATTCGAGAATCAATTAGATTATGGTTTGTTTTCATCGAGTTCGAAACTCAAAACTGCTTTCTACTTGTAGTTAAATATGAATTTGAATCATGACCAAAAGTATTTTGTATGACACAACTTGTAACATAACGATTTCTTCCACATAAGCGAGGTGGGGTCAAATATTGTGTCATAAATTTCTTCCTACATTCCACTCACCAGTATGTAGATACTAGTCCATCTTCTTCCTGTAAACATGATGAGCGAGGCTGATCATTGTTTTCACTCACTAGTGTCTGGCTCGAACAAATAACACCTAGCGATTGTTTCTTCATTGGTATCCGAGAAAGAGTCACTGCCTGAGAATTGGCAATCCATGGAAAGGGAAAGACTGTCTCTGTCTGAATTACCTCCGGACATGTCAGAGTCTGCTTTGTACCAAAATGCCAACGCTCTGAATTAACCATGTTTAAATCACTTGACATAAATGGTTTAACATGTGATCTTGAATACTAACAAAGTTGCTAGATTAAATAAAATATTTCAATTGTCTTTTCAGTGCAAAGGGATTTTCTGGAACAGTTGTCAGCATTGACACAAGTGGTGTGCAGGTAAGTTTGGACTGGTCAATGTTCCTCATTGAAGTCATTGCAGTGTTACTTAGCTATCGGTTGCTGTAATCAGACAGTAGTGTTGCTATCACTCTATAATATTGCTTATGTACTTTAGCAATGGGGGCAGTGGGGTAGCCTAGTGGTTAAAGCGTTGGCTTGTCACGCCGAAGACCCGGGTTCGATTCCCCACATGGGTACAATGTGTGGAGCCCATTTCTGGTGTACCCCATTTCTGGAATATTGGTGTCCCATATTCACTATACTCACTTTGCTGGAACACAGGTTCAATTGAACATGGTACAGTGTGTGAATAATTGATATTGCTGGAACACTGCTAGAAGCTGCATAAAACCATAGTCAATCACTCACTCATGACTATGATGTGGCTTCGATTCTGCCATCATGATGATAGCGTTACTACGATGTTACTACGATGTTACTCTGTCCTGTAGGCCAACCCCACCAGCAACTGCAGCTCGCCCTCCAGTGACAAAGAAAACAGTTCTGGGGAAGGGAAGGAGTCCTCACCTAAGAAGTGGGTCCCCCCAAAGGTATGGTTTGAACATTATTATTGGACACAACATCGTTAGTCTGAGAGGAGTAAAACAAAAAGTGGGCCAATTTTCTCCCCAAATCCCAAATAAGATGACATCCCAACTAGTTCGATGACCAAAGTGTCTCTTCTGGCAAGGTTAAGTCATCAAATGTATTGTTGAGCTCCCAGATAATTTTCGAGCAAAGACATATGAATAGTAGTGTTGGGAATCGGAAATCAAATCCACTATCGATTATCAGAGGACTTGTGGTGAATGATTATCGATTATGATCGAAATATATACATTTTTAATGTAATCACCAATTTTAAGGGTTTTTCCCCAGGGTTTTTCTAATTAATGGGTTTTTTTTTATAACTAATACTGTCATGCAATGAAATGCACACATGCAAGTAAGACACTGGAATTGTAATTAAACAATGAGTGGTTAAAATTTTACAATGTGAATAGCTGTTGAGCACATGTTTGTGAATATTCATCAAATTAAATGGTTAGTATACTTAATTCAAGTGTGTTATACAAAAACAACAAAATTCTCATTAATCAAAATATATTTTTTGCAATCGATAATCATTTTTAATCCTTCTTTCGATCGATTTTTGATTTTTTTTCGATCATCGGAACACCACTAATGAATAGTAATGGATGTACAAGCATAAGCAGATTTCACTGTATTTTCATGTCTTTAAATAATGTAAAATGTACTGTGTCCTCTTGTTGATATGTGTCAGCCAAACAGTATCCCATCGTCAATCTCAGAAATGAAAAATGGCCATTGAATTTGTACCTGACATGTACTTTGTGGTTTTTTGGGGCTTTGGGGGGTTTTTTTTGGTGTCATTCACATTGTACATGCTACTCTATGAAATTTGCCATCACCCCCCTTGAGCCATAAATTATGAGGGGCGGTGGGGTAACCTAGTGGTTAAAGCATTCGCTCGTCGCGCCGAAGACCTGGGTTCGATTCTCCACTTGGGTACCATGTGGGGAGACCATTTCTGGTGTCACCCACCATGATATTGCTGGAATATAGCTAAAAGCGGCATAAAACCATACTCACTCACTCATAAATTATGAATGGAACCCCTTAGTGTCAGAACACGTCATGTCGAAGGTCAGTCTTTGTTCATGGGAAAATTTCCAGTTACATACGTCAATACTAATTACATCAATCACTTGATAGTCTGCAGAGCACTGGAATATTTTTGAGTACAGCATTAAACAGCTAATAAAGGAGGTGTGAACATTTTCTATCATTATTCATTGTTTCAGCTGCTGCCTTACAAGTATAGCATCAAGCTTGATGAGGAAGATAAAATCATCAACGGTATTCCTGCCTGCGACTTAGTGTAAGACACATTCACTATAGCAACCTTTGATCTTCACCAGGTCTCCAGATGATGATGAGCCATGTTGTATTCACTCACAAATACATGACCATTTTCATTGTGTATTATGAGACCTCCAGATAACGGCCGTATCGGCGTATGTACGGATATAAATAGGAAATTATTTAGAAAACATAACAGGTCTTAGAATCATTTACAGACGTATTTATCTGAAAAAGTATTGTTTTATTGTTTATTGACCTGTTTACACAAGACTAGCAATGTCGTGGTGCATATATGAAACGAAACACAAGATTACTGCTACTCCATTAAATTCCATTCAGTACTCTAAATGTAGTCATGGTTTTCCAGTACTCCTGTATTGAAAAATTAAGGAATACGTACCCCTAATGTTGAAAAATTATCTGGAGCCCTGATTATATCTCATTAGGTCCAGCCTAATGATAGTAGATTTCTAATTTGTATACATGATACCCGAAATGTGAAACATGTCCTATAAACTCTCAGTTGGGTACCAGGAGTAAATTTAGGAAACAGTTGTTTAGCCCTTCATTTGTCTTAATACTGATCATTGGTTTGTCTGTCCCGGGATTGGCCCATGTAAAACTTCATTCTCGGCTGTGGTATAGGTGTAATATTGTTGATTTTGTCCATTTGTCATTTTCTTTCATGATTTATATTTCCAGGCGAGTTGATCGCCCCCGTCCAAAGAATTGCTGCGCCTCTTCATATTTCCAAGCCAGTGCCCTCCGTGTTGGCATTCTTCAAAATCCACCAGTCGTGTTGGCACCACGTCCACGTCAACGATCATGCACTGGTCAAGAAGTACTCCTTACCCAGCAAATTTGCCGACTTCCTTGTTTCACCTGCTAAGGTCAGCAGTTCTTTCAGCTGTTATCAAATTATACAGGTGGTGGATTGGAAGCTTAATGGTTCAAGCGTCCGCTCGTCACACTGAAGACCTGGGTTTGATTCCCCACATGCGTACATTGTGTGAAGCCCATTTCTGGTGTCTCCCGCCTTGATATTGCTGGAGTTTTGCTAAAAGCGACGTAAAACCATACTAGCTCAATCACTCAAATCATAGGGTCCAGGACTCATTGAAGTTGGTTGCTGTGTAAATCTAGGACCTATCATGGGGTTGAGACTTACTACCCAGCAACCTTTGCTGGTCATAGGAGCCAAGTTAAAGGATCAGTGCTCAAGCTGTTATTTCAACTATTTGTCTTTTAACCCTTGCAGTGTGATATCATCTTGTTCATACTCTGTTTACAGGCCAACAGAGTGATATTGGTAAATTGTTGTGTCCAGACTTGATTATTCACAGGCTACAGTCATATAACCGGAATATTGCCGAGGTCGGCATTAAACAACAAAGATAATATAGAACACTCCTGTATCATGTAGATGTCTGTTATTACACATTGAAACAATTGACATACTCATTTCAAAGTATGGACATATTTTTTAAGTTATCTATTCTTGCAGATGGCTGAAGCAGCTAAGCGAGCAGAAGAGGAAGGTGTGCGAAAACGTAAACATAATCAGCAACATAAACAACCTATGTCTGCTAAAAAACTGAAAAAGTCCTCCAAACTGTCTGATAGCAAAAGAGGAAGCTCAAGTGTAAAAGCGAAGATAAAGAAGAAAGAAAAGGAGAAATCCCCAGTTAAAAAGAAGAAAGTTATGGAAGAAATAGTTATTGATAGTGAAAGCTCAGACGATGAAGTGCTTGCGAATCTGAAAAATTCCAATGATTCAGATTCAGACACACCTTTGCTCAGTTTGAAAAATCAGCTGACGCCGAAAAAGAAGAAGAAAAAGAAAGAATCTGATTCCGATTCCGATACCCCTCTTAGTAAACTGACACCCAAGAAGAAGAAGTTAAAGTTAGATTCTGGATCTCAAAAGTCAAGGTCACCCAAGAAATCACCCACAAAGACGGCGTCTAAGTCTGGAAGGAAATCGAGTGCAGCCAGTGGTACTAAAAGGAGAGGCAGACCCAAGAAGGATGCACAGGCAACGCCAACCAAGAAGGTCAAGAGAACACCCACCAAGAAGGTATGTCTTCAGATACGTTGGTTTTTAGTATTCTATGGAAACCTCTGTTTGCTTGTGATCCATGAAGATCCAGTTTGGAATTGATCTTCAGTAACCCATGCTTGTCGTAAGAGGCTACTAAAATGATCGAGTGGTAAGGCTCACTATCTTGCTGTTGATCACTGGATTGTGTGGTCCAGACTCAATTATTTACAGCCTGCCGTCATATAGATGGAATATTGATGTGTGAAGCCCATTGCTGGTGTCCCCCGCCATGATATTGCTGGAATATTGCTAAAAGTGGCGAAAAACCATACTCACTCACTCACTCTATTGTAAAGGTATGGTAAGTTTCCGCGTGCCATGATATATTCATGTATTGTTGATAAAGTGGGTCAGGCGGGATGCACACATTGTGAGAAGTTACTTTGAGGCTGAGACAAATCTGATTGTTGCAATGTTAAAAATAAAGAGCGAGGGTGGGTCATTGTGGTTCGTTCCAACAATGTTTGGTAGTAACCTTCTAAATGTGGGTTTGACAACGTAACTGAAAATATTGACTTTATTGAAAAATTCTATTGCTGGAATATTGCTAAAAGGGGCCTAAAACTAAATTCACTCACTCCTCACTCACTCACTCACTCACTCACTCACTCACTCACTCACTCACTCACTCACTCACTCACTCACTCACTCACTCACTCACTCACTCACTCACTACTTCCGTAGTGACCTAATAAGCATAATGACCCAATGTTTGTTACCAGAGCCACATAACGCTGTAATCAACCAACAGTCATCTGACCCATGAAGATCTCTGGGTCAGAATTGGTCTTCAGTAACCCATGCTTGTTGTAAGAGGCGACTAACGGGATCGGGTGGTCAGGCTCGCTGACTTGGTTGACACATGTCATCGGTTCCCAATTACGCAGATCGATGCTCTTGTTTATCACTGGATTGTCTGGTCCAGACTCGATTATTTAGCTGGAATACTGCTGAGTGCGGCGTATAACTAAACTCACTCACTCACTCAACAGTCATCTGAACAGATATGTGTACTTTCAGTCCTTATTTAATGTTTATGGTTTAGGTGTATGATATTTTTGTAGGACTTGTATTTCTTTCAGACATTAAACCTGATCTGATATTTTAGCATGAATAACCAGTGCTCCAAGCAAGCATCATTAGTCAAATGTCCACTTTGACTCTCTCTCACTAAATAAGTACCTTTACAACAAAAGTTAAATCAGATTAATTAGGTCTGCAATGGATACACCATTTGGCGAATGTGATATGCATCACGAATTTTGGGTAAAAGAATACGAATAATTATTCACGAATACAATATTGTAGTTAAGTGATTGATGCCAAATATGGAACGCCCATGTTGAAAGGGTTAATTTGTCACAGCAATAACCAGTGATCTCATGACACTCTGATTTGGTATGTAATAGTTATGGTCGACAAACCATGTGTGGCCTTGGCAAACTAACATGACTTGCGCTACTGCAAGGCTAGTACATATTCCATTCTTGCATGTCTCACTTTGAAAAATGACATAAGGGTTCAATCAAGTAAAACACACTCCCTTAAAAAAATCCTTAATATCCGATTCTGGTGACCACGAATAACGAATTGAATTTATGAACGTTAACGGTTCAATTCACCGAATATGCCAGTGAATCGTAACAGCCTTAATATTAATACATATATATACATACGACATGATCATGATGATACCAGATACATGTGTACGTGACAGCCTTTAAATATGCTTCGGTCCTGTTAACCATTTGAAAATGTTATGTACTAATATAGCTTGCATTTTGTTTCTTTATCACTAATCTCTCTTGAACTTTATGATGTATTATTATTCATGTATGTTACAAATTTGAAAATCAGAAATGACAGTACAACAGTAGCTCTTTGGATTTAACAACCCCAGAATGTTCCCATGCCATCGTTTCAGGGAATGAAGCAGATGACGTTGTTAGACATTGCTGGGAAAAAGGGAAGTCCAAGAACTCCTAGCAAGTCGGTCAGGAAATCGGCCCCTCCTCCTACTCCCAAGATCATTAGGAAGTAAGTAAACAGTGCTGGCCTCGCTGTACAACCTGTTGATGGAAGGTTCTAATCAGATGGGTGACTAGTAGTGGTGTTCCGGGTAATTGAAGTAATCGAAGTAATCCCGCTGCCACGTTAACCGCTAAACTGTCCGCTGAGAAGCTGTATCGCTAACAATCGTATGACGTCATAATATGACCCATGCAGTGTCTGGAGTGGGAAAACCGTTCGATTAGCTGTTTTAGAGTTCACTATGTATACATTTATTTTACCGACATTCACTGCTTTACTTAAACTATTTTATACTTTGAATCGTTTGCATACTCAACTTAAACATAATTAATCATTTTATTGCAGTTTTAAGCTTGTCAGAATATGTTTTACTGATGTTAAAAATCCAGTCGAGAGGCAGACACCATTTTGTTTATATGTCATATAGTCTGTAGCCAGGTTATCGATCTTCAAAATAAAATAAAATATTTCATACGTTTACATGGCGGTAAGATAAATACGTTGTATGCTTCTCCCTCGGGTAATACGGTCTGATGTACACCTTTTTGTAGCAGTGTAATCCCTCGCCTACCGGCTTGGGTGACACTGCTACAAAAAGGCGTACATCAGACCATATTAACCTCGAGAGAAGCATACAACTTATATTAAAACAGTGTTGGGCCCAACTCTCTCCTAACTCACTAAACTTCTGAAGTAATAGCATTTGATATTTAGCATTTTGACTTTAACAGTTGACAAATAGGGTGAGAATTCCTGTATCATGTAAAGTATGTTTCTTTGTTTCAGGTTACTGAAGTTGAACGCTGAGAGTGACCGCTATCGTGTCAAGTATGCTTTGCTGGTGAAACAAGCAGCATTGACTCTCACCTCACAACAGAAGTCCAACCTGCCGGCCAGCATCAAAGACATCATTCTCAAGAAGTGTGACCAGATCAAGGAAAAGAGGCTCATGTACGTAACTCTCAATGTAGGACCACAGTCTGTGCCCAAAAACTTTTGAGACCATGAGACCCAATATTCTTGCCCTTTATGGTGTCTTGCCCTGATATTAAGACCTGGCTCCGATTTCTCGAAACAAACTGAGTTTGACAATTTGAAACAGCTGAATTTTTAACTCAATTGCATTTTATTTATTTTTTAAAGTACAAATGCCCAAACAACTTAAGTAATTTATCCACCAAACTGAAATTGTCTACTATGTTTGAGTTTAATATCAATTTCAGTTCATTCTGGGAAATGAATTTTCCTGCGTTTTCTCAAATTTGAGTAAAAAACTCTAACTTAAGTCAAAACTCAGACTTAAGTTTGTTTCGAGAAATCCGGGCCTGATGTTATCGACCAAGCAATCGATCACATTTTCTCATAATCAAACATAAACGATTTTGAAACCTCTGTTTTAGTCTTTGAAATACTTGATGATGGAAACTATCTTAGAAGTTGTCAGGGCCTAAAAACATGTTTAATTCTTAGAAAACTCACTTCACTAACTGAAAAGTCATGACTGAATATTTCTCTAAGACTCCAGGAAGTTTATGTGCATGATATATTAGTCATCACTTTAAAGTAGCAAGTTGCATCATGTTATACATAGCTGCAATAACAACCTGGATAGGAAAGTCTGAAAAATGACGCTAACCAATTTTTTTCGATGATTGTTTGTTGGTAATGAAGCAATCATCAATTGTGAGATTCACCCAATTCCCAACACCAATACCCAGTATTTCTTAAACATAAACTGTTCATGGTCATGATGTGGTTGAAACACGCTGGTGTGACTTCAAATCCACTCAATGTTATTGCCCTGTATAATGACGCCCGATGACGTGTTCAGGCAGAAGATGACGCCCGAAGAGAGAGATGCCTACATAAAGGAAAAGAAGCAGAAGGTCAAGGCCGAGAAGCAGCATGAACTGCAGGAGCAGAAAAAGGTAGGTGTTCTTGCCGTTTCTGGTGTTAGAAGTGTAATACAGTCAGGCCGCGTTATTCTGAACGCTTCCGCTTTTCATCAAAAACGTTCGGATAGTGAAACGTACAGACTACTGAAATGAACCATTATGTACACCACTACAGTAGAGTTACTTCCCTTTAACATACCGAGACAATGGTATTTATACAACAGGTAAGCATGGCAGGTATTACTCAAACTAACAAAAATTGGTACCTGTTAATTGATTAAAATCACAAACTGACGACCTGTTTGACTCAGAAGTGTCACCTCACTTATCAATTACCATTGAAGTTTACTGATGAAGATCAGCGCTAGTCAATGGTGCTTTCGAGGTAAGGGGATTGTCCGAACCTTTTTGATGTACCGTCAGATTATTGAAGCAAAATCAAGTGTAATAAGCTAATCCTTTACTGCTAATTAACATCCAGATCCGGAGAGTGAAGCACTGGATTAATGAATCAACAGTTAATGGGTTTACATAGTAAGTAGTTACAGCTAGCTACCATTCGGATATCGGATTATCAGAACCTCTTGTTGCAAAGTTTTAAGGGGAGACAATTCTGACTGTGATAGTCAATGGCTGTTGGGAAGCTGCGCTCAGTTCGTTAGTTTATTCAAAGGGCTATTATGACAAAATGTTTTTAACATCTTTGACAACACTATCTCAATGAATATTTTCTTCATTTTAATGATATTGCAGAGATTTGAAGACCTTGACCTGAACTCATCTCCATTACCTACTCCGAAACCTGTTCCTACACCAGATGGCATTCCTAATGAATGTTTTGGTGATGTTACCATGGTGACAGAGTTCCTGAGTTGCTATGGGGGACTGCTTATGCCAGATAATGAATATACTATTTATTCAGGTAATTATCCTTTGAAGATATTTGAAAAAAATATTTCAGTCTGTAATAAAATCTTCTGTTTTTAGTATGAATATTGTTGACATTTACATTTAGTTTAGCCAGCACTGGTAACTTTGATTGTGCTTATAACTTACCCTGTTTGCTGCAGTAAAGATGGAACAGTTTTGAGCCCACCTTTGAAGTAACCATCCGGGTGTCCCCATCTGTGATATTGCTGGAACATTGCTAAAAGCCACGTAAAACTAAACTCACTCACCCAACCAGGTGGTTTGGTAGCCTATTGGTTAAAGTATCCGTCGTAGAAGGTTTTGGTTCGAAGTTTCATTGTAGAAGTTTCAGGTTGTCTTCTACTACGTGGTTGTTGTTGTTTGTTGGTGGATCTTTCTCAAACTGACAACACAAGTCCGTCTGCAGGTCCACGGTTTATTGTGAGCTGTATAACTAGGAGCTCAGTGCTCAGCTCCCAGTTTCTTACTAACTACTCGCACTTGTTAGCGTGAATATATATCAGTCCTGACAATCTTACTGTGTTCCTAAAATGGTAATCTGGCAAAACCATGAGTGTTACGACCCAGCCGGGAGTTTGCCCAGCACACACTGCACATGGCACCGTATAGTGTATGTAATATATAGTATATTGCACTTGATATACTGTATACTGCATGTGATAAAAGTGTTGACTCGTCACACTAAAGCCTAGGGTTTTGTTCTCAACATGGATTTAATGAGTGAAGCCCATATCTGTTTCCCCAGCTGTGATATTGCTGGTATTTTGTTAAAGTGGCATAAAACCACATTCCTTCTCTTGATAATTTTCGCGACCCAAACCCCTCTAGACCTGCTCAGCTGTCAATATTCAACACAAGTTTGCTTGCACTTAGTTAGGAATCATAGACAAATCCCTGAATCATATGAAATTTGGGGTGTAATATTTATTTAATATTGCTATTTTGCAGCTGTTCTCCACCAGTTAGCAACATTCAAACTCCTTGTTATTTCAGACGACTTGATGTCGGCACTAGCTTCAGGGCTGCAAGGTTCCACATACGTGGCACGTGTCCTGGTGGTGTTGCTACAGACGTTGCTGCAGGATGAGATCGCTGAAGATTACAAGGAGCTGCGTGTGAAGCTGGGCGACGTTCCTGTCAACCCATACACTGCCTCCGAGCTGGCTAGGTTATGTCTCAGACGGAATGATTCTGGCCACACCGACGACTCCTTTGAAGAGGAGGATGATAGTGAAGTGGTATGTCAGACTCTGAAGCCTCCACAAACGTCATGCCTTGTCACACTGTATGTCCAATAATTCTGTGGCTTGCTTGCATGATAATCTCTGCATACTTTAACCTGCTTTTGATATGTGTAAATTTGGAGGATGTTTTAAGGACACATGCCAAATTCAGAGAATTACAAATCTAACTTCTGAAATGTTTAACTTTCATTTAGTTCAAACATTTCTGAGGTCGCCTGTTCCTGTAAGTGTTTTTATTGGCCAACTATTGGGTGGTGGGGTAGCCCAGTGGTTAAAGCTTTGGCTCATCACACCAAAGGCTAGGGTTCAATTCCCCACATCTGTACATTGTGTAAAACCCATTTCTGGTGTCCCCTGCCATAATATTGCTGGAATACTTGTAAACGCAGTGTAAAACACAACTCACTCACTAAATCGCCCACTGTTTTGTCATTTTGGGGTCACTATTTCCGAATGTCCATGATTGAGAGCTGTAATGTATGTGTGCAGCCGGACCAGATCATCCATCAGTTAGAGACCCAGGAATTTCACGAGCTGGAAGCAGAGGCCAAGCTGAAGGTGTTAAGTGGGCTGTGTCTGCGCATCCTCGGAACCTACTCCATGCAGGACTACATGGAGAACAAACAGCAGGAAGCCAGTCAGCTCTCGTAAGTCATGGCTTCCTTACACCTCAGCCAAACCTGTGAGGATCCAGGTCAGAATTGATCTTCAGTAATCCATGCCTATCGAAAGAGCCTACTAACGGGATGGAGTGGTCAGGCTCGCTGACTTGGTTGACACATGTCATCCGTTCTCAATTGCGCAAGTCGATGCTCATGCTGTTGATCACTGGATTGTCTGGTCCAGACTCGATTATTTACAGACCACTGCCATATAGCTGGAATATTGCTGAGTGTGGCGTAAAGCTAAACTCGCTCACTCATGCTGTTGATCACTGGATTGTCTGGCCCAGACTCGATTATTTACAGACCGCTGCCCTTAGCTGAAATTGTGCTGAGTGTGGCATAAAACTAAACTCACTTGTTATCAGCTGAAGCATCCTCAGAGGGTGCATACCTGTTTCAAGTTTATACCTCATGCAAACATCACTTCTTAGTAATGTACTAGTATATGTCAACAACTATTGCTAAACAGACTGTTAATGTAATCATTAACACACATAAACTGTTGTACAGAAGTAGTGACATTGGTCCCACCATTAATGCATTAAAAGACCCACTCCTTTTATTATTGACTGATTGGGAAATATTCCATGTATGTGGCCACTTTTCTTTTTTCCATTCTCGCAAAAACAATTGCTTGATTTCAATGACATTCCATTGTGATATTTTATTGACTATTGTTCTTAGTTATGACAGCGAAATTTGTAATTTATTGGCATGTGCATGTTTCAGTCGTCAGAAGAACGCGGAGCTGAAAGAGGAGAAGCTGAAGAAGAAGGGTGAATCGAAGGGCGAATTGAAGGGCAAGGGAGAGGATCAACCCGAGGAGAAGCCAGCAGGTTGGTGGAGACACGGGGGATGTTTTACTGTCACCATCATTTCAGGAAATCTGATAATTTCCTTCAATGTCTCCCAGACCCGTGAAGATCCGGGTTAGAACTGATCTCCAGTAGCCCATGCTTGTCATAAGAGGCGACTAACAGGATCGGGTGGTCTGACTTGGTTGACACATGTCATCATATCCCAATTACTTGTACGATGCTCGTGCTGCCGATCACTGGATTGTCTGGACCAGACTTGGTTATTTACAGACCACTGACATATAGCTGGAATATTGCTGAGTTCAGCGTTAAACAACGATCAATCACTCAATCAATCAATCATGCCTGACTTTCTGTCTACCACCTGTGTGATGATTTGACTTGGTGCTGAGTTAAAGTTAATGTAAGGATCAGGGACAGATAACTCCCGTGTAGTAACCAACAGAAGGGGGCACCCCAGACGCAGAAGAGGCATGTTTAGGGGTCTGTTATTGGAACAATTTTCAGAATGAAAATGCAGTGTGTTGATAATTTTACTTCAATCATGATTATCCAAATTTACGTAGAATTCTGATACGCAAGTGATATCAGGGGAGGAAATAACTTTAAAATTGCTAGTGTACATCGTTAGAGTGGCACATGTAAAATCACTTGCCCTGATCATTTTTCCTCTATACCGGCCGATTGTCTTGTTGATATTTTAAATAAATAACATAATTAACATAGGAAAGTCAACTGGACATTGGTACAGCGTGATATGCAAATTTGCTTGCCCGACTTGAAAAAACACTGGATTGGACGTCGGGCAGTGGTTTATTTCCACCCCTGGATATGTACGTATGTTTGTTGGGCTCAGCAGGTGCAACACTGAACCACTTCTATGGCAAGAAGGAAGGTGAGACTGACAGTGGGTCAGCTGCCGGGGACTCCATGGACGACGTCGAGGGGGATGACCTCATTTCCGTTCTCAAGAGGAGGCGACTAATGACAGCCAAGCAGTCCGCTGAGAGGGAGAAGAAGGAGAAAGAGAGAAAAGAGCAGTAAGTGGACAAGATGTGAAGCTTAGACACAGGGCCCTGGTCTACAAAGTATTTGTATCATTATAGCCAATCGTAACTTTTTACCACATCATTTGCTTACGAATGACATAATTCCACAAGCAATTTGTTGAATTCGGGAACTGAGGGGAGGCTGGTGATAGCTTGTCTCTCTGAAGACCCCTGTTTGATTTCCTGCATATGAAAAGCGTGAAAAGTAAATACTGGAATCTAATATTGTTCTAATTTTGTCTTGTATTTTCCAGGAAGGAAAAAGAATACCAAGAATATCGTAAACAGCTTGAGAGGGAAAAGTTGCAGAAATTGTACAAAGTATGTGTCTACTTTTTGCAATCTATTTTTTTTTGGATAATTTAAAAAAAATTAAAAAATATCAAAATATAATGACTTCGTCTGATTAGGATTCACTGATTAATTGTAATCAAGCTTAACTTAGAGATAGTTGGACAGGCATATAGTGACCTTAATTGCATCTTAGTGTCTCCTTACAATATGAATTGTTGCCGATGGTGGCCATCACTCTTTCCTGGCAAGATTTACTTATTGACAGGCCAGCATATGATACAGCAATAGCATTTCAGGCTTGAAAATTCCTTGTGCTTTAGTCTCAAAGACATGGTCAGATGGCAGTCACCAAGTTCAAGATTAATCTTACAGCATGGTTTGGTTGGGATACTGATATTCTAGTAGCCAAGTGGCAAACTTGAGTCTTTATGTCAACCTTTTCTAACAGATACAATTTTGTTTTAGTGATATTGATGACTTGTGTTCCAGGATAGTGTAACTCTGGCACGCAGCGTGTTACGACAGAGCCCGATTGGAACCGACAGGAACCATTGTCGGTACTGGATTTTCAACAGTACTACACCTGGGCTGTTTATTGAGAAAGGTGACCTTTTACCCATTACTTGCACGTTTGTGTACAATGTTGATATAATGTTGTGTTTTGTTAGTCTTTCACTTCAGGCACGCACACACACAAATATTAATTCAGAAAACAATTGTCTTCAGGATGTTTAGGTTTCGGGTGGGAGGTGCAGGATGTCGTGCTTAAAAAACAGGTTTTGCATTATTCTGGCAAGAAGCAAGTGTTTTAACACTGGTTTTCAGTATATGTCAAGATGTAATATTAAGATACTGTATATAACCGTAGAAAAGATGACCCCTAACTTGACCCTTAAATCAGTGTCAAAATGGTATGTATCATGCATAAGCCAACTCCCTGTGATGGGGTCCTGGTCGTGGCAAACTCAGACCACAGACAACTGGCAGTTACCGATAATTACAACTTCGGTTCGCATTATTCAAAGAATTCACAATCATATTGTGTTTACTCAACGCCTCAAAATGAAGTGTAGTTGACAGAAAATGTTGACACCAAGCTTCATCTAGGGAAAGTGCAAGGCCCAGTTGATTTTGGTGACCTTCACATAATTTTCAAGGTCGCTGTGACACTTTGAAGATTTCAGCATATTAACCTGAATTCACTGGATTTTTTTCATAGACTTTCAAGACTTCCCTTAAATATTTTTCAATAAGCAATTTCTTTAGTACCATTTTTGCATATTTCATACACTAAGACATTCATGTCAGGGTCAAAGTCAGTCTTGAAAATGTTTGTGTGTTTGAACAACTAAAGAGCAAGATATCAAGAGAGGTTGACTGGTCATGTTTTTGTTGACATTTAACTTCATCTTAAACTTTCATTACTTTTTAAGTTTGATTTGATAAATTGCAGCGGGGGATTATGTCACCTTAGTGACAATGCTTGTTCTCTTTCTTTTAGGTTGGGTGAATGCAGATATAGACTACAACTGTCAAGGATTGGGTGATAGGGCGTCAAGTGCTCCGAGCACGCCCAAGAAGGCGGATAGTGTCACATCGGGATCACAGCCAAACACACCGTTGAAGTTAAAGAAGAGGAAATCAGACACTGAGACAAGGTACACATGTAGCCTTCGTCAGTTGTTCAAATTATTGTGCAATGCCCAAAAAGTCCTTCAGTGTTTTTCATTACATCTCTGTGTTCATAGTTTATGCTCTTTATATATTGCTTGGAGGGTTTATAATCAGAAAAGGGGTTGTGGCATAGCCTAGTGGTTAAAGTGTTCACTCGTCACGCCAAAGACTCAGGTTTGATTCCCCACATGGGCACAATGTGTGAAGCCCATTTCTGGTGTTCGTAACATCACTCACATACTTATTCATAACATCACTCACATACGTTGTTCGTAACATCACTCACATCGTTATTCATAACATCACTCACATACGTTGTTCGTAACATCACTCACATACGTTGTTCGTAACATCACTCACATACGTTGTTAAGCAACATCACTCTCATCACGTTGTTCTTAGCATCACTCACATAGCATCACTCACATCGTGCTTAACATCACATCACTCACATCGTTATTCATACGTTGTTCATAACATCACTCTCATACGTTGTTCTTAGCATCACTCACATACTTTGTTCGTAACATCATCACGTTGTTCAGTAACATCACTCACATACGTGCTGTTTGTAACATCACTCTCATACGTTGTTCTTAGCATCACTCACACATCGTTGTTCGCAGCATCACTCACATCGTTGTTTCGCAACATCACTCACATCGTTTTTTAGTAACATCACTCTCATATGTTGTTCTTAGCATCACTCACATATCACTCTCATCGTCACTTATACGCTTGTTTGTAACATTACTCACATCGTTGTTCATACGTTAAGTAACATCGCTCACATCGTTGTTCGTAACATCACTCACATACGTTGTTCGTAACATCACTCACATATGCTGTTCGTAACATCACTCGCATACGTTGTTCGTAACATCACTCACATATGCTGTTCGTAACATCACTCACATACGTTGTTCGTAACATCACTCACATACGCTGTTCGTAACATCACTCGTAACAACACTGTCAATATTTGTTTCAGTTTTCCACGACCTGGTCAGAACCTGTGGTTCACCTGCGACACAGTGGAAGAGCTTGAAGCCCTGCTGAAGGCACTCGTGCCGATGGGCATCCGAGAGAGCCAGCTTAAGTCTGAGATAGAGAAGAAGTATGACGAGCTGTCTAAAGCCATTAATGGCGCAAAGAGGTGGGGAACATTTTCAGAGAAGTAAACAAATGTATTTGCGAAGTGAATCCCAGCGAAGATAAACTTCAATTTGATTTTAAATATCTTTTTTACCTTGTGTACAAAGTGGGCAATCAAAGTTTGTTCTGTGTTCTGTTGGAAACTTGCTTCAAAAAGTGCAAGACAGAAAAATTGTAAAAAATATTACGATCATATTTAACAAATAATGCTCTCTTTCTTCTGTGTCTGTGGTGGCTCCACAAAGGAGGAAGTAGAATTGTGTCTATATCTAAATGTAAAAGCTTTCAAGTATTTCCTCTTGTATCAGGCCAGACAGGGATGTTCTTGACACTGAAATCACTGAAGAGGACCTTGTCACCGCGTTTAGAAAGGTCAGTGGTGAAAACTTGTCTGGATTATTATTTCTTGTCGCAAATTCAGTGGGCATGGTTTGCTGAGGTGCCACAGTTTGCTTTGCAGAGTTACATCCCTTAGACATGGGTGACAGAGCTTGCTCTGCAGAGCTACATCCCTTAGACATGGGTGACACAGTTTGCACTGCAGAGTTACATCTCTTAGACATGGGTGACACAGTTTGCTCTGCAGAGTTACATCCCTTAGACATGGGTGACCCAGCTTGCTCTGCAGAGTTACATCCCTTGGACATGGGTGACACAGTTTGCTCTGCAGAGTTACATCCCTTAGACATGGGTGACAGAGCTTGCTCTGCAGAGCTACATCCCTTAGACATGGGTGACCCAGCTTGCTCTGCAGAGTTACATCCCTTAGACATGGGTGACACAGCTTGCTCTGCAGAGTTACATCCCTTAGACATGGGTGACACAGCTTGCTCTGCAGAGTTACATCCCTTAGACATGGGTGACACAGTTTGCTTTGCAGAGTTACATCTCTTAGACATGGGTGACACAGTTTGCTTTGCAGAGTTACATCTCTTAGACATGGGTGACACAGTTTGCTTTGCAGAGTTACATCTCTTAGACATGGGTGATCCCTTAGACAGTTTGCTTTGCAGAGTTACATCCCTTAGACATGGGTGACACAGTTTGCTTTGCAGAGTTACATCCCTTAGACATGGGTGAGACAGTTTGCTTTGCAGAGTTACATCCCTTAGACATGGTTGTCACAGTTTGTTCTGCAGAGTTACATCCCTTAGACATGGTTGTCACAATTTGTTCTGCAGTGGACATGGGTGACACAGTTTGCTCTGCAGAGTTACATCCCTTAGACATGGGTGACACTTTGCAGAGACATGGTTGTCTCAATTTGCTCTGCAGACAGTTACATCTGCCATCCCTTAGACATGGGTGACAATTTGTTCTGCAGTGGACATGGGTGACACAGTTTGCTCTGCAGAGTTACATCCCTTAGACATGGGTGACACAGTTTGCTCTGCAGAGTTACATCCCTTAGACATGGTTGTCACAATTTGTTCTGCAGTGGACATGGGTGACACTGTTTGCTCTGCAGAGTTACATCCCTTAGACATGGGTGACACAATTTGCTCTGCAGAGTTACATCCCCTAGACATGGTTGTCACAATTTGTTCTGCAGTGGACATGGGTGACACTGTTTGCTCTGCAGAGTTACATCCCTTAGACATGGGTGACACAATTTGCTCTGCAGAGTTACATCCCCTAGACAAAGGTCTTCCAGCTCTCTTTGGTGCCGCAGTTTGCTTTACAGAGTTACATCCCTTAGACACATATATCCAAGTTTTCTGAAGTGTCACTGTTTGCATTATAGAATTATATCCCTTCGGGATGGTGGCCCTGTTATTTTATAGTACTTCAGCCGCATGAGTAAAAATCACATAGCTTCACCTAAATTGAATAAGCCTCAGATGTTAACTGTAAGTAATCACTCATTCTGTGGATACACAAAACATGAGCTGCTTGACCAATCACAACTGTTATCTTTTCAAGTTTTGGAAGACCTTAAATTATGTGTTTTCATACTGAATGTCATGTCTGTTTATGCAGGAATTGAATGACGCGGAGTTGCGGTTGAGAAATGGTGGGCTAGGCGGCATACCGCTGTTTGATGAGTGGGAGGCCAGAGTCAGCTCAGCAACAGATATCAAGGATCTGGTAAGTCTGGCATGCTCCGTCTGTCACTGTAGCCACTTGTCTTGGTTTTGTGGAGCGTTGGGGTAGCCCAGTGGTTAAAACGTTCAATCGTCATGCCGAAAACCCGGGTTCGATTTCCCACATGGGTACAATATGTGAAGCTCATTTCTGGTGTCACCTGCCGTGATGTTGCTGGAATATTGCTAAAAGCGTCGTAAAACCACACTCAATCACTCTTTTTTTCCATTTCTTTTTTTTTTTTTTTTGGGGGGGGGGATTTTTTATTTTTTTATTTTTTGTTTCTATTTTTAATTTCTATCTTGACACATGTTTAAATGCCATCTGTTGTTGATTTCTGTCTTGTAACATCAAGCTAATGACAGCACATGACTTTGTTAACAATAGGTTAGAGTCCGTATAGATCTCAAGGATCTGATGAGTCAGACATGCCCCATCTGTGTGTTTTGAGGTTGTTGTTTTGGGGGCTTTTGTTGTTTTCAGAATTTCTGTCTTTCCGAATCGAGAGGCCGTTAACTTCTTTTCAGAAGAATATTTTAATCATGGAATTCCTAAATAAAATATCACTATGACAAATTTGGTTTTCTATTTCATTAGAAATGCTGGATAAACACAAGTGTTTTCTTGTTGCCTTGTTGCTTGTCAGACTAATTTTCCTGATAAAAGTGCTTTGTGTCAATAAAGCTGATATTCAGGTTTTAATTTCAGGGGGCATGTTTGAAAGAAGTTCAGAAAAATGTAGCTGAGAAGTTTTTGAAAGGTTTCATGAAACCTAGAAACGTCCCGACAACGCAAGTCAAAGAAATAAAGGAAGAAGAAGACAAAGGTAGATCAGTCATTTGAAATGACAGGCATGTTGGATACTGGTTCAAAATGTATGTCCTCAATTTCATGTGGTGGTGATTGTTCTCGAGGAACAAACTATGTCATAACACCTTCATGAGCTTCGCCCTTTTGCAACACAATCTTGGCCTCCAACAACAGCAGTCCAATATGTTATTGTTTATTGTATAGTTACATGAAATTTGTTTTGTTAACTCATTATAATGTTTACAGGGCAGTGGGGTGGCCTCATGGTTAAAGCATTTACTTGTCACGAAGACTCGATTCCTCTACAATGTGTGAAGCCCATTTTTAGTGTCTCCCACTGTGATATTGCTGGGGTGGTGAGGTAGCCATGTGGTTAGAGTGTTTGCTCGTCACGCTGAAAGACCAGGTTCACTTCCCACATGGTTACAATGTGTGAAGCCCATTTTTGTGATCCCCGCTGTGATATTGCAGGAGTATTGCTAAAAGCGGCGTAAAAACATACTCACTCGCTATAATGTTACCACAAAACAGACCTAGGTATCACAGTAAGGTGCAGTGTGAGTCTCGAGGCTGTGCACCGCTGTGTTTGAGAATGATATTGAATGTGTGTTGTGTGTATTACAGATGAAGATGAGGATGTGGAGGAGGACGTGACTGCCTCCAAGGCTGTAGCTGACTGGTTTGAAGCCCTGGAGACCTGCCCCACGTTCTCCAGGCTGCACGTGTTGTTAGGCATGCTGGACTCATGCATCAAGTGGGAGAAGTCAGCCGAAAATGCTGTAAGTCTGGACACACTCCAGGGATTCAGTTTCAAATTGAAACTAAATCAGACGAGTTCAGTCAGCTTGATATTCTAATATAAAATATGGTCTTACTGTACTCAGCGCTGATATTAATGGAACATTAAGCTGTACTCCCCAACTCTGACTACAGAAAAGTATTAATAAAGGTTTCTGTACTGTCAATTCATGGTCTTCATGATATTGAAGATGTCCTCACTAAAACAAAATTGTTGAAATGTCTCAAGCAGTGTTCAGAATTAATGATGTAGCCTTGCTATAATCTTCATGTGAAGAATTATTGAGTTTCAATACAACAAGCTACAACACTTACTCTACTTACTCTGAACTAATTAGGCTTTTTAGATTTATTACCTGTGAAGATCCAGGTTAGAATTGGTCTTCAGTAACCCATGCTTGTCGTAAGAGGCGACTAACGGGATCGGTAGTCAGACTCGCTAAATTTGTTGAGACATGTCGTGGTATCCCAATTGGAGGGGCAGTGGGGTAGCCTAGTGGTTAAAGCGTTGGCTCGTCACGCCGAAGACCCGGGTTCAAATCCCCACATGGGTACATTGTGTGAAGCCCATTTCTGGTGTCCCCCGCCGTGATGTTGCTGGAATATTGCTAAAAGCGGCGTAAAACCAAACTCAGTCAGTCAGTCAGTCAGTATCCCAATTGCGTAGATTGAGGTTCATGCTGTTGATCACATGGTTCAGACTCGATTATTTACAGATCGCTGCCATATAGCTGAAATATTGCTGAGTGCGGCGTTAAACAACCGACCGACCAACTGAAGCAAGTGTAACACTATGTTCACCCAGCAGTGATTAAGGACATTGTTCTATAAGATGGTATTGTGACTGTTGACCTTCTACCATCTGACAGGCAGCTTGGTTTGTGTACTCCCCAGGGAGCTGAGAATGAAAATCTATTAACACTGTTCCATTGACCTTGTTAATCATTCTTCTTCACACCAAATATTTTTGGTTCTTGTGAGTTAGATCAGTATGAGTTCCTTTTGTCTGATTTCCTCCAGAAATGCAAGATATGTCGTAAGAAGGGTAACGACGAGGCCGTACTGCTGTGTGATGAGTGCAACCAGGCCTTCCACATGTACTGCCTACGTCCAGCACTCCTCTACATCCCCAAGGGAGACTGGTTCTGCCCGGCTTGTATAGTGAGTATACAAACTCAACTTTAAACTCTCATTGCAGAGGACAGGCTCCTCAGCCAGCGGCTCCTTTCACGGAGGCAACCTTTACTAAGGTTAACCTTAACTCCCATTCTTTAACATTGCACTAAGGGATCGTTCATTATTTGTGCCTAGGGGGGGGGTGATGATGATTTTAAGGGTGGGTCACCCATTTTGTTCTTTCTTTTTGTTTGTTCTTTTTGTTTGTTTGTTTTTGGGTTGTTTTGGGGGGTTTTTTACACACATTCTGGGGGAAGGGTGTAAGCAATTTTGTACATAAAATTATGCTTAAAACATTGGAGGGGGTTGGGGTCATTGATTTTGTACATGACATGCATGGGGGTCACTTTGTACATAAATGTTTTTGGGGGGGGTCATTCACATTGTACATGCTTCTCCATAAAAATCATCATTTTCACTCACTCTCACACACAACACACACACACACACACACACACACACACACACACACACACACACACACACACACACACACACACACCGGCCATAAATTATGAACGGTCCCTAAGGTTACCTTTGTGACTTACGATTACCTTAGTGCTTTGTGAAAGAGGGCCCTGGTGCTCAGTCTAAGTTGAAGACTGACATTAATATGGTTTCCCTTTAAACATAAGTCATTTTGTTTAGAATTCAGTATCTCAATATCACTTTCAACCTATTCTTTTGCTACCTAAGTACAGGAGAATTAGTATGGATTTTGAAGTATTAATAACAAAATGTGTACAGCACAGTGACCTCATATTTGTGTTGTCTCCAGCCTCAGTCCAAGAGACGGCACAGTCGAGAGGTTAAGCGGTACAATGAAGATGCTGAATCAGACGATGTGAGTATATTTTTGAATGGGAAGTATTTTACTGGTTTGAAATTAGAAAATCTGAATAATCTTTACAAGCCCTGTATGTATCCATTTGTATGAATTGTAAGATTTGTATGTCTTCATTATGTTTGGAGGCTTTAGTTCGAAGTCTGCAAGAAGGATAATTTTATGTGTTTGATATGTTTATAGAATGTCACTACATTTAGATGTACAGGGTTTTTTTCTGAGGAAATATTTTGTTATGTGGGATTTGTAGCTTAATGTTTTTGGATGTCTTGTGAACAGTTGCAAATCTAAGGGTCAGTCCCTTGTGATCACGGGTTTTCATAAATAGATTAATTTGAAAAGTTTTTGTGAAAATGGGTTTTGTATGTGGATGAAATTGGGTACTGATAAATCGTGGTGTTGTCAATGTTGATAAAGTTTTTTGTTGATGTTGTTGATGAAACAAGGTGTTGTTGCCACTGCTGATGTAGCAAGGTGTTGTTGCTGATGATGTGGGAGGGTGTTGTTGCTGATGTTGGAGGAGGGTGTTGCTGATGTGGGAGGGTGTTGTTGCTGATGTTGGAGGAGGGTGTTGTTGCTGATGTTGGAGGAGGGTGTTGTTGCTGATGTGGGAGGGTGTTGTTGCTGATGTTGGAGGAGGGTGTTGTTGCTGATGTTGGATGAGGGTGTTGTTGCGATGTAGGAGGAGGGTGTTGTTGCTGATGTTGGAGGAGGGCGTTGCTGATGATGTTGGAGGAGGAGGATGTTGTTGCTGATGTTAATGGAGGAGTTTGTTGTTGCAGGACCAAAGTGACAACGGTGAGGAGCGAGAGGCCATCGAGCATGACCAGGAGTGCTATGAGTGTGGAGACGGAGAAGAGGGAGACCTTATTGAGTGTGGAGTTTGTCCTGCTGTCTATCATCTAGACTGCCACAATCCACCCCTCCGACACCCACCTAGGTACGTCACACAAATAAAAACAGGAGGCAGTTCAAATTCACAATTCAATTATCAATCAAAATTCAGTACCTATATGTGATGTAAAATCCTTTTCTTTTCTTCTTTTTGTCCCCTTACCATAATTCTTTGGTTGACTAAAAGCTTTTTAGAAATGACCCCTATTGAACAGTATTTTAATTCTATCATTGCATGTAAACTAAACTGGGAGGAAAAACAGCAATGTTCCTAGTGTTGTACATTTACCCCTTAGGCCAGTGCTGGCAATCACAGTGCTGGTAGGATAACAATCAGGGCAAATTGGGAATTCTGACCCACAACCCAGATTCTGTCTTGCCCCTTTGAGATCATTTTTTCATTTTGTATGGGACAGGGATTTACCTTGAGTCCTGTATTTGAGGGGTCCCTGGGACTCATACTCTAATTTTCAGGGGTCTTGTACTACAAAATGGGGGTCCCAGACACTTAAATATTATCATTAATACTGTTATTGTATTGTGTATCATGATCATCACATTGTTACAATAATTCAGTTGCAAATGATACAATAACCCTGCTAGTTGCAAACTCAGTGAGAATTTTCACCAAAAGTATATTTGGACTTTTTCTGCGTCCCCGTGGATGCGCTAATACATTTCTTTGCGTCCATTGTCTATTTTTATGTGTATATGACGCGGGAATTCGCATCCCGTAAATCCCTGTATGGGAACAAGAATGACCTGGTACTGTTTTAGTATTAAAACGTCAAGAATATGTACACTTTTTTATCCAGTGCCCGACCCGTGAAGATCCGGGGTAGAATAGGTCTTCAGCAACCCATGCTTGCCACAAAAGGCGACTATGCTTGTCGTAAGAGGTGACTAACGGGATCGGGTGGTCAGGCTCGCTGACTTGACACAGGTCATCGGTTCCCAGTTGCGGAGATCGATGCTCATGCTGTTGATCACTGGATTGTCTGGTCCAGACTCGATTATTTACAGACCACCGACATATAGCTGGAATATTGCTGAGTGCGGCGTAAAACTAAACTCACTCACTCACTCACTTTATCCAGTGCCCATGGTCATGAGTTGTTTGGGTGGTGTTTGTTTTGTTATTTGTCATTGGTTAAATTTCTGTGTCCACTTTCAGGGGGGTACTGGGAGTGTTCGAACTGTAAAGGTGGAACCAGAAGTCAACGGAACAGAGGAAAATCTTCACGAAGAAAACCTAGAGGTAAAAAAGGAAAATGAGATGAGCCGCACATAAAATTTTCTGTCGTATCCAAAATTGCTTTCTCCCTTTTTCTATCTTTGGCACCACATACGAAAAACATTTAAAGATGGTACTTGGTTCTCTGAATGGCAATCTGGATTCAGGGGGTAACAAATACACGTCAGTATACGTATGTGTTCTTTATATTCAGTGAAGCAATAGCAGAAGCCATATAGATTCTTTGACATGTTTCAACCTTGTTTACATTGTTACTTTGTCAAGACTGCTATCAGTGACCATATTACTGCCATCTACAGTATATAAGTGTTGTAACTATTATCCTGCCTGACAATCCATTCTGCTTTGATAAATAACACCCTTGTTCAAGTAAAAACACTCCTTTTTATAAAAAACTTCCAAATATTTGATTCAAGTGATTGGGAATAGTGAATTGAATTCATGAAAGGAAAGGATACTGTTTGATTCACTGAATATGTGACTCAATTGAAACAGCCCTTCCATTTTCACGTTACTACAGTGCATTCAATACAGCAAGTATTTTTAAATGTTTAGAATTGTACATATACCTTCATATGAAGAGCGAGAGTCTGCTCGGAGAGCAGAAGGTCGTGGGTTCGATCCCCGACCGCGTCATACAAAAAGACGTTAAAATATGGTACTTGTTGGTCCCTGCCTGGCGCTTGGCATTAATGGGTACAACAAGGACTGGTCGGCTCAGAGTCGGTATAATGTGTCTGAGTGGGGTATTCATGCTTCACTGCGGCATGGTATCTCAGTGAGCTAGCACTATAAAACCAGCTTAAGTCTGGGCTAGTACAAGCAGCTGCACATACACATACACACGCATGCACGTCGTCATATGAGCGAAATATTCTCAAGTACGACGTAAAACCCAATTTCACCTCACCTCACCTCACCTCATATGAAGCGCTTTTTTAACCTGTGTCATTCACATTCTTATCATTCACTGACAGATCGCAAAGTATCTCATCATCACAACCACTGACACACCTGTTGTTTATTGGGGCGGTGGGGTAGCCCAGTGGTTAAAGCATTCACCTATCACACCAAGGACCTGGGTTCGATTCCCCACATGGGGACAACGTGTGAAGCCTATTTCTGGTGTCCCCAACATGATATTTCTGAAATATTGCCAAAAGCAGCATAAAACCAAACTCGCTGTTTTTCGAAGTTGGCACTACCACATTTGTCATTCATTCAGAATCCTTCCATATTTTTCAATACCTCTCCAAATATTCCAATTACTTATATATGATTAGAGCTGGTTACATCATACATTTAACTTGTGTTTAATATATGTCCTATTGCAATTATCAGTGGCCCAATCTTAGCCATGCATGTGTATTGAGTTTGAGTTACCAAAGCTGTACTCTTGTTGTCTTCCTGTCTCCAGCCGCAAGAGTTAAGTACAATCAGTCATCTTCGGAGGATGAGTCAGATGCTGAAAATCAACGCCAGACCAAGTCTAGTCGAAGATCAGCTTCATCAAAGAAAGAAACCACATCGTCAAGTACACGTTCATCATCACGGAAACGGGAACCTGTCAGCGAAGCACTGGACCAAAAGCCCATCTATTCTCGTAGACCTCCATCCGAACTCTCTGTAAGTGGTTAAGCTTTGTCACTCTTTAATCCTGTGGGGCACAGTTGGCTGTGCAGTTGCATCCCTAGGGCTCATCAGAAATGTTACCTCAGGGGTCAAAACCAAGTTCTCCTCAATTATGTTCTAGGTTAGTCAACACTATACTCGAACTCGTGAGTGACCCCTGCATCACTTCAAGCTTTCCGAGACACCTCAACTACCTTATCAGAAGGTTTTTCAGCTGCCCATGTGTTTTGTTGATGTGTTGGTTATTTTAATAGATGTATTGTCAAAAGGACAGGGTGTAGTTTTGTGTAGTTCATTTCTGTTTGCAAGGATGGACTTATTAAGGGCAATGTTACGAAACAGCAACTGTGGTCAAACATGTAATCCTCTCTCTATGTTGTGTAAATATGGCTTTGTTGTCAGCTGGTATGTCCTTGTTTCAGATATGTGAGGAGATTTTAGACAAGGTGATGAAGCACAAGTCCTCGTGGCCATTCCTGGAAGCTGTGGACAAGAAAGAGGTATGTCATGACCTCACTATCTTCCATAGCGTTAAGTGGAGTTTTAATGTGGGCTGATGAACCATTTGACGACAAGAATATTTCCTATCTGTTATCTAGTGGATATTGCAGCTCTCAAAAGTGGATTGTAATAATAATAATAATGTGTCCATTTATATAGCGCCAAACTCCACACTAGGTATGCTCATAGCGCTAACAATCAAGGCACAGCACATTATTACCCGGGATAACCCAAGCAGCCTGTTAGGCGCTAGAAGGTTATAGTCATATGACTTTTTTCCACCGGGTACCCATTTTCCTGCTGGGTGAACAGAGACAGTTTTGAACAAACTCACTTGCCTAAGGTGAGACCACATGTGTCACATGTGCTTCGTTGTGGGGCAGGACTCAAGTCTTAGAAACTCTCAGGAGTCAAGCTGCCAAACACGGTCACCCATCCAAGGACTCTCCGAGATCGACGCTGCTTAACTTAACCGATTTGTGACCTGAGCTTTGAGCACAGGACCACGCGCCACCACCATTGTTCGTGGTTCAATCTCCTTACTGCATCATACTAAATGATGCCTTAACAAGGTGATGATTGTTGTGCCCCTGCCTCCTGGCAATGGGCATTAAGGTGGTAAGAAGTACCAGTCACTCTATCTGTGCAATGATCTTCAATGCCGTTCAAGCTGTATTTAATCCGCCTCTGTCACTGTATGCTGTATTGACTGATTGGCAGTAAATGAGTAAAAGAAAATGTATGTTTATATGCGATATTGGTGTAACAGCTGTCTTTTGAATCTTGTCCAAGTATGCAACTGCAATACTTACACATTAGCTGGACTGTAGTTAAGATAAATGAACACTAGCCATTGGAAACCATTTTGGAAAATACTGAGTCATAGGCATTGGAATTGCTCTCTTATAAGATTCCAACATAATTTTATGGGCAAAGTTTGGCATGCAAGCATTCAATGACCAGGGTCCCCATCCACAAAGCGTTGGTAACGTTAAGACCTGTCGTAACTCTATAGCTTATCAACGTTTTGTGGCTACGAACGTTTTGTGGATCAGGACCCAGGGTTTTAATCCCTGGCTTGCTCTGGCACTTGGTTTGTTAGCACTATGCATGAGTGAGTGAGTGACAACACCACCATTTAGCTGGGACATTGCTGAGTCTTTGAACAACAACCAATTCAATCCACCACCTCACTATGCATGTGACTTTCAAAAAAGTGGTAAACATCCATGGCCACGACTCCCTACATTTAGCTGACTCGTGACATAACTTTAAAGTGAAAGGTAACCCACTCACTGACAATGCCAGCTCATGACCCATGTCCACCCAACAGGTCCCAGACTACTATGTGATAGTGAAGCATCCCATGGACTTCCACACTATGAAGAACAAGCTGGCCCGCCTCAGCTACTCGTCCCCCCGAGGAAGTCATCAAAGAGACCGCCCTCGTCTTCAGGAATGCTGCTCAGTACAACAAGGTAAGCTGTTACACTGACTTCATGCTGTCACTCTTGAAGGTCTGGGTTAGAATTGATGTTAAGCAACCCATGCTGGTCATATGAGGTGGCTAACAGGATCGAACCGTCTCCGTGGTGTAGTGGTTGGAGCGGAAGGTCACGGGTTCGATCCCTGACCGCGTCATACAAAAAGACGTTAAAATATGGTACTTGTTGGTCCCTGCCTGGCACTCGGCATTAATGGGTACAACAAGGACTGGTCGGATCGAAGTCAGTATAATGTGTCTGAGTGGGGTATGCATGCTTCACTGCGGCATGGTATCTCAGTGGGCTAGCACTATAAAACCAGCTTAAGTCTGGGCTAGTACAAGCAGCCACACATACACACGCATGCACGTCGTCATATGAGCAAAATATTCTCAAGTACGACGTTAAACCCCATTTCACCTCACTTCACAGGGACCACTAATAACACTTCGATATAACCGTAGTCTATCTTAAGCAAAATATACAAGTGGCAGGGACCCACAGTTCATGCTATCTGTCAGTTCGTTATAATCACGACGATAAACCCAATTTCACCTCACCTAACAGGATCGGGTGGTCAGGCTCGCTGACTTGGTTGATGCAGGTCATCGTAACTCAATTGCGTTGATCGATGCTCATGCTGTTGATCACTGGATTCTCTGGTACAGACTCCAAGATTTACAGACTGCCACCATACAGCTGGAATATTGCTGAGTGAGGCGTTGAACAAAAAATAAACAAACAAATTTCTATAATATCCACCGATTGCGCTCAAGTCCCCACTTTGGGGACAAATGGCTGACATCTGACACCTACCGAAGGGCTATTGAGGTACACCCTCTGAGGGTCAGTGATGTGTGGGCAAAAGATTTGATGCAGGTCATCATATCCCAATAGCATTGATCATTGCTCGTGATGATGATCACTGGATGATCTGCTCCAGACTCAGTTATCTACAGACAGCTGCCATACAGCTGGAATATTGTTGAGTGTGGCGTTATACAAGCAACAAACAAAATGAACGTCTATGTTGGCCTTCGGTGAACTACTTCACCTGATAGCACCCAGCGTCAAAAGTGTATTGGAATCTTTTGAAATTCTTGGATATTTGTTTTGTTAAAAGATTTTAAATAAGGTCAAACAAAAGATGACTTCCACCTTGTTCTAAAAGTATGTGATGTTCTGGGTTTAATTCCCCTCATCGGAACATGTATATTTTCCATTTCTGCTATTACCAAACATGATACTGTGGGATATTGTTAAATAAGACTATACTTAAACTCTGGTTCTATGTGTGAGAATATATCACTCACTCACTCACTCTGTGTTGCAGGAGGACAGCGAGGTCTACCAGTGTATGCTAGAAGTGGAGAAGGTGTTCGTGGAAATACTCAGCAAGAAGTTGCCTTTCTATCACTACAGTCGTGACCCTGTTGCCAATGGTTACGATGACCATGGCTACAGCAATCGGAAACGATCTCGACGATGAAGAGTCTTAGTCACATATGTACATCTTTCCCATCCTGGATTCAGTCGTCATGGTACCTGGCTTCTTGTGAAGTAGTTATCTGTACATTGGGTGTAAATTAGCATATTGTCATTTTAAAGTTGTTCAGTAATTAAGTTAATTCATTGTTGTTGTTTTTCTCATCTCAAAATGCTGAAGAAAGCACAAGTTATGTGAATATTTAGTTCTGTTAAAGAGTATGTACATATCCTTTGGTGCAGAAATTTATGTGTGTAGTAATAGCGTACATGTTCAGTGTATTCATGTGGTAAACATATTTGAATTCACACTTCACTTTTTTCACAAAATGAAATCAGGTGGTGAAGATATCCTTTATATTTAAACTTTGTTGAAAAGGAACATCGAGTAATTTTGTTTTTCAGAAGGAAAAGCAGCATGTATCAATTCACATCAAAATACACAAATTCAGTTGAAAATAAAATTTCATTGTAAATACTCTATTTTAGTCGTGAGATAGTGTTTTCATGTTGTCTTTGTAAACTGTACAGTCTTGGGTACGAATCCGTCAACTTATATATTATTTTATGTGAAGTGTATAAATGTAGTTGTGATCACGAATTCAACCCCATCACTTCAAAGGGATTGCTGACGCATGAGAAATAATTGTAGGCATTTTATTCATGACAGAATTAACCTGGTATTCTTAGTGGTCAGAAGCATGCATCCATATTAAAACTATTCCTAGGCTCGGTTTAGGATATGAATTGTTGAGTGGTTCATGGTCAACTGACACATGATATCAGATTATGTTATATTATCCGACATATACATGAAGGCAGTTGAAATTGTATCAAAAATAATTTAGTTATATCAGTGTCATTAGAATCAGATACTCGCTACCGCTGTTCAATGAGAACATCACATCATGGTCATTTCAGAACAAAGGTTTGCAAACTATGACTAACAAATAAAATGACAAACAAGAAGTCAACATTTGCCAGTCAGGAAGCAACTTTGTTTTCAGTCAGGAACTTCAGACTGGCATTTTTCACTATGCTTTGAAAAATATTGATTTTCAGATTGCAACTGAACAATAGAAAATTTTTTTGCGATTGTTTAATAAGTGGCTGAGATTGTATGGCAGTCTCTTATGTTTTAAATGTTTATCCCATTGAAGTGACAATAGGGCAATTAGTTTGAAGGAATACGTCATACAGCCAGCAATTGTTCTAAGATTAGGAATCTCATTCCGACTCTCACTGTCCCAATCATGTTAGCAACGCTCTGATTGATTGGATGAAAGCCGTTCTGACACGACCCGTGATGAGATGTCACCATTGTTTAGTAGCACGTAAAACTCAAGTTTCGTTTTAATGAGATTAAGTAATTTCAACAAATCCGCCTTTCAACAAATTCAGGAATTACTTGCATTGATATTGTTAAGTGAGTCATTGAGAAGGTTTGCCCAGGTGTTTTGTTGGTGGTCTCCTGTACTATAAGGTGGTTCAGGGGTTACTGTGGCACTAGTTCCAGTTTAATTACACCTACAGCGTCAAGTCTCAGTGGAATTTCCCTTCTTTTTTCCTGACTGATGGAATTTATTTAACATTGTACTAGGGCTGGGAAGAGGCACTTTGTCACGATATGATACGTATCGTGATATGTTACCTGCGATACGATACATATCACGATACATACACCTTGAAAGAATGACACAGTACCATGATTTAAAATGAATGGCTGGTAGTGGCCAAATATTACCGAACAGACAGCTGGTTTAACGTGAGTTGTAAACTTTTAAAACGTGCATATTTTTCTCTAAATAAGTACTTTAACATGTTTAAGATAATATTGTTTTGAAAAAGTTGTGTATCGATACACCGGTCGACGATACGATAGCTGTATCAAATTTAAATGTATCGTCCCAGCCCTATCTTGTACACTGAATATGTTTCTTTTGATTGAAATCTACCAGAGTGTCATCACTGACCTTTGTATGCGATTTTGTTTCGAATGACTCTACTTTAATTAAGTATCAAGAAGCATGAATTCAATTTAATAAAAATCTGTTAATGTTTGGGGTTTTTTTTAAAAAAAACAAACAATTTAAGAACATGGGATATTTCAGCTGCAGTCTACCTGTTTGAATGTGCAGATCCTTTGAAAATGAATTTCGTTTTACATTGATATTTGAAGAGAAAGAATGAGTGATGGATGCATTGAAGGGCAAAAAACATGGTCATGTACTTTCTGTAGCCAACTTCAAAGAGTATTAACTTTGACAGTATTTACTTTCAATGACACAAGCCCCAGGATGTTTCTGAAATAATTTTTATTTCAAACATTGTTACCTGGGGAAAATGAAAGTAACCTAACACTGAAAGTATCATCATCTTTCATCACAGAAGTATGTAGGGTTTGCCATTCTTGATGGCAGTTACGAGGTTTTTCAGCAACTGTGAAAATTATTTTTGTTAGAATCTGATCTTTTTAATGGTATTGTCCTGGTGTAATGATATTGGGGTCATGATTTTGTAATAATCAGATGGTTACACCATCTCTTAGCAAATATCTCGGTCCCCTCGTTTTGTTTACTTTTGACACATGAAAGGAAAAAAACTAATGGAATATTTACAAAGACACTCCATGAAATGGTTTGAATTATGAAATATCAGGGCAATATGTATTTCAGTTGATGTGAAGGAAGTGAAACTCTGGGGTGTCTGGGTTAGATTTTCACCAAGCATCCCAGCTGTTGTTAAGTGGAAACTTAATGGATCTGATGGTAATTATTGGTAACTCATTTGATGGCATGTCAATGCACCCAACAGCATGGACACTTGCTCATTCTATCAGTCATTGGATTGTCCCGTCTTGATTGGTATGTTTACAGGGTAAGGTCAGCTATCTGGAATGTAGCATAACACAGACAGACCTGTCCATAGTGTGATTAACAGTCATAGGCTTAATCTAATAGTGATTAATGAAATGGGCATTAACTTGAAAACTTATACAGTCCATTAGGTAAATACCAAGAAGCTTCATTCAGACTTTGTTGCACACAAACTACAACTGTAAAGTAGAGGCAATGTTTTCGTCTGTTTAGTGGTCTAATGTATCCTATTTTATATTAGGGTGTGTACTTAAAGGTTGCAGAGCAGCTGACAGAGTGTGTCTGACAAAGAGTAATTTATAACATGTCATCCTTTAAATTAAAGCTTAACTTGACATTGAGCTGTGTTTTGTGTTCTTTGTTTCCTGGGGAGATTCTGCTGTGCCATGTACATGGCAATTGAAGATGGACAGCGTCTCAGAGAAGAATTAGGTTGCCTTGTCTGTGAAAATACAAACCAATTCCACGTTCAGTAGAGTTGGTATTACCATGGTCACGCAGTTTGAAGTCCAGCTGGGGCGGTGGGTAGCCTAATGGTTAAAGCGTTGGCTCGTCACGCCGAAGACCCGGGTTCGAATCCCCACATGGGCACAATGTGTAAAGCCCATTTCTGGTGTCCCCCGCCTTGATGTTGCTGGAATATTGCTAAAAGCGGCGTAAAACCAAACTCAGTCAGTCAGTCAGTGAAGTCCAGCTGATCTTATTTTAACACAAGACAAAACACCTGGGAAAAGTAGCAGTAGTTTGGTAGGCTGTCATCACCGCCCTTTGGTAGTTGCTCATGATGTTTATCAGGCAACTGCCACTTGATCATTGATACTCGGAATAAACCAATGTTCTCATGGCTGGAATTGAACCCATTACTCATCATAGTGCCAACCAGTTCCATCTTGACCTGGGTGGTGGGGTAGCCTAATGGTTAAAGCGTTTGCTCGTCACGCCGAAGGCCCGGGTTCGAATCCCCACTTGGGTACAATGTGTGAAGCCCATTTCTGGTGTCCCCGCTGTGAAATTGCTGGAATATTGCTAAAAGGGGCATAAAACCATACTCAGTCAGTCTAACTTGACCTCTGCAAGTTGTCCCTGTCATCACAGCTCATTGCCAAACTTTATGTTGTGGAATTATAACACTGAATTGAGGGTATAGTTATCGCTGTGACATCGAAGTGTTCCTCCTTTCCACAAAGCACTATGATTAGTAAGCCAATGTATGGTAACGTTTTGGAGTGACCTTCACCTTTGAGCAAAGATAGTTTTGTGGAATGAGGTCTCGTTAAATTCCACAACAGCCCTGGAAAGATGTGGCAAATTTTTAGACATGGGTGGATTGGGGGTTTCCAGCCTAGTGGCCAAAGCATTCGCTCGTCACGCCGAAGACTGGTTCGCTTCCCCCACATGGGTACAATGTGTGAAGCTCATTTCTGGTGTCCCCACGCTGTGCTATTGCTGGAATATTGCTTAAATGGCGTAAAACTTAACTCTCTCTCACTCACTGACTCTTAGAAATTGGATTCTTTTATGAAACTTGTAAAATGGACGACTTTTAAAATCAACGATAAGTGCAAGCGTGAAGGTGAAAAGAACAGTTACTTTAAACACGCATGAAGAGTGTGGTACAAAATGGTTCGATCCTAATGAACTGCTACAACTGAAAGTCTATTAAAAAGACGCACAGTAATGAGACTGATGTCATAAGTGAATGCTACCTCAAGTCACCATGGTACGAATTTGAAGACCATCCCAAAGAGAATCGAAAAGCTGCATTGCATGTAAAAAACTTCATCGGCTCCATTTCGATCGGCTGAAGATCTGGGCCTAGATTTTCAAAGCTCTCTTAGCGCTAAGATAGTCGTAAGTGCCATACATTAACATTAACTTACGACTATCTTAGCGCTAAGAGAGCTTCGAAAATCTAGGCCCTGTAGAGTTATGACGCTGCGTCATAAGGTAGAAGAAGAACATTTCAGCAGATACGTTCAGTTGGTACTGGCTATGAGGCACTCGTACCTGCATCCACCCCGCCCTATCTGGGGACAGATACAGTTACACTGACGTTTCCTCCAACCGGAAGTTCCTGCTTCCTGGCCCTGACTCTGTCAGCTCCTTCAGTATGGCTTGGTCAAACTCCGCCAGGTCCTCTGGTGTGTCCCATCCGTCGCCCTTCAAGGAGTAAAGCCTGGATCCATCGAACACCCGTTCGTTATCATTGCTCAGAATTTGGTGAGTCCCTGAAACGACAGGCCTCCTTTATTCACAGTTGTCGCAACAGATAGAAGAACATTTGAACTCCTTGATTAAGAGTTGATTAAGTCGAAGCTCCGTTAAGGCGTATGTTAGTGTTAATTCTTACGACTATCTTAGCGCTAAAGAGACACGCGTATATTCTTGCAGACACTTTCAATCGCATAGATATCGGAAAAATATAAACTACCCAGTATGATATCGAATTTGGTTTGTTTGTCATTTAATGCCAGACCGAATTAATCCCAGCTATAGGGCGGTGGTCTGTAAATATAATCGAGTCTGGGCCAGACAATCCAGTGATTAACATCGTGCCAACCAAGTCGTGCCAACCATGTGTCAAAAGTCAGAGAAAAAAGTGAAACATACAACTTTATGGATGACAGCTTCTTGTTTATTGCATAGAGCGACGTAATAAACAAGAAGTTGTCATCCATAAAGTTGTATGTTTCATTTTTGACTCACCAACTTCTTGAATGCCGATCAAACAATTAGCAAGTCAGCGAGCCTGACCACTCGGTTCCGTTGCAATCCGCTTACTATAAGCATGGGTTGCTGAACCGGATCTTCACGGGTGTATTTTATCGAAACCAGGAGTTTATTGGAGTTTCGACATTTATTCCGACTGACGGCTATTAATCAAGGAAAACCGCTCGATTACGTTTGCAGTATAGGTATCATGAGAGTATCATCGTGAAAGTTCCGAGCCCTTTGCATTTATGGAATTCAAACGTACATTTTGTTTTGTGAAATATCAACAGATTTGTTTTATTTGAAATGTTTATGCGTTAAATAATTACGTTCTTTAACTTGAAATATTATTAACAAGCAATGATGACAGGAAATAAGAACGGACCAACCGACCATTCGACAATTTCATAATCGAATTTTCATCTGGTTTCACAAATTGAGAACAGTCGATTGTCGGACTTGCTGGATGATTTACACTTGCAGATCCAGAGGGGTGGGTAGGGTGGATGTAGTGTAGGAGGTGACTAAAGGGTTGCTCCCTTGAACTGTGCAAGCTACAGGTATTCGGACATGCGCACCTCCAATCTTGTATGTCTGTAGACTGGCGAACTCGGGGTTGGTGGAGCAGTTCGGAGAGTACATGGTGTGGTCGCAGAACAGGACGTCTGCCAGACAGGAGGAGTTACAGTCGCGTGACGGAGTCTGCAACACCAGGCATTGATATAAAGTGAGAAAACAGAAGGCACAGCAGGAGCAACAGGACAAACTTCTACTACTACTACTACTACTACTACTACTACTACTACTACTACTACTACTACATGTCATCGTATGCTGATTGCTACTGGATTGTCTGGTCCAGACACGATTACTTACAGGCCGCCGCCATATAGCTTACACTACTACTACTACTACTACTACTACTACTACTACTACTACTACTAGGTATTCACTATAGCTGAAATCCTGCCGATGTGACTTTAACGTTTAACCCACTCACACTACAAGGCTCGCTGACTTGGTTGATGCATGTCATCGTGGCGATGCTCATGATGTCAATCACTGGATTTTCTATTATTAACAGACCGTCTTCACAAAGCTAGGTACTGTGTGCTGCGATAAACAATAAACAACAAACGTTTAATAGTAGCAGTAGTAGTAGTAGCAGAAGCATGTTTGTTACTTAACATTGAGTAGATGCAGCTATTGATGACGATCTATGAAAGGATCGAGTCTGGATCAATCCAGTGATTGACGCCGTAAGCATCGCAAATGGGACACGATGACAGGTGTCGACCAGACCACCCGATCCCGTTAGTCGCCTCACCCGGTTAGCGTGTGTTGCTGAAGACCAATTCTATTCGGTAGTGGAAATTGAAGTAATGGGAATAACTGATTTGTTCATAATGACCACAGGGGGAGGACTAGAAACCACAGGACGAATCAAATTAGTAGGTGGGGAGTGAGTGAAAATTGCGTAAAGGCCCATCAGCACTTTTGCAGCAGCAGAAGGTAGTGAAGAGCGTCACTAGGTGATACTTAGGGAACCACTCCTATACCTGGGCGTGTCCTGTCACCTGCTGTAGCTCCCATGCCAGTTCTCTGTTCCTCTCTTCAACCTCCGCCAGGTGGAGCTGCTGGCGGCAGATCAGCAGGTGGAGCTCGTTAATCTGAAACATTATATCAACTCTAAACAAATTTATCATGCTGTGACACAATATAAAAAGCTAAACACCTATCAAATGGCAAACGTTGTCTTGTTTTAACTTGAAATACACAGAAACGTCTTAGTGATGGTAATAAAGAAATTCTATTTCAATCAATTATCTCCCTTGCCTTTTTATCAAATTCGTCAGTCCGTCAGGTGTGCCAGAAACCTATGATTGGGGTTTCCCAGATTCCTTCCTGATCATATTTTTAGTCATGAACAATATTCCAATTACATGTATATCACTTCGTGTCAGATTAATGGACACCGTACGAGACCTGCATGGGTTACCTTGTTCTGTTTGGCGGAGTCCATGGCAATTGCTTTCTCTCGGTCGAACTGCACGCGCAACAAGGGAGTCGAGAACTCTCCATAGAGTTCCTGAGTCTGAAATCGTGAGACACATCAGTCAGCCTGGGATCTTTGTAAATAAACACTATCCATTAATCTTAAAGGTCACATGCAACCAAAAATCAAACATAATTAAAACACAATTATCACTTCTTCATGACATATAATATGCATTGCTGATTATGAAAAACAAATAAACAAAATTATAAGCGTATAATCGCAAATCAAAAGTGCAATATTTTGTACTTGGGTTTACCTCCCTCGAAACAGAAGCAGCCGGGATACCGAACCCAGTCAGAGCGGGTGGGTGTGCACTCAAGTGTAACGGCTGGTTCATTAGCGAGATCACCGCCTTCACGGGTCATTGTGTGTGTATATATAGAAAGTTGGGTTTTGTAAATACATGCTCATTTTTGTGTATAACATTTTGCAATCAACAGACATCATAACATGTCATGTGTTCAAGTATCACACCTGCCTGTCTGTGTAATTACATAATGTGACAGAGACCGAACTCGGGCCATAAATCAATGCGTTTTGTTTATGGTGTATAGCCTGATTGGTGTTAAGTTCAAATTGCATGTGGTCAGTGATCGCAGTTGTGTATTGAATATTGTCATTAGCAGACAGGCAGGCAGACACACAGGTGTCAATAAAACAAGACATTGAGTTTTGTCTGTGACAGCGACATATCTATATCACAGTTAGAAATTGTGTCAACTCTAAATAATGACATTGCTTTTAAGTATCGAACTGAGAAAGTGACTCGGTAAGAAGAACGTGTGGTGAAATAGACAAATGAAATTATATAAACAGTTTATTTACTGTCATAACATACAAAAAGCTCGCGCCTGTGAGATATCAACAAAACATTATGAAAATAGCTCACACCAAAGCCTTCACCGAGTATTCACCAGACAGCCCGCTTCCAAGTTGCGCGAACCTATTTCACTGCGCACGTGCTATGAGCGCAGCCAGCTGTTGAAACCCGTATTCCCCAGAAAAGTCTGGGGAAAATTAGTGAAACGTTTGAACTCCGATTTCAGCGCGTTTTTTTCATCGCGTTATTTTTCAACTTTATAAGTTGAATTTGCATTTTGACGCTTTGTTTCGGTAAGTCCATACCGAAGGTATCAGAATCTGCAAAGTTGTGTTTTACGTTGCATGTGACCTTTAAACAGAATTCAGTAGTTCAGCCGGCCCAGGATCCCCTAATCGTGGGAGACCGCCTCCGTGGTGTAGTGGTTAGAGCGTCCGCCCGGAGAGCGGAAGGTCGCGGGTTCGATCCTAAACGCGCGTCATGCCAAAGACGTTAAAATATGGTACTTGTTGGTCCCTGCCTGGCGCTTGGCATTAATGGTTACAACAAGGACTGTCAACTCGGAGTCAATTATAATGTGTCTGGGTGGGGTATAAATGCCTCACTCAGCAATATCCCAGCTACATGGCGGCGCTCTGGAAATAATCGAGTCTTGACAGACAATCCAGTGATCAACAGCATGGGCATCGTTCTACGAATTGGGATGCGATGTGTCAACCAAGCCAGCGAGCCTGACCACCCGATCCCATTAGTCGCCTCTTACGACAAGCATGGCTTTACTGAAGACCAATTCTAACCCGGATCTTCACGGGTCTATTACCATTCAACTGCCAGCAACACACCTGTATTTGTGGATTCCATGTATAAGTTTCAAAGTCGTTCACCACTTACTTAGGCTATCTTACAGTAACAAGTGTCCCAAACATGTCCAATTGCAGGGTATACTCATGTAACGATACCAACAGCTTTGCTGGGGCAATGTTGGTCCTGAGAGTTCGAAAACTTTCAAAGCTAAACTGATGCTTACCTGATTTTTTAAACGTAGTATATTTGTTCTTTTAAAATTCGGATAAACTCTTCCTACAATCGCCAACGGCTGGAGGGATGGTGTAAATCCAGCTAGGGTCAATGCAGGTAGCAAAGGTACTCTAAGTCCCCATGTCCCTAGTATGGTGATCTACCTTCAGTTGTTGGCGATCTATATCCTGTTTTTATAGTGTGTTGTCCCCTATAGTTAGAATGTTTTAGACTGTCTAGTTGTTTTACTGTCCTTCGTCGGCAGGTTTTTATAATATCTATATATATTCTATTTCAGGGTATACTCGTCACGTAACGATATTGCCGATGTGACGTTACATAATAACTTGCTGGGGCAATATTGGTCGGGGTTTTTTTTCATCGGTATGTTTACCTCTGGACTGCTCCGCTTCTCTCAACACGTTCTTGAGGAAGTTGGAGTCGGCTCTGATGCTCTTCTTGACGGCCATCCACTCCAACTCCCTGTCCTCCAGACACAACTGTATGTACAGAGGACATAGTTGGTAGGAACAAGAGGGAAGAGCTTATAATAATAAATAATAGTCAACGGTAATGGTAGCATTCAGCTATTCAGATAACACGCATGCATCTCGCAGAAGGTATGTCAAATACATAAAGTATCACCGCTGCCCGTGACAAGCGTGTTGTGATGACTCGATGATTAACTGCACTGACAGACATCTTGCCTTTACTGAAAAAACAGACCTCACGTCACAAACTTGTCTCCCTGACTAAATGACTCTCTCACCACACCGTCGCACGTGACAACTGTCTTGCCCTGAGTATAAAATCCATCGCACGTGACAAACCAGTTGCCCTGACTCACCTCCAGGGCACGCCGCTCGTGCTTCAGTTTGAGGATGAGGTCCTTCTGCTGCTTGGCGCGCTTCCCAATGATGCCGTAATCCTCCTCCCGCTGTTCGGATTCATTCAGCAACTCTGGATATAAGAAGGCAGTGGATGAGTGAGTCGGTTTAATGTCGCCACTCGGAACACTTTCATCTGTACATTGATGCAGCATTCATGAGAACGAAAACCCAGAGATGGCAAACCAAGGATTAAACTGCGACATAAGCCAACACTAAGTCCTGCCTTATCGCAAACCCAATAGTAGCGAGATCATTTGGCCACCGTGTCTGTTTTTTACAGACCATCAAGACCTTATAAGCAGCATAACCATGAATACAAATATATGTTGGAATTAATCGTTTAGAATTCAGTTTGACTTTTAATGACACAAGACAGAAATTTGGGGACGTGACAGAATTTCGAACAATACGTGTGGTGTACGAAGTGCTTTTTGTTTGAACATATTTTATTCAGTGTTGAAATGGATTGGGCACAAGTTATGTTACTTATTTCCGCCCGCTCCCATCAGAAACATGAACAATAATGAATGGACGTAATGAATGGACATAATAATATTGACACATATTATTTCAAGTTAATATTAAGAAATGCTTTTAAAGTACTTCTGGTCCAGGGCCCCGTTTCACAAAGCATTCGTAGCGCTACGGCTGTCGTAAGTCTATGCTAAAATAAGGGAGTTACGATCACCTTAGCGCTACAACAGTCGTAAGTCTATGCTAAAGTGTGGGAGTTACGATCACCTTAGCGCTACAACAGTCGTAAGTCTATGCTAAAGTGGGGGAGTTACGATCACCTTAGCGCTACAACAGTCGTAAGTCTATGCTAAAGTATGTGAGTTATGATCACCTTAGCGCTGCGCGTTGTGAAATGGGGGCCGGAGTATTCTCAAAAACGTTATACGCACTCTCTCCATCTATAACCGACGGTTTAATATAATATAACTTACATAAAGGTATGTAGGCATTCTATAAAACTCGCTGAATTCTGGTAGAACGTACTTTGCCTGCCCATATTTGTGCACCGTCAATATACAATCAAATGTACGTATCTATGACACAAAATGTACGGCCAAATGTTCAGCATGTCAGGAATCTTTGAAATGTGTGATCCAAAGGGCAAAGTATGCCTCCCCTATAACACGCATTAGACCGCAAAGGGTCTGAAGGTTGGAAGCGGATGTGATGTTTTCTGTTTTTGCTTGTTGTTTAACGCTGCATTCGGCAATATTCCGGCTATATGGCGGCGGTCTGTAAATAATGGAGTCTGGGCCAGATAAGCCAGTGATCTACAGCATGAGTATCGATCTACGCGATTGGGATAGATGACATGTGTCAACAAAGTCATTGAACCTGACCATTCGATCCCGTTAGTCGTCTCCTGTGACAAGCATGGGTTTCTGAAGACTAATTCTATCCCGGTTCTTCACGGTTAGATGTTTTCTGTAATGTATGGTGGACGTGCAGGATGTCTTACACAAATGTCACGTGAAATTATAACCACCCCTCCCACCCTACGGAATATCGAATGTTCGGTCCCCAAATGATCTAAAATTAGTGCCAACCTTCAAGGTTTTTCTTGTGAATTGTCCATTTCATATTGACGCCTTGCAGCAAGTCTAGTACATCTTGAAAGTGGAGTTCAAACTCGCTCAGCTTAACTTCATTCTTCAAATTGGCAGTTTCTGGTGAGTTGTCGGAATCCGTGGGTGTATCTGATATTATTGAAGGTTCTGCTGCCAACTTCAGAAGGACCGTGTCCACAACATGGGCAAGAACACTGTTTAGTTTGATAAGGTTCTCCTCAAGAGCAACCATGTGGGTCTCGGCATCTTTTATCGGATCCGTCAGGGGGGCAGGTGAACAGGGGGAGGAATTATGGGGGGACATGTCCCCAGGACTCTCTGGGAAACAGCCGAGACACGTCATACCTGTACCCTGGTCCTCGCTAGCTGACGAAATGTCGGTTGCCTGCGATTTTAGTGGGCTTAGTGACGGACCTAAATTCCGGTTCGCGTATTTCGGAGTCGTTGGGTATTTTTTCTTGTCTTGGCGCGGCTCTGTGGGCGTTGTGGGTGTAAATCTTACTGTCTTCTCGGGAAGGGTACCTTCACTAACGGTACGACGGATGGTGCTGCCACACACGTCATCGTAAGATGATGACTCTATGGTTTTGACGTCATCCGTAATCTCCGTTATTGTGATTGTTGGAAAACATTCTTCTGAACACTGCCGTCTTGTTTGTAAACTCGCGTCAATGTCACTGCTGGTTGGGGTGCACATCTCGTCCTGAAAACGTGGATTTGTGTTTCTGTTGCCTTCTTTTTCATGTCTAAAGGCATCAGCGACAATTCCCGTCACCAAAGCGTCTGTTAAATCCTCGTCGTCTGAACTATAACCATCTTCATAAACATAAACGTAATGGTCATCGCACGCCATCTTGCAGCTTGAGAATGTCGTTGACGTCACGGTTGTAGAAAGGAATGATGTCATGACAATGACGTCATAAGAGAAACAATGCTTATGACGTCAGTGATTTTTCTTCTTTGTTGTGCTTACGCCGCACTCTTCCAGGGCCAAGGTTTTAGAAGCTCTCTTAGCACTAAGATATTCGTAAGTGCCATACATTAACATTAACTTACGACTATCTTAGCGCTAAGAGAGCTTCGAAAATCTAGACCCAGGATCCACTTGCACAAAGCGATCTTAGAGCTAAATGAGAATCGTAAGTCTTTGTTAAAGTAAGTATGGGAGTTCGCTGAGATCGCATTATGCAAATGGATCCATTATGACCACGGTCTGTAAATAGTCGAATCTGGACCTGACATTCAAGTGGTTGACATAATGAGCATCAACCTACAGGGTTGGGATACGATGACGTGTTTCACCCATGTTGAGCCTTATCAGTTATCACCCGATCCCGTTAGGCGTGTTTCCACGGTGCAATTTGTTGTATAAAATTTGTGGCATGCAACGTAGCAAGTTTGGAACCCCTGTGACAAAACTCAGGCTCAAGTTGAAGACACGATACCTAGGGTATGTCACAATTGAGAAATCGCTATTATTAGTTTGTATTACAAGGGGGTAAGCGCAGTAGATGGAACAGTGAAACAAATGCACGTGCTGTACGTGATGAGCGTTAACTTAGACCAGCCCTACTTGTTCCCAGTGTTTCATCTAATGTGCATACCCCCTTGTAATACAAACCAATAATAGCGATTTGAAACTATGATCGTTTGTTAAACAACTTTTATCCTAAGTTGAATAAAATTCTGAGATTTGAATGTTCAATTGGCAAGGTAAAATTATGAGGATGCGCAATCTTAATTTCGGTTTAATTGATTTACTTTTTTGTTTAGAGTGAAATTCATCGGTACGTTTTCACTGCAAACAGACTATATACATTACAAAAAAACCAAATTCATTAGAAAGGAAGTACAACTGAAAGGGATTTGTCATAGTTTAGTTGAACTTTTCAGCCAACACTAGTGCGTATCTGTCGGGGGAGTGGTGGTGTGTAATTAAGCTGTTCTCTCCATTTTACATATCTGTCTTAGCAGGATTTAAACCCCGTCTTGAAAGTTTATTAAATAACCATTGGAACTCTCGTGAAAGCGGGTGAAAATGAACTGTGCGCACACACGCACGCACACACCACTACTCATTTCTCAGAAAACTAAAAAGCTGTATCGGCTCCTGGACTTATTTTGTTCTGTGTTGATGTTTCGTCTGTCTATTCATATTACTCGGTTTTGAGAATTTTGTTCAAAATGGTCGAAATAGAATTTACTTTTCTTTTTGTCTGAAAGTGACACCAAGAGAGAACTGAAAGGTGTGGACTATGTTGTAAATGAAAACTCAAAGGTTCTGTTAAGTGTTTGTTGACACTCACCATATTGTGGAAGCAGCTAGGCAGTGATCGCCTTTGAAGTAAAATGGGCTGAAAATCTCAATATACGAATTTGTATGTGAATGCTGAAATCAGAAATGGCGATATATATTTTCAAAAAACTTTGTCAATTCGCCAATTTCTACTGCCTTCAGCAGTGTTTTTTACTTGTTCGTAAGAAAGAGCGCGGACCATTCGGGTAATGTTCGTCTATTTCCGCCGATGATGCTCTAAACTGGGGCTCTGTCTATACGATACAGGACGCTTTGAACCGGTCTCGTAATTGAACAATGAAACTAGTCTCTTTTTTATTTGACAGATTATAAGAACTGAATTAGCATCACGTTGAGTAATTCAATAATTGGTTAATGCTTTGGGCTTTCGCATTCGTCACTACTCGCCGCTATTCGTAACTTGCAAACGTGACCAAACATTCGTAACACACTCGTGTTATTCCGGGACAAGCCGAATGGCGAGATTACGGAAAGGGGCGAGTGGTAACACGAGTATGCATTTGGAATATATCGGATGTGTTCGGCATTCAACATTTGGTGCTCGTCTCCGAGATTTTATAGTTTCGCAACGTACTTCGGAGTGAAAACGCATTGTGCTGAAAGGAAAAGAAAATGGCGGACAGTGTGGACATAGATTTGTATGCAAATATTGAAGACGATTTTAATCAGGTTCGTAATATTTTACACGTTACCATAACATTTGATGTTGTCTGGAGTGTTTCTTAGCCGCAGAAAGAACTAATGTCGATAAGTAAAATCGCATCCTAGTTTCTTAATTGCAGGGCAAAGAATGGACGCAAGCTTTCGCTTTCCTTGCGCACAGCGTCGTTTGTCGTCTGCCTGAAACCGGCAAAATCAAAATTGGCTATCGCGGGGAATATATATCTTAAACATGTATTCAACTTCGATTGTGGCCGATTGTTTCGCACCAGTTATGAAAACTTGTACCGGACTTTTGAAAATAGGGTTTAAAAATACACCGGCCACAAAAAATTTTTCACGCATCCTGCCCCGGAGTAATTATTTTTTCTAAAATACAATGTTTCATTTTATCACTTCGTACGGGTGCATGGCGAAAAGGGTCTGTTTGTGTTTTTTCGCATTATGGCATATGCCAGTTTGAAATTGCGCAAATATTTGGGGCAGCTCAAGGACAATGTGTTTGACATATTTGCAATAAAGAGTTCAGAAAAATATTGCAGTGTACTACATTGTCTGAAGTTTGATTGCTACGTGCTATTTTTTAAGGTTTGCAAGGTTTTCATTTCAAGAACATTAGCAGCCAAAATATCCCAATACCTGATGGTATTTCAGATTTTTTAAATGTACCGTCACATGTTTTCTGTTGACATACTATATACATTTCTGCTTGACCATTGTGAATCACAGTTCGCAATTTACAAAATGTGACTTTACTGGGAGCTTGTTTATCAACTAGCACCTTCCTGTTTTAAGAAGTTTTAGTGCTATCAAAACCTGTGTGATAAGTCGTCTGCTTGGTGTTGATATTGGCCGTCAGAAAATCGCATGGCCTGTCCGAAGCTCAGTGGATGTAGATAGCAAGCCAATGAAGTGAGCAAAAACATTTGGTGTCATTCCAAAGTGTTTTTATTAGAGGGTTCAGGCTAAAAACGTCACCATAGCAAAATGGCACCTGGCAAAAACGGCACCATTTGGACATAACGGAACCTCGACTTGGCAAAAATGGCTACAAATCTTATGGCGAAAACAGCACCAACTAAAATCTTATGGGGAAAACTAGTTTGTTATAAAATAATCGGATTGCGGAAATGGGCATCCCATAGCTGATAATCGGATTTCAGAATGTTTAGATAGTAAATACATCTACTGTGCCGACAGTGATTGGAAAGGGCATCCCAATTTAGCGTGAAAACATCGCAACCTTTGATGTTTTAAGTACATTTACTCAACTGAAATCGCCCAGTGTCAAACTCAGTGTCAAAAAAATCCAAAGATAATATTTATTTAATGTACAAATATATTAAAATATCTAGTTTTACCATATAACATGGCCAGTGAGTTTTGAAATTGTATATTTGTTGCTTATGAAAAAGACAAAAAAATTCAAATGCCACATCTGTGACATCAGCCTCTGGAGTTGTGACACATGAACATTGAGTGAAATTGGGTGGTGTAAAGTAAATATAAAAATATATTTTCCCGAACTGTAAATACTGTAGAAGATACTGGGATAAGTTAGATACCATTAACAATTTTGTTTGATTTTGACTTAAGTTTGTCGGATACAAACATCTGACATAAATATGCACGGATTTTGAGAATGACTCATATGTTGATATAATCTTGCTAATGTTATAATGAAATGAAATAAAACATAAGTCAACGTCATACTTTGTTTTATATATGGTGCCGTTTTAGCCCAGAAATCAGTAGCTGTTTTCGCCAATATCATGCCGTTTTCGCCTAACAAATTTGGTGCCGTTCTGCTGTGGTGCCGTTTTAGCTATAACCCTTATTAGAGATGGGCGGTTTTATGGGTAAACCATGTTTTTTTGCATGAGCCGGTATGTACCACGGAAGGTCGCAGAAAACGGGGTTTTTTTCTCATTTAAATAAAACACTATTATCTCTTCACAAAGATACTTCTTAGCAAAATCTCACTAGTTTCTCTTTACATGGTTTCTTTAAAATGCCGCTATCCAATGTAGGTTGAATGAAGAAAATACTCGAACGAAAAGTACTGGCAATTGCATTGATGTAACTTTGTTGTTAACTTGTTGTTCAGTGTTGAAATTTTCAATTTTATATGGAACTTGGAAGTTTGTGAAGGATATCATCTCAGTTTACTATTCCTTTTTGTGATGACTGATGAGTAATAACTAGTGATGAGTGCTTTTGCAAACTAAAACTTCCACTCCTAGTAATTTAATACCTGAATAATGCTGAATTCCAGAATCTCATTGCTCAGCCATGAATCGTGTAATATTTCTAGTCAGTGTGATTTTTGTGAAGTCATTTTGTGATATTGTCAAGTTGTTAGCTTAATGTCATTGACTTATTGGAATTAACAAGATTGTGTATTTTGTTCATAACGTTTGAATTGTTGAACTTGGCAGTCAGCTCAGTTTTGAAGTTTTCAGATTTCATCTTCTTGTGGAAGTTTCCTGTTGTGATGACTGAAATTCACAGAATAAAAAAGTCTAAAACACTTTTGTATTTTTCATACTTGTTTATTATAGTTATGACATTACCTCATGGTCCAATTCATTCAAAATCATTAAACAAGACAATTGGATTCATTAGTTAGTAGTTACTGCCGCACCGTATACCGTGGTACTTGAACAAAAGCCTTGGTATACCGTGGTACTGAAATTTTCGTGGTACCCAACCCTAGTTGTTATCAATGGAGACTTTCAAAAAGTTTCATATATAACATCTGAATGTAATTTACCATGTCATAATGTTGGTACCACATAACCATGATAATTGATAACTACTCCGATATCTGTGTGCATTTTATTAGCATTTATGCTTCATCCAAGTGGAAATGATTGAAAGAATTACCTTTGAAAAGTTTATGAAGTCATGCAAATATCTTTGAAAAGTTTATGAAGTCATGCAAATATCTTTTTGTCCTTAGTCTTCAGCAAAATCACTTTGCACGAAACTACGATGTTAGCTGTTGGACCCATTTTACCTGGATTTAACAATTTTCTCCAGTTAAGATGTATTCCCTTGTTGGCACCAACCCCACATTCAGGTGCTTTGAAATTGTTTGAGAATTTAAAAAAAATATTTATTTGTGTTATAGCTTGTTACTACTGTCATAATCATTACTTCATCAATGTGCAGACAAACAGTGTTGATGCTGGACATAAGTGCTATTAGTTAAATTCCACAGAAGTAAATGTTGTGCTTTCTGATGATAATGTACAGTGATTGTCACGATACATTCAAACATGTTCTGTTTATCATGCCCATGACTGCATGCCTCTGTCCAGTCACCATGAAAATGAGGTCTTATTGGGGTTACCGTTACCCAATCATTGTGTGCGAAGAGATTTCAATCGATATTTGTTGAGTGATTTGATCTTTTGTTAACTATGACTTTGACGAGTTGCGGTGGGGTAGCCTAGTAGTTAAAGCGTTCACTCGTCACGCTGAAGACCAGGGTTCCATTCTCCATGTGGGTACAATGTTTGAAGCCCATTTGTGGTGTCCCCTGCTGTGATATTGCTGGTATATTTCAAAAAGCGACGTAAAACTAAACCCGCTCACTCTCTCCTTTTTGACGAAGCATTATTGCAATATCATTTCGATGATTGTCAATTGTTGCAGTGGTATTACTATTAAATTAAACTGACTTCATTGCTCCATAATTATAAAGTCACAGTGTTGACAACAATGTTACAGTTGGTCATTTTCCCTCCTGTTGATGCAACATGGCAACTTTGAAATAAGTGTCCTGATGCATAATTTGTTTTATTCATAATTATGTGTGACAGTGCAAATTATCGATTGTTATGCATACTATAGACCATACCATTAGTGTTTGTAAATTCTTTTGATATAGTACAATCATCAGATCATAGGGGACGCAATTACTGTGTCTTTTTTGACTCTAGTAGTTACATGTGTCAAGTTTTCATCTCTTGTTCTCCTTAGTTAGGTATATCATGAAATAAAAATCAGATATAACACTTGCATGATCAAGTTCTGTGTTAGACAGTATTTATTCACTTCTATGCAAAAGTATTTATCACTAGTTTGTTTTCATGTTGCATTTCAGGACACAGATTTTGCCAACCATGGAGACGACTTATATGATGATGTCATCACAGCTGGCTCTAGTAGTGAGGGCATTGATGTGAGTATTTGCTGATGAACTGTTATAATAATAACAATAAAAATTATTCTGCCATGGCTTAATGTAAGGCCAGACCAATTTAATTTGTTTGACAGATCCGCCAGTCATATTTTTTTAAGAATATGAAAATAAAATAAAATAATTTTCCCCGCTCAAAAAATAAAATTTTAGTATTTTTATTGGCCAAAAGTGTAAATGTGCAAGAAATGTTTTTAGATTGTTTTTTGCCCCATATACACTTCATAAATTGCCAAAAGTAAAATACTTTTAGTATTTAAAAGGAATATTACTTTGACTGGTGGTTTTTATTTTTATGTTTTGCCCCTCCTGCCTTTAGGTTTTCTGAGGACAAAAATCCGTAAAACAAGAAATAAAATTGGTCTGGCCTAATATTGAATTTGATATGGTTTGAAATTATTTGGGTGTACTTTGGGGCCAGCTGCAGTTGTATTTCAAAGTATAGTAATCAAGGACTCCCTAAGTGTTCAGCTTTTATTATTGGGATTTTATCAAGTGTGCCTCAGGGCTTTCATAAAGATATATAAATAAGTGAAACATTGGGAGTATGGCCAATCCAGCTGATTCGTCTCACTGGCTCTTCAAACCGTAGGGTTTTCATATGATTACAGGTTAACAATGGACAGATTTATTTTACGTGTCAGGAACAGTCTTACAATATATTGCATATGAAAGGTTGACATCTGTTTTGGTGAGGACACATTATTTGTCAACCTGGACAAATTTAGTGACTGCTAACAAGTGACAAATTAGATGTTTGATTGGCATTTTAGAAGATGCTATTTGATGAACATAGAGACTTTTCTGGGTTTCATCAAACAATGTAAAGAAGTTGGTACCAAACAATAAAAAGAAGATGAAACCCAGAAAAGTCTCTATGTTCATGAATTTTGACAGTTTGCTTGTCCTGGGTCAAATTCACAAATTTCTTAGTTCCACTTCCCTGATCCAGTAATTATGAGCTTCATTACTTGTGGTAATATCTAACCGCCTCCGTGGCGTAGTGGTTAGAGCGTCTGCCGAGAGAGCGGCAGGTCGCGGGTTCGATCCCCCGACCGCGTCATACCCAAAGACGTTAAAATATGGTACTTGTTGGTCCTTGCCTGGCGCTTGGCATTTATAGGTACAACAAGGACTGGTCGGCTCGGAGTCAGTATAATGTGTCTGAGTGGGGTATTCATGCTTCACTGCGGCATGGTATCTCAGTGGGCTAGCACTTTAAAACCAGCTTCAGTCTGGGCTAGTACAAGCAGCCGCACATACACACGCATGCACATCGTCATATGAGCGAAATATTCTCAAGCACGACGATAAACCCAATTTCACCTAACCTCTGGTAATATCTGAATCGCAGGACTCCCTGCATTATCATCTTTTTGATGTCAGAGTTATATCAAAGGTCCATTGACTTTCATTCTTGTTTTGTACTTCCCAAATAAAATATGTGGAAATCTTTGGGGTGACCGTTTCATTTGATTTTTTTTCACAGAGGAATACAGATTCCAAGTCACACACGCCAATGCTTTCCAGCACACAATATACTGGGAAGAAGTTCATGTGCTATGTGGGAAACTTAACATGGGTGAGTTACAGAGTAACAATTTTGTCCGCTCTTGCATAATTTATGATGACACATGTCCATTACAATTTCTGTATTCCCAAAAGATATTTACAAGATTTCACACATTATATTTGAATGAATGGACTGTAATGGGATTTAAACTGTTTTTGAATTAGAGAAAATGTGACTTTAAGATCTGAGAATGACATTTAATGGTTATTTAATTTTGATATATTAGATCATAGTTGACTGAAAGGTTGAGAAATAATTAGAATCCTTTGTGGAAGTTATCACATCGTATATGCTGTCCACACAGCAGTTTGTGTTATAATGACCATGGAGTATGAGTCACTGAAGTGATGTGAGAAGCTGATAGAGGTACAGGAAATTACTGTGTTACATTGTCAGTGTTGGACCATTTTGTGATATGTTTTTGTTTGTTCATCAGTGGACGACAGATCAAGATTTGACTGATGCATTGACTTCCATTGGAGTCCATGACCTCGTGGAAATCAAGTTTTATGAAAACAGAGCAAATGGACAATCCAAAGGGTATGTCACCTCTCATTTAGCAACTGCTGGGAGCTGTAGAACTCAACTCAACTCTTGGGCATTTATGACGACTTTACCTGGTAGTCTGAACACGGAGCTGTGTAAAATTTAAATCATATCACATTACCTACTATTAGTCTTACCGTCTTCCATATACCATATGTTTTGACACTTCACACTTATATACCGAAAGAAATGTTCTGGCTTATTCAAATGTTCTTTTGGCCAAATTGTGTGTTCTTCGGTCTTGTTGCCACATCTTTTTTCAACTCTTTTTGAATTACAAATGTTTCGTGTAATGTGAGATTATGTTCTATTGAGTTAGAACTACATATATAATTCTTAATTATGAAATTATATGCAAATATTTCAGTTTTGCCCTAGTTGTGGTGGGCTCAGAGTCATCCTCCAGGCATATATTTGAGAAGCTGCCCAAGAAGGAGATGCATGGCCAGGTGCCCCAGGTGACCCCCTACAGTAGACAGGCTCTCAGCCAGTTTGAGGCCGCAGCCAGGAAGGGCGGTGAAGGACCTCCACAAAATGGTTAGACTTTTCAGTGGTGTAAATTTGGCTAGGTCATTGAGTTCGAAATGTGATAAGACCTTTGATAAGAACAGCCTTCACATGTAGACATAGTTTTCTAAGATGTATGAAGCATGTATGGTTTGAAGGTTTTGCAAAATAATAACATCGTGTCGTAAAGACATGATTCACAAAATAAAGACATGATTCACAAAATAATTATACGAATGTCTTGATAATTTCTTGCAGTGGATATATTTTTTAAGGTGATATATATATAGATGGTGGATAAGAGTATATGTTCTTCATATGTATATTATCCAGGCCTACAAAAAACTCTAGCCACTTTTGTTACATTATGCTAATGTTTTCAACGAGCTTTGATTATATGGGTGTAGGTAACAGAAATCAGAGAAGCAATCCTCGTAACCAGCCTCCACCCAACCAACAAGGGAAACCTGGAAACTTCCCTCCTCGTGGCATGCAGCGTCCTCCTCCCCAAGTCTCACAAGGTCCACCCCCACCTGGACCCCCTCATGGTGGCCCTCCACCCATGTATGGAGGTAGGTCACAGTGCAGTATTGGTAGACGTGTTGCCAGGTTGATGATGGGGCTCATTCATGGAACTATTTCTAACCATATTTCAAGTGTTTGAAACTAAGCATGACAGACAAGTCATTTTTCTAACCGCAGTGTTAAAGGTACATGTTTTTATGTCCCTGATTGAATTCTCATTAGGGGTGGTGGGGTAGCTCAGTAGTTAACACGTTTGGTTATCATGCCTAAGTCGGGTTCAATTCCCACATGGGTACAATGTGTGAAGCCTATTTCTGGCATCCCCTGCTGTGATATTGCTACAAGTGGCGTAAAACCCAACTGACTCAAGTGCCTATGAAGAAGTGAAGGAATCTTCAGCATTTTTCCAGTTTGTTTCCAGTTTGTTTCCAGATTACTATACTTTGAGATAGCACATATCATACTTGTAAAACTCTTAATGGTTTACATTCCTGAATTGTGACAGTGCTATTCAGGGCGCGATTTAGATATATATATAGTATGACCAGAAATTATTGAGAATTTTAGGAATATGTTTAATTGGATTTCTAGTATAAACAACCTTGACTAGCTATCAAGTGCTTGGTTTCATTCAAGAGAGACAACTCCGTTAATCATTTTTCATTAGTTTGTGAAGAGTTATCCCCCTTTGTTTACTTGCTAGCAGACAACATTTTCAGGGATCCTCAGTATGGATGATTTAGAGAAGAGGAAGTTGATTTTAGAGTATTATAACAAGGACATCAGATCAGCTAAAGTGATTTCAAGTAGAACAGGCATCCCTTTGTCCACTGTTTATCGTGTTTTGAAAAATATTGCAAATGGATATGGCATTGAGCACCAGGGAGGCGCAGGTAGGACCAGAAAATTGACGGTCAGTGAAAGGAGGCGGCTTGGTATTCTTGTTTCTAAAAACAAACGAAGGAGTTTAGAAAACTTAAGCTGGATATGATTGATAGAGAAACTGTGGCTGTCTGTAAGGCGACAATTAGAACTGAGCTGCATGCAGTGGGTTGGCAGAAAAGTCGAGGAATTCCATCACCGATCATGAAACCTGAACAAAAGGAGCGACGGTTGAACTGGTGCTTACAGCACAGAAATTTTAACTGGGACAATGTGATTTTCTCAGATGAAAGTTCTGTGTGGCTGTTTCCTAATACACTGAAATTCTGGACCAAACAAACTGAAAAACCTTCGTATCATCGCCCAAAGTACAGTCCGAAATTTAACTTGTGAAGGAATGTGTCAATAAGAAAAATCTGACAAATATTGCTGAAATGAAAGAAGAGGTGGTCTGATATTGGGACAGCATGGACCACGACTTTCTAACTTCTTTGATCAGTAGTATGCCCTGCCGCATTGAAGCCTGCATTGCTGCCCATGGTGACTTGACAAAATACTAACTGTTCCCCTGTCTTTGAATCTGGAGTTATGTTCTGCTAATATTCACATTTAATACGTGAGTAATTAGTGAAAAAAATAACAAATTTACAATCTTTAAATTCTCAATAATTTCTGGTTGTACTGTATATGCTTAGTTGCACAAATTGAAATATGAAGATTGTTATTGACTATTCGATTGCTTTGATTTCAGGACCACCCAGACTTGGTCCTCCGCCACAACTTCCTCCCCCTGGAGGGCTCCCACCCCCAGGAGGACCCCCTCTGAGACCTCCACAGGGACCCCCTCCACCAGGAATGGTAGAGGTTAGTATGTGACAAGCTTACTCATTCATCTAGACTGATGCAATTTGTCTATTATTCAAAGTATAGGAAGAAGTTTTAAGGTGGGGTGGGCTTATAATGTTCACAAAATTCAGTCCAGTGTAGTACATGGAAATTGTTTCCCTTCAGAGGTGCATTCTCAGATATGCTTTGCATCTAGCTTAGAGTTTGGGGAACAACCCTTAAAGACATTATGGGGAATTCTCTTATAAACAATGATTGAAAATGTCATTTGGTATCCATTTCACCATGTGAGTTTTGTCTTTCCTTTGGATGTAGACTGAAATGTGACATACTATTTGAACTCTGCTGTGTAAAATGGGATGTTCATGGTGGAAAAGGTCCACAGAACTTGATCCTTGTCTTTGGGGCAAGATATTTTGGGATAAATTGATACAAAAAGTACTTGTATATGTATGGTACACAACTCTTGGAAAGATAGATACTTATCAGTAACATACCTGTTTGTGGATAATGCTGTCACTGGCGTGTCAGTTTGAGGTTTACAGATTTGGAGCAACCATGATACAAATAAGATATTGCTCTAAGCATGAAAATGTATATGTCCGATTCATACAATTGCATGTAGAATGTGCACTGCTCATTCAAGGGAAAATTGTCTTCTTTCAGCCAATTTTAATAATTTATTTTTTCAGCTTTGGTAGACAATTTGTTTTACCATGTCATGTTATGCCTTGTGACCAATGAAATGAATTACAGTCAACTTCTCATATTATGAATTCATTCACTGAAAAACATATATTAAGTCCCTTTGTTAACCCCTATTCTTGTTTTCATCTGCTTGGATTAAGAACACGATGTGATATTGCATGATGAATAAGTTATTATTCTTACTACTGGTCCAGCTTGAACTTTCACAGTTAAAAATCAAATTTTACTAAGTGACTTGAGATTATATGTGTAGGCTGATTGTAAGATGAAATTACTTCCATGATAGGAAAAATATACTCTACACTTGTTTAATTAATGAGAATCTGTCACAAAAACATTAGAAACAAGGTTTTGGTGCATAAAATATTTTGATATTGTAACCTAATATAAATTATCTCATTTCAAAATACATTCGAAAAGTATTCGCTATAAACCTGAAGTCCCCTTCGAGTTCGATGTATCAGAAGTTGACTGTATTTTTGCAGCCTCCAAGAATGGGCCCTGGACCCCCTCCCCATCTTCGTGGTCCCCCAGGTCCAGGTCCTGACCCCAGGGGTCCGCCCCCACCTATTAGGCCAGAGTGGGATAGACCTCCAGGTAGGTTGTTAGTTATTGAAACAGTGTTACAAGACATGAATGTAGACTTTACTCAAACTAAAGGGGGAGGTCCTACAGGGAATACCCTACATGTATTGCACTTGTTTTTTAGCTTTGATATTGATATGATGCACAAAAGCCACAATGTTTAGGTTAGTGATGACCCTTCACTTTGTCAGAACATAGCATTTTACAAACTGTTAAAGTTATCTGCACATCACTGCACAGTGATAATGAAGAGTTACTGATGCTGTATCATGTGGTGTTAACTCATATTAGCTATTGATGTATGGTATTGAGAAAATGTATGAAAAAGAAGTCACCTTTCTTAAAATTTGTTTTTTATTTAAACTACATATGATACGTCAGTACAAATCATTATGACCTCAATATTTTTAGTCACTTCAACTGAACTTCAAGATATTTACATTCATACTATATCTGACATGTGACAAGTTTCTGAACAAAAGATTTAGTTGTATCAACCAGCTCCCAGATGTCCTTTCCCAATTCATTTCATCACTCTGTACTTATTTCTTATCACATGGACCATCATTACTATCACTACAAGACAAAAACAAATATTACTGGTCTTGGGCTTTCTCCTGGCTTAATTTGCATCCTGCTTATGTAGGTCATTTCATACCCAGGGCAACTAGTCAATTTACTTTGTGGTAGGATTAGATTTAACTTATTCCGACAGATTTAAGTATATGTGCATCTCAGATCATGTTTATCACAAACACCATTGATCTTTCTGCTTAGCTTCATAATAGCCACAGTACATGATACATTTCATGTTTATCCATACATTTGATATTTATCCTACACAGGGTGTTTCATTTTTTCTGCATGTTCTTTTTGTTTCGTCTTTTTATGCTTTTGTTCTAATAAGTGAATTATCCCCTTAAATCGTTTAAGACAGGGTTGGTTTTTTTATTATTTTTTTATTATCTTATCCCACTATCCGCACCATTTTTGTTATTTGCCTTTTAGAAACCATGGTTGTAACCAGTCAACCTCCACCCCCGGGGGGTAAGTTAGGGGAGATAACTCCTATTTATGTGGTATCATGGGCCATCTCTTCCTGCATTTTGTTTGTAATCCTTAAAAAGAGCATGCCAATCATTTCCCCCCTGTGTTTTACTCTCAGAGTAGTGTTACTATGGTTACTGAATCTTTTGACACTTTACAATTATTGCAAGAAATTTATTTTGGCTGGTTAGTGTCAAAACTGTTGTGCAACTATAAGGTAAGTTTATGTGAAGTGTCATGTCATACATTTTTTCAAGAAGTTTTTTAGGCATTTTGAAATGGTGTTAGCTGTTTAGTTGACCTTGGTTGCCTAAGGTGAGGGCAGACAACTCTTGGCTTCCTTGTTGACAGGTTGTCTTTTTCCGATGTAATCATATTGTAATAAAAGACTATGTCATGTTGCATTTTTCTTGTTTTTGATTTTAGTAAGTAGATAGATATTTCTTTGAGGGCTTTTCAACTCTACCCATGGTTGTGGTGATACATACCTAATCAGAATCCTTATTAGCATCAAATGGGCAGAAAATGTTTTTTAAAACCTTTGCAGCTAATGTATAGTTCCTTGCTCATGTTAATGATCAGTTAATGTTCTTATGTTCAAAACATGGAAACTCAGGCTTGCTGAAATGTACCTTCTGTATGTAAAAATTCAGAAGTAATTGTCAGTCCCAAATGAGCGACATACACAAAGGAAGTAGGTCCATATGTGATAAATTCAAAGGGACTTCTCAAATCAGTAAGTTATCCAGACGTAGCTATTCACAGGAACAATAACAATGACATTGACAGTTGCTGACAGTATCAGGACATGATTGCAATGTCTGGAATTGTTACACCCAAACTTGACCCAACCTATGCAGTTACCTTACCTGTTCAAAATTTGGCAATATAGTAATTCAGTAAGAGGACTGCATCAATGAGGAAATCATTGAATATGCTAATCAGTTGACATATACAGGGTGCTAATTCTGTGTATTTTGTGGTAGTAAGGATTCTGAGGTAAGTAGAAACTGGTATGTTATGTCCCCAGCCTATTGTCCACATGTTCAGTGATGGGTGCTCTCTCCTCCTCCCTTACCTGGTGACTGCATATTGAATACTTCTCTCATTAATCTACCTCATCTAGAAATGAGTAAAGTTTTGATTTATTGTCAAAAGATGCTCAGCCACGAATGAATGTCATGTAATGAGATGTGTGTATTACTTACCAAAATACCTTTTGTCATGTACTGTCATGTCAGTCTGAGCAAAAAGAAATTTGAGACATTCAGACTTGCTCTTGGCATAATTTTCAGTAGAATTTACTGTTTTGTTTATCAGCTGAGCTCAGTCCAATCAGATTCTTACAGGAGTTGTTTTTTGTTTGGAATATTGGTTCTAGTTGCACACTAGTTATTTTTATTAAGCTATACGACAGTGCTATGTTGGTGACAGTTGGTACCAGTTACCAGTGTATTATTAGTGTAGAATTAATATGTTTCATCATCATTGAAGTGTTCAATGGAGCATATTGTGATAGGATGCAGAGTTGTTAACTTTTAGAAAGGAAATGTTCAAAAATGATATGTCAGTGTGAATATTTGCAGTGTAATTTGACTTATCCGGGTATCAGTTGGCAAACAATGGGTCAAAGTATGGATAGTAATTAGATTAGTAGCCACCCTAGAAAACTATTCTAACCTCAGTTCATAACATGAAAACTAAAACGTATGTATACAATAATTGGTTTCTTATATGACTGTAAACATCATCGTACTGTTTATTCTGAGTTGTTCAGTTTTAAAAAGGCTTATCCCAGTTTTTGTCTGTTCTTTGATACAAGTAACCAGAAGGCATCAACTCTGATTTGATTTTCAGATGTTACTTGTTTATCCTATGGCACTTAGATTTCATTAGACACCAATCCACATTAAGAATCCTGGGATATATTTTGCCTCCTTTTGTGACAGGATTTCTCTATCCCTGTACTTTTTACCCATAGAGCATGTGCACATAATCTCCAGTAGTACAAAAATGCAACCTTTGGCCTGTCGCGTAGGAATGACTTCATTTTTTGCACAAAACTTGCATATATATGTAACATTTTACATGATCTTGTCATGGTTGTCAACCAATGAGTAATTCAGGAATTGGGACCTTGTTGAATTTAGATTGTGACCTTGATTATTTCAGCTCCGTTCCCCCAACGCTGGGCCTCCACCCCCGCAGCCGGTCCCCCCTCCGGGTCTAAGACCTATGGGACCAGGTACTGCACTTTGTTATATTTGGATTAGGAGATTACACTGTACAGCAGGGTTTGACAAATGTACTGGCACTCGAGAATTGGCCAGGGATGGAAATTTGCACAAGCCCTTAACACTGAGGCATTTGGACTCATGTTAAAAATATTATGAGGGCTTGTAGAATTTGGCATTTGTTTTTTTATTTATCCCTTTTTTGCAATTTAGGCTTATACAAATTTCAGTTCAATTTCCACCGAATTATTCCTGTACAATTTTATCAGGACCAGAATGTTAATTTTGAGATGTGCTGTGGAAAATATTGTATGTGTGGCTCTTTGGTTTGTTTACTGAAGTTGTAACATGTATGTATGAAAACTATGTATGATATTTTGTACCCTTGGATATTTGGCATTATTAACAATGGTCCTGATGACTTCCTGAAAAAACCCCAGTGCTATTGTGTAAGAATATCAGCATGAATGTTTGATATATATGCAAGGATATGTATTAAATATATACCACTGACTGATGTTATCAAGTTTCAAACCTGTTTTGTTAGCCTGCCCGTGTGCAATGGTGTGCTGTGAGGTTTTGGGGCCACTATCCTTGTCATGTCGTTTTGTGAATTTTTTTATTTTGTTTAGTTATGACATGCTCCAATGCTGTGACATTAATTGACTTAAAATTGTTTGATCGGCATTCTAGAAGTTGGAGGGTCAAATATGAAACATACAACTTTATGGAAGACAACTTCTTGTTTATGACGTCGCTCTATGCAATAAACAAGAAGTTGTCATCCATAAAGTTATATGTTTCATAGTTGACTTGTGCTGTAAAGTGTTTTTTGTGTTGGTAATGTTTTTGAAACATGTGAAACAACAATAGAAAGAATCCAATGATTTTCTGACAATAGAAATTTTCCTGTTCAACAAGAGTGAGGATAGCTCTACAGAATTCACTTGTCTTGTCCTGACTTGTTTTGTTAAGCCATTGTTTGTAACTGCTTGTTAACTTGCTTGAAACATATATGTTTGTTTATTAACTGATTGATGACTACCGACAGGATTCCCTGGTGGCCCTCCGTCACAGATGCCACCCGTGCCTGGCCCTCCTCCTGGACACATGCAAGCGCCAGCCCCCCATGTCAACCCAGCCTTCTTCCCACCCCCCCACAATCAAGCTCCACCACCAGGGCCAGCGGTAAGTACCACAGTAGATGCATGATCATGCAGGTTGTGCTACATGTACATATTCTTAGCTTCACGATCATGTTTCTTGGAAACTACTGAAGTTGCGTGAAAAAAGCTTGCAAGGAAATTTGGTCCCATGAATTTTCATCCATTGCTTAATAATTGTTCATTTTAAAACCATAAGACTGGAATGCTGCTGTCATTTTAATGTGTGAGTGCTGCTATATGATGCAAATGCCTTAGGGCTAAAATGCTTCTTTTTGGTAATATGCTAAAGTAATGTTTTTAATATATATATATATTTTTTTAAAGCTAATGTGTTTTTGAAGCATTATTGTTTTTATTTTCAGCCTGGTGATCCATATGGACGGGGTCCACCACCTCAGTCATATCCTAATGATCCATTCATGGGCCGACCTCCTCCAGAAAGGTAAGTTCCTTGACTGGCTGCTGCAAAACAGTACAGATGGCTTTGAGTTAGAAGCAGGGATGAGAATTTTCCGCGGAATTCCGGGAATTTCATAAGGCCAAGGGTAATTTTTGTGAATCGTCTAAATCTGATAGATGCTAAACCCCCGCTAGTTTTCAGAGTTTTCTCAAAACTTCATTCTGATCCCTGTAGAACGGTCAGGGCCTTGTTTTCATACTTGAATCTCTGATTAAAGAGGAAATAACACCAAATTGTGTCACTTACCTGTCAGCTGCTCTCCGGGATAATATTTGAAGATGACACTTGTGAATCTATATTCCAGTTCTTTGACTGGAAAATAATCAATTTGAACAAAAGTCAGTAAAAGTCCATTACACCGGTATCCCCTTTTTGTCCCCTGCCGGAACACGGAACGAGGGACTATGTATTCAGTGGCGTCTGTACTTACATCTCGATTCTTGTTTACGCGATATCTCATGAACTGTTGGACCCAATGTCTTCGAAATTGGGGGATTACCCAGACACCAGTCGATTTGGGTGACCTTGACCTTATCTTCAAGGTCACCACGACACTTTGACCACTTTTCAAACTCTTGTTAACGCGATATCTCATAAAACATTGCACCCAATGTTTTCAATTATGTCGACAGCCTACATTGGGTGATTATGCAGACACCGGTCATTTCAGGCATCTTGTTTGTGACCAAAAAATAAAAAGTAGTAAATATAGATATTCCATTCCTTAGCGGAGGGGGACATTGCCATATCAGTGGCAAACACTTGTTAAGTAATGAATTGGTTGAAGTGTTGTAGAACCCTGCTATATTAGATTGAACAGATGCATGTTTATGAAAGGCTTTATGAGCTGTACACTTTGTGGATGTGGATGTATCTACTGTTAATTCTGATGTAATTAGGTCAAGGAAATCTTTGACATTCTTTCTTCCTTGTATTAGATTATTTTTCTGTTTCATGCCCACGTTGACATGTTCATTGGAAAATGATTTCTTGCCTTGAATGAGATGTGGTATTGTGTCACTTCAGAAGTCTACATATCTTTTCCTATATGTTCTCTATATAAGGACTAATTAGTGAAATAAGCATGTTATTTTTATCATGGCATAAGGATGGAAATCATAAAGTATATATGGTATTAATTTCCCTTGGTTTCAGTCGACATGAGCCTCCTCCACCTGCTTTGAGTGAGCAAGAGTTTGAGGAGATCTTCCAGAGAAACAAGACTGTATCCAGCAGTGCTATCAATAGGGCTGTACAGGATGCAAGTGCAGGTAAAGTTCTGCAGACAGACGTTTCGTGAACGGAATGCATATCTGTGTGCGAAACTCCTTGCTTCAAAGTGCATACTGAAAAATCAGATTTTGTGCATAGAAATTAACACCTGTGGGTCACAGTGCCATGATGCCATGGATTGTAGCTCATAGCTCATACAGTAAGCCTTTCATTTGCCTTGCCCAGGGCCAGATCGTTGCTCTGTTGTAGATATTATGACTGCTGACTTAGCATTAAATAACATCAAGCATACCAAGCCACAAAACAGGATTCTTTGTATGAAGTCTATGAGGTTAAACTGTTGTGTTGCTGTGAATTAAGGTGTTCCCCTGGTTTAACAATGATGATACAATATCAGAACTAATTTCTTTGCAGGTGACTTTGCTAGTGCTATTGAGACGTTGGTGACAGCAATTTCTTTGATCAAGCAGTCAAAGATTGCTGCTGATGACCGTTGCAAGATCCTCATCAGCTCACTCCAAGACACCCTCCATGGCATCGAGGAGAAATCCTATGGATCCAAGTGAGTAGCAAGATAGTCTTCTATTGCTGGATCATACAATTGTTCAGGGCCTAGGGGATAGCCTAGTGGTTAAAGCATCCTCTTGTCACACAGCAGACACGGGTTCGATTCCCCACAATGTGAGAAGCCCATTTCTGGTGTCCTTGCCATGATATTGCTGGAATACTGCTTAAAGCAGGGTAAAACTAAACTTACTTCCTCACTTGTCTGTGAAGATTGATGCCACTGTATCATTGCATGTAACACACCATGTATTCTAAAGAATATATTTCATCGGATAGGGTTATTCATATGGGGATAACCATTGTTTCAACTCTTGTTTCAGGAGCAGTAGCAGTCGCCGATCTAGGTCACGAGAACGTGATCGTGACCGCTGACCGTGAAAAGAGGAGTCGTCACAGGTCCCGCAGAGTCGTGAACGAGAATACCGAGAGAGGAGCAGGGACAGAGATCGCTACCATGATGAGAGACACCGAGAGAGGGACCGAGAAAGGGAAAGGGATAGGGGAGAGCGAGATTACAGCAGGCGGCATTAACAGGTCGGTTTGTTGGAGGTAAACATTTGATCATTTGTTTGGAATTAGTTGACCTGATTTGAAAGTTTCGCAATATAATTATTCTAAGTTACTTCAAGCGAGGTATAACAATTCAGACTAATTTACCTTTCAAATGAATTGATTTTTTATAACAGGGCTTATAAATTTTATGGCTTTGTGGATATGCTTAAAGAGCTGATTTCCTTTTCATTCTCTCTCTAAATCTGGTACTTTAATATTTTTTGCTTCAGCTCTTAACAGATTTGATTTATCAGCTAGCTTCATGTTGTGACTGTCTTTCAGAGTGTTGAATGCTCCGTGATCCAGCTGCTCTTCCCACAGATTTTTCTTTCCAGCATTTCATTTCAGAGTGGCTGTAGGTAACCAGTGAACCCACCAATTCCGTACAGAGTTCTGTAAATTTTGAATTCAAGAAGTACATTTTATGAATAAGGTTTCAACCTAAGCTTGTTTGTGTTTGTAAAGTAACTTTGGGCATTGTTATTTGTCATGGCAGATCCCTTACATTTGGAATTGTTCTGATTTAGCCAGGGGTCAGTTCTGTATCAAAATGATAGAAATGTATTTGAAGTAGAGAGATACTAGCTTCTGTACTGTTCTGCATATATATAATATATACTAAGCATTATCCTTTGTGTTAAGGGGGGACTTTAAATGATGCGTTTCTTTGTCAGATTTCTTTATTCTAGTGTACCCCAGTTGGTTTTGCCAGTCAATTATTGTCCTTCATACTGACTGGCTTTTTGTTGAAGTCCCCCTTTACATGTACACTAGCAGAACGTTGTATTTACCGTCAACACAGTTGTGTTTGATTGCCTTTCCTTCTGTTTGACATCAATGATGTGATTATTTGAATGTTTAATTGAATTGTTTTCATTGCATAATTTTGTCGTGTCATTGTGCTTGCTCCACTTGAACTTTTGATGGGGGACATTGTCTTCATAATAACTTTGGCTTCCCAAATTCCAAAACTGGTAACTGATTTACAACCAGTTCAGAGTAAAAAGGATCATGCATCTCTCTTGTGGTTGGTTAATCCAACACCTGGATTAATTTCCCCACGTCTTAAGCCTATTATTTGTGTAATAATGCTATAAGTTGCATAAAAAAGCCTTTAGCAATTTGGACTGAAAACATCTTTGGATTTGGTGGATTTCTATTGACTTCCCTTTATGCAGTTGTATTTTGTCTTTTGTTAAAATCCTAAGCTCTAAAAATGGAATAATTTGGAATTTGGGAACTAGACCTCTCATCAATACCATTTAATGTTTTTTCTGGATGAAAATCTGTCTTTCCATTTCTTATAGGTTATACATGCTGTCCAATGTGATTTGAACCGATTGTCCCATGCTACATTGAGTGATTAGACTGTATTGTCACATGATATATCTTGTGGAATGTACCGTAAATACTTGTTAAACGTCATCGTCACTTCATCATCATATATGGATCAAGAGTTCAAGCTATGGATTACAGTGGAAAGACTCAAGTATCACCACACTTCCTTGTTCCCAACGCCATGGAAAAGACACTTGCTACAATCATGCAGCTTTTACTGAAATCATTCGTCGTCTTATCTTCTCGTAGCAAGAAGGAGTTTTAACGCTTTCCAATTGCTGTTGTTTCATTTTCAGAATAAAGTTCTTAGCTCATAAGTATAGTTTTGTTATTTACAATGTTTCCTGGTCACAAGGGTTTAGTTAGAATGTGTTAGATGAATTTAGATATTATGGATCTTAAGATTATTGTCAAAAGCTGCTTTGTTCTCTTAAGAATTGTTGTGGTTTTCACTGATTTCATGGCGTTTTAGATGCAATATTATTTATTGATCTGTCCTGACTATAATCAGATCGGCTTCTAAACAATATCAGATTGGATGGCTGTAAGAACCACAATAGTTTTGGGGATGCCTTGTAAACTGTTTCCGATGGTACCGAGGTATGCATGAGAAATGTTCCATTTCTGCCTCAGTAACAGTTGGCATGGTTTAGGAACCCTTCTGTCTTAGCAAGACTTCATAGATACCATTTTTGCAACCTTGACTGAGCACTGTTTTTAAAGTTTTGGAAACTAATGTTCAGGAAAGTGTAAAGTTGACTTAAACTGAATGTGAGAAGCTTACCACCTTTCAGGTTAACAGTAGAAATGTGTATGTTTCACAGACATTGTAGGACAGTCTGAGGTTATATGTGAATGCTTTAACCATACCACTGTGTCGTCCATGTGCATTGTCCAATAATTGATAATCTTGTGGCCATGATTCTTTGCTGTACATAGAGATCAGTTTTAAAACATTTGCAGTTAGCAAATTGAAAGGTAGTTTGTATCAAACTTGGTGTTTGTGCTCAACTGTGGGTCAGTTTCTAAAGAATCCTGCAGCAAATATGAAACTTGATGGACTAAATTTGTTTGGATGAACAGATGTGTTTTTCAGATTGATTATTTGCATTACTTAGAGCTTAAAACTATGGCTGGCTGTCATTAAATGTGTTGTACGTACTTGTGTAGTAGTTTCAAACTGTCTAAGTTTGAAAAATATCAGGTAAGTATTGAACCAATACCATCAGCACTACAGGATGGTGCCGTCATATATACCTGTTAGAATATGAGTATATTGGTATTTATATGGGCTTTACACAGTTAATAAGTACTTTCCTAGAATAATTGATTCTTAGGTAGATCTTTTTAAATTTATCATTTGAGAATAATAAGAGGCACAGATTGCAAAAACTGTGCAGATTTTAATGTTCTGAAGTTGTTAGCTGATGCTTGTTTTCAGCATTTCCTTTGCAATCGTGCATGACACTTTACCTTCTAGAGTCCTATAATGTATCACCTACCTGTGTGGCAGATAGGTGTTATTGTGCTATCCCTCATCGTCTTTGAACAGTTCTGTTTGAGTGGCATAGCAACTATGTCATTGCAAGAATAGTTAACACAACATGTTCTGTTCACAGCATAGTAAGGGGTTCTATTCACTAATCCTTCTGAAGCTTGAAATGTTGCACATTTAATGAAAGGTAGTGGTGTGAATGGAAGGTGTACCTGGTACCCTCTGATTTGGCAAGAACCCCATCACAATAACAATATAAGGAGATCCAAGTTGAAATAACTGTTCAGTCGTTTGTATTTTTTGCAATCCTTAATGACCGTAACCTGTTCCATTTTGTACCACACACTTAGGGAAACTGTTTACCCTTTACAACCTGTTCAGGCTATTATGCAAATGAGATGGCTGTTAAAAATTCACTGACAGAAAAACTTTGAGGAAATATCAATGACAGTTTGAATTGAGAATGGAAATATTTGCTAAGACATAATGTTAATATATATTTTGGTGGCATAACAGATTTATTTGAGAGACAGTTGCTTTGCAAGAAGTTGGTTCCCTAGGGTATTGTGTGTGATATTATGGACAAGGTGGATGGTTACCTGGTGTGTGAGATTCTATGGGTCCTTACTAAGCAGCTGATTTTTAAAGAGGACACTTACATGAATTGAAAAAGTATGAATAATTAGATACGCATTAATGATTTTCTTTTATAAATTTCTTGCTTCAAGATCGGGATTGAATTTGAAGTTGTCCATTGAAATGATAGCAAGTCTGTTAAAATTTTAAAAGTTAGTTACTGGTATGTAATAGTTAATTATATAACAATGTTTGTATTTGCATAATTTCTTCTTTTTTTCAAAAGTTCCTTTAAGTTGACAAGTTGTTATCTACATATGGACAACTTCACAGTCATGTTTGAATCTCATTGATTTACACATGGTTACTAAAGTAATAAGACTTGCTTTTAGACTGCATGTTTTGTTTTCCAAAGTCAAATGAATTGTCTATATTTACATGAAGTTTGACTTCAGTACAACCCTCATGATATTATTATAACTTAACATTTGTAAATATGACCTAAAAGAACCCTGTTGATTCATACTCATACTTGTGCACAATATACACGACAAAAGTGAGCATGTTATTGATTTCGGAAGATCCGTGAATTTAATAGAATGTCAAATTGATGTTAAATACCGTTACAGTGATGGGGTAGTGGGCTTCTCAGAATATGTTCCATGAGAATTAATTTTTCCTGTCATTACAAATTATAAGTCTACTTCTTACCTCTTGTAAGATTTACCGGTAAGTTTTTTCTGTAGTCCTAGTCAGAGTTTGTTTTGTTTCTTAACACATACAGATATTTTATTTTTTCTCGCTGTATTTGATATGTAATTGCTTTTAATCTCTCTTTTGTGAAATATTCTTTTTCAATATTGTATCAGTTGATATAACAGTTTGTGTTTTGGAGATAGGAAATTATTTCATAAGAAATTGTCACCTGGTAAACTGTGTCCATTTGCATGTAGTTCATGCTAAGACACTACTACTTTGGTTTGGATTGGGAAATGTCAGTACATTTTGAGATACCCCCCAAAAAATGTACCAGCAGGCTGCAGTGCTCAAATGATTTTTTTTATATGCCTATTATTCAACAAAATAAATGGGGATCCTTGGTGACCCTGTAATCTAAAACACCAAGCTTGGAAAAGATGTCAAACTGTTAAAAGTTGTGTTGTGTGTGACGGTATAATTCTGTGCGTGTGTTGGGAATCATAGTAAGACATTGGTACTTTGTTAAACAAAATTGGAAATTGTGCTTGTTGCATTTATCCATAGTCCCTAATAGTCCAAATATACCCAGATTTTAAACTTTGTGTCCATGTAGAAATACAAAAGTAGTTTCACAGAAAGTGATGACTATAATGCAATGTGTCAAACAAGTTTTGAAATCTTACATGTCGTACATTCATACGTCTGTGTTGGTAGCACATTTTATGCAAATAAGTTGCATACTTTTCACATTTAAGGGTTTCCACAGAGGTTCAGATCATCCATTAAGGATTTCATCGTGAAGAAAAAAGTCTGACAAATTTGAAATTGATTAGAAGTGTTTAAGGATGATAATACCTGCAGAGATCCTTGTTGTTATTCTAACACACTTTAGATCTGTTGATCTTGTTTCATGGTTGATTCTTGTTGAAAAATTGTCGAGATGTTTAATATAGTTTCTAAATTGGCTTACTTTTCAGTCTTGGTATGTTGGCTGTGGTAGTTTATCAAAAATGTAGTTTTGTATGTAACTTTGAAACAAGAACTATAAGGATGCAGTTTCATGCACACAAAGCCATATACTGTGTTAATCTTCAGATCTGAGGTGGCATTGTGTGTGTGAAGACTGGCGATTGATTTATGACCATTTTCCCTTTCAGGATACTTCACAAAATGTGTTGAACTTATGCTAACTTATTACTTGTAACAGTATGGTACATTTCTTCTTGATTTAAGCAGTGTAGATCAATGTATATTCACTTGCTTACACCCTCGGCCCACGTCTTATGGCATGCTCGTGCTTTACTTGTCATCTTTTCCTATATTAGCTCAAGTGAGAAGACGTGTTAGCTGCACCCTTTGAATTTTATATTGCTCTGGACAGACACTTTCAAGACCAGCCCAAAGTTGTCCAAACCACCAATCTTGCACTAGAATTTCACCCGTCCCAGGCTCTCTTGCTAAGACACCTGTTAAGTGGGATTGCCTAGATTATTATGCATCCACATTGGCCCTGTTGGACATGGTTCCCTCAGCTACTCTGACACACTCTTTTTGAGTGAGAGTGAAAGGCACTCCACATCAACAGATCTGTCATGAACATTATCTGAGGATGTATTTGGCAACTTACCACATGGATCTGTCAGCTGAAGACCATTTATGTCCAACCTCTAATCAAACTTACAACATACCAGTACTCTTGCATGTTACACCCATTTGTCTATGCAGTAATTCATAAATCAGTACTGAGGGAACTGTATTGTGTTCCTGGACTTTCAAGTACCTCCCGGTGCAATGTGGTGATGTTTTAATGATCACAGTTGAAACACCATGAGCTGGTGACAATCCGTGTGCTGGCTTGACCATCGTAATCACAAGAGGTAGAATGCAGTGGATCTAACCCACCATCCTACCAGGAATAAATGCATACTGTTGTGGAGAAATATTTGTAAAAATATACTTATCCAAATAGGTGATGTCTTGCTTGAAAATGTTTGTTCCAATTTCTCACATTTGGGCAATTGTAGGAAAAGGTGGCAAGAAAAACGGCAGAGTGTGTTTCTGTATTGTTCTGCACTGTTTCATGATTGAAGTATGAAGGAATATGGCATACTGTTGTATCAGGGCAAGAATATAAATAAGTGGAATACCCCTAAGAGTAAGTTTTATTTGGTACATTTATACAGTTCCACATTCACAGGTTTTAGATTCACCATTTCAGTTATGCTACAGCATTTTTTTCATTTCTTAAATAGACTTTTCCCATGGGAATTGCTGCATCACATTATACTATCAATTGGGAATGTTTCCATACAGAAATTGAAAATAACAGAACCTCAGACAATTTGATTCCTTATGTGGGGGCAGTGGGGTAGAGTAGTGGTTAAAGTGTTCGCTCGTCACGCTGAAGACCTGGATTTGATTCCCCACATGGGTACAATGTGTGAAGCCCATTTCTGGTGTTCCCCTGCCATGATATTGCTGAAAGTGGTGTAAAATCGTAATCACTTGATTCCTTATGTGGTTCAGCAGTTCTCAGACAGGCTGTCA